AGCAAAGAGAGAGAGACGTCTTCTTCACACCGCAGGGATCTTCACAACGATCTTCGAAGTTCGTAGATCCTTTTGGTTCGTGTGGACGATGGCGAATCAAGACAAGTTAGATCATCATCGGTATAGTTCTGTCTGTTGTTCCAAATCGAATCACATTTAGAACTTGGTTTGATCTGTTTTTTGGTTTTGGTGCATTTTATAGGTGTATTGATTCAGAGGCACAAGATCCTACTTCAATGACTATTGAGTTTCTTCGTGCACGTTTACTAGCTGAAAGAGCTGTTTCCAAGAGTGCTAGAGCAAAACTTGATGGTCTCGCTGATAAAGTATGTTCTTTTATAATTTGTACGGATGATCCAGTGAAATGTTTTTTAGTCTTATGTCCTGTCTTAAAATCTTTAGGTAGCTGAGTTGGAGGAACAGCTCAAGATTGTATCTTTACAGAGAAAGAAGGCAGAACAGGCAACTGCTGATGTTCTTGCGATCCTAGAGGAAAATGGATATACTGATGTCTCTGATGATTATAATGATTCAAATTCAAACTCTGATCATGAATGCTACTCTCAGACAAATTCAGGTTAGAGTTTTTTATTTGAGAGGAGGAAAGTTTCTGATTTTAAGGGTTTAATGAGATTGAGCAACACTCAGTGTCGGAGATTTGTTTGTCTTTTTTTTAGTTTTAGGCAAAAGTTTATCCTGGAAAGGTCGTAGGAGGGAACCAGGTTCTTCTGACAAGGTCAAGGAAATCCGGAATAGGAGACATCAAAGAGGTTTCGAGTGTGCTTATTTTTCCTCTCCTAGACACCGCCAAGGAAGATCTTGTCGGCAAATTAGACGTGGCGAATCAAGGTCTGTTTGTTATCTTTAGCTGTTCAGTGATTTATTAGTGGTTACTATTGTGTGCATCACAATCGAAAACCAAATTGTGCAAGTATTGCCTAGAAATTCGAGATTGGAGGTTTTTTTATCTCTGATTATATACATCATTAATCGACCTGATGTATGTTGGTAAAATAATTGTAGAACTTGCTTAGATATGTTGTGTATTAGAATAACCAACATTTTTGAACTTTCCAGAAACGTATCTGAGGATTACAAGAGAGATGGAAATCAAGAAAATGGAGAAATGCTTCCTCAAACGAATGAAGAAGCATCCAGAACCGTGGTGGATGTTGCTGTTGTGAAGGGAGACGAAAGTTTGAACAAGTTGTCAAGTTCAAATGGTTTAGAGAAAGAAAACAGTACGGATATCAACTTGGAGAGAGCGTTAGAAAACCGTGCTCAAGTTATCGGATCTTTTGAAGATATGGAAGAGACTCAAAGGGAATGGGAGAAAAAGTTCAGAGAGAATAAATCATCTGCCCTGGTATGCCTTATGTCTCATGCTTTGACCTCTTTGAGGGATCTTATTCATACTTGTGAACTAGTTCATCAATTGTGATTATGATATATTTCGTGCTTATATGGATAAACCAACGAAGTTTCTTTTATGTGGCGTTGATAATTGCGCATATGTTGCAGTCTTCTGCATTTGGTTTACTCGTATTAGCATACATCAAGATATTGCATGCGTATACATTGATTCTTTTATTCTGTCTTCTCTCCATTGTGCTAAGAAGTTATGAAAAATGTTTGCTTTTCTTCTTCTTTGTATTCACTCTTATATAACCATCTTGTTCCTGAAGACATTATCTATGAGATTATCTTTAGCTCACGAAAGTTGAATTTAGTCTCCGCGCATACATATATCAGCAAGTTAGAATCCTAATTAAATACTTCAGCAAGTCACTGGAAATCCTGAACAATACTTCTTTTCCAATCTTGCAGGATTTATGTGATGTAGGAAACCATTCTGATGTGACAGATGAATGTAACGGGGAAAAAGCCCAATCTCCACTTCAAGGTTCCACAGTAGTCCCTTCATTCCGTGATAAAAGGTCTATAGCTAATGAAGTTGACTTAAGGGAATCGTTTGAAACTTCGTCACATGGTTCACCTGATAATTCAGTAACGTCACCTGATAAGTGCTGCAAAAGTTGTGGTTCCAGATCTGTGGAACAAGATGCTTCTTTTTCTAGAGACAAAGGAAAACATGTTTCTGAGAGCCCTAAAAGTGAGTATTCCCATCCACAGAGCTGTAAAGGTATCAATGAGCATTCTTCATCCACTATTCGGTCACCTCCTGTAACGCAACAGTTGCAACTAACCTCGAGAGGTGGTTCCTTTGACAGTACTACCACTGCCATCCAGAAAGTAGATTATCCATCAGTTCTACTGAAAGAGGGGAAGTCTGATACTTGTGAAACTGTACTCACCGCGCTAACGCAAGCGAAGTTGTCTTTGCAAGAGAAAGTCAATAGCCTACATATCAGAAAACCTGATTGTCATTCTGAAAGCTCGTATCCTTCAACACCAGGTTCATATATGAACACGTACGCACTACCGATAGAACCAGCATTTAGTACTAAACCATCTCTCCCTGCTTCCAGCATCGGGTCCATGGCAGAGTTTCCTGTTGGCTGTGCTGGACTTCTCCGTGTACCCACTGATTTTTCATCTGATGCTTCAAATAAGAACAATTTTCTAGCTTCGAGTTCTCAGAACGCTATGGTTACCCATATGCCTGAGCGAGACATCCCCCTAGTACCTGGAGATCAGCTGTTCACCAAAACAGCCACAAACAATCTCCTAAATACTGGCTTCCAAAGCCAACTAGAAACCAGTCCTCCTTTGTCAGTGGATGACCGACTTTTGACCACCCCATACATCGGTGCACCAAGGCTATGGTCCAGCTTCAGGGCAGATGGTCCACCGATGGTTGATGCTCCAGGATTCAGACTTAACAAAGGCATACCAAGAGTTTCAGGCAGTGGAATCTCTGGTGGAACATCTGGTTTTGAAGGTAACCAAGTATCCTCAACTAGCTTCAACTTAGATAGACGAGCTAGTACATCTACCCCCGTGACACCTACTCGAAGCTTGTATCCTGATTCAGTTCTAAGTAGTAGAGAATTGTATTCAACTCCTTATTACACACGCCCAATTAGGCTGCCTCCTACGAGTGGTTCAGATGATGGATTTAGGCGAGTATGATTCTGTTGGATGCTTGTGAAGCCGTGATATGATTGTTGGATCTTTGTAGAGTGTTGTGGTTGTTATGTACACTGTTTGTAGAGTAAATCAGCTTTGTATAACGTCAAAATACTGTATAGAAGACTTCATAACGTGGTCATTATAGGGCCTTGTTGGTCGTTGATATGTATTGAAATCCCGTTTTATTGATTATGTTTGTGTGTTCATATGTTCGATTTATGATAGTTTGCAGGCGAATGAGGGCAACGTCTACTGAAACCCTAAACCCTAACATGATCAAATTAAGTCACGAACCAAAGAGATATTGCACAGCCACATCACTAGAACACAACACAAGAAGAAGAGATTGTCCAGTAAAAAAAAAAAAAATTGCCAGCATGAGAAGAGATTTCAAGTCCCCTTAGATAAGGAGATGAAACTCAAGATTCGAGTACATACAATGGAAAATAAGAAATCTTCACCGTGAAGTTTTCGGTGTTTTTGCTATACAGAACCAAAATAGGCAACATTTTCATCGTGTTCATGCAATATGACTAGTCTTCATGCCCATCAGAAGATTGATCATCATCATCTTTCTGATTAGAAGGTTGGTCATCATCACCCGTTGCCTCATTTTTGTCGCTTCTCTCGTTCCTTTCATTCCATCTTGCCCAGGCCCACTTCAGGACAAGAAACCCTCCAAGTGCGTATACCTGAAATAGTTATTAGCGAATACTCCACTAAATTAATCATGAAAGAATTCAACTTTTTGCAGGGTATGAACATAATCAGAACAAACAAAGCACACGACAACCAAAACATCTAGAGTCACGCTATTCACATATCAAGTCAGCCTTTGATAGCTCTGATTACTGCAAAGCTTGCAATCCACTTTAGAAACTGATCACTGTTGAATAGTTAGGAAAGCGAGAAGAACACAAATAACATGCCTCCTACTCCATCTAACTGTTAAAGGTCCTCTAAAGCGTTATAATGCGTACAACAATATCAGGAATCGAAAAGATAAAAGCTACATAAATAAGCATAACAAAAACTGAAACCATTTTCAACATTCAATCTAGCACACTGCAACTAACTGAAACCAGTGAAACATTGGAAACATGGAAGAAATCAACCCAACTATTTGCCTGTTGATAGAGAAAAAAAGCCAGAATAGTTTCAAGTAAACAAGAAGCGATAATCTGAGTCATAGATTCATAATTACGAACATCTACCATAAACAGCTATGGTCCCTACAATTCCTCATAAATAACATAACAAAGCACCTCTCACAAACCCAAATTATAACCCAATTCCATGGTCTAGCAACAAGGAGAAACCTTCAATACACATGTTAGTAAATCACCTGCCAAAGGATGACGGAGTTGGAAGTCCTGCCAGAGCTGGGCTCAGCCTCAAACTTGATTGGCTCTGCGCTTTTGGGTGGAGTGTAAGGGAAAGAGACAGTCTCGTAGGTCGACTTCTGAGGTTCCTTCTCGCCGGTGGGTTTAGGAGCATTGGCATCAATAGTAGCAGGAGGAGGCTTAGGTTGAAGAAAGGCGAATAGGTTGGTGATGAAAGGAGGTAACTTTATGGGAGGAGATGAATCAGAGCCATTAGCACGATCTTGAGCTTCTTGAGCCATTGTTGTTGCACCGAGACGGATTTAGAGTTTAGGGTTTTGAAATGAATCGGTTGGATTAGGCTCACAATTGTCTGGTGGTCACTTCTCTTCCTTTCTATATGACACGTGTCACACGTGTCTTTTCAAGTTTTTGTTTCTATTAACCCCAAAATGGGCCTAAAGCCTTATTTGGCCCATCATAATAATCACCGTCTTCAATTTTGTTTTTGTAACTGGCCCATAATAACAATCACCTTCTTCAATCCCGTTTCTTGCTTCTCCTTTCGAAATTCGTTATCATCAAATTCAGGCTGAGGAAAAATCAAGGTTGCAACTTTCAGGTTTCGATGTATCATCCAACGAGGGGAGGTGTTCGCGGTGGTCGAGATCGTAAGTTTCCATTATAATTCGTTTCGAATTTTGCTTCAATTTATAAGATCCGACATAAAATTCTCAACTTTTAGGGTTTCTATGTATCATCCAACTTGTTGGTTCTTCTCTGCTATTTTTATGATTTTTGTTTTGGGGTGGTTCCTTCATGAACGATCTAGGATTTGATTGCTTGTATTGAATTGTGTATAAGAATTTGTGGGGAGAAGCTGAATTTTAGAAGAAGCAAAACAATGATGTAGAACATGAGCTGCTTATAATGATTTTGCATGGTTAAAACTGTATTACTAATTGGATTTGTTTATAAATGTGCAGAATTCAGTTGGGATGAAGTCAAGGCTGATAAATATAGGGAGAACTATTTGGGTCACAGTATCAAAGCCCCTGTTGGAAGATGGCAAAAAGGTACTTTTCTTATCACACTCTCTGTGGTTTGTAACTTGTAAGCTAACAAGTCGTCATCTTTGATAATCTACTTGATCCTCCTTTGTGCTTCATTGCTCTGTTCAGTCTCATTAGCGTTTGAGTTTGACTGACATTCATTTCGCCTTGTACAACAACTGAACAGGTAAAGATCTTCACTGGTATGCTAGAGATAAAAAGCAAAAGGGTTCTGAGATGGATGCTATGAAAGAGGAGATTCAAAGAGTTAAGGAACAAGAGGAACAGGCCATGAGGGAGGCTCTTGGCTTGGCACCAAAGTCCTCTACAAGACCACAAGGAAATCGCCTTGATAAGCAAGAGTTTACTGAACTTGTCAAGAGGGGTTCGACAGCAGAGGACTTGGGTGCAGGGAACGCTGATGCTGTGTGGGTTCATGGCCTTGGCTATGCAAAGTAAGTTCTGTTTTTCTGCGTGAAAATCTCTAATTTTTAATTATGTTAATGGCTTTATGATTTATTGGTAGTTTACCTTTATTCTCTTTTCTCACATTTCTTTCTCCAACTCTGTACAGAGCACCACGACCTTGGGAAGATCCGAGCACCCTTGCATCCTCTCAGAAAGAAGACGCAGAGCCAGTACATTTGCCAGCAGATACATCAGGGGTCAAAACTGTTGAAGATGGACCGGATAATGTTGAGAGGGACCAAAAGAAGGATAGGCGTGAGGAAAGGAAACCTGCAAAGAGAGAGAAGGAAGACAGACATGATAGGCGTGAAAAACGCGAAAGGCATGAGAAGCGAAGTACTCGTGATTCAGATGATAGAAAGAAGCACAAGAAAGAGAAGAAGGAGAAAAAGAGGAGGCATGACTCTGATTCTGATTGAAGTGAACTGTACCAGGATGGATCTTTTTGCTCTCCGGAGGAAGAGTGGTCGGTTCTTGTTACCAAAATCCAGATACCACTTCTGCAAGATTTAAATCTGTTGCTCATTTCATTTTCGAATCATGTGGAGTAAAGAAAGAAAACTATCAATATGTTAAGTGTTGTTGAATATTGTGGAAAATTGGAAATGTTTGTTAAAAATACATGGAACACGTGATCTGCTAGCTAAACCCAGACGCTGGTTTTAGCTCATCTGTGCCACTACTGATATACCACTTTCGCTACATCACCAAAGCAGTACATCTTCCTAAAAGAAAAGGGGCATCAAATTGCCTCAGAGAAACGTAAATCAGCAGGGCCTGGTCCCAATATTCCTTTCTGTTCACTAATCTTCCCTAGTCCTTGTGATGGATCTTCTGCCGGTGCACTTGCGTCAGTGATCACCGTGATCACCGACAATTCTCTCTGCAAAGTCGTGAAGAACAACTTAATAAATGGATCAACTACAATAACATCCGGGCAAGGAGCTGGAGACTGAAGCACTGTTGTGTTACAAACTAAAAACTATACAGTCCATACTAATAGCCAGACTCTTTTTCTCAAGTGAAAAGGAAGTTTCAGAGTAATTTTATACTTGTATAGAACGAGATATGACAAGAAAAAGGCACTTGCCTCATCATGTTTATTGGAGCTCTCAAAAGGTATTGGGGTCGTTAGAGGAGGTTCGAGATCTGGGTCAGGCTTCTGAAATATGAATGTTGCATAGAGCCCTGTGCAAAATATGGATATAAATCTGATTAGAAAAGTATCAAAACTGGAGATTAGATATGATAAGGTTGGTATAAGATGATGGCAAGGTTACCTAACAAATCAAATGCTCGTGGAAGAAGTTTTCCCCTAGGGTCAACGAAGTTCGGGCCAGCATTCATCAGCAAGCTTGCAAATTGGGCTCTGACGAGAAGAGTTGAACAGCATCAGCAATGTTATACAATCTTAGAAAGGAGTAACTATAACATACAAAAGCTCATGATAAAAGATTGAGAATCTGTCAGTCTGGGAGACTTTCGAACCTGTTATCATCATAAAAATCTGTTAAACTTTGAATTTCCACATATTCAAGGCCAGCTTCCCTCGCTAACCTGAATAGCAAACACCAAAACAATAAGTTAGATGACCGAGAATCGAAAGATAATATATAAACTAGATGTGATTTGTAGCTCAACTAGAAGCAATATCACGAGTAGGATTGCAATGGAAATCTTGTTTTACTTAAAGAGTTTAAGAATAAATACAAGCCCTAAGTTCAATAAGTGCACATTGTTGATATGGTAATTTCATATCATCCAATTAGTGTTACATTTTGCTTAAACAAAAAAGTGAGATCGTGGTGCCCGAGAACCCACCTGATTAAGCTTGGGAAGTGAACCAAGCAATGGTCTTCAGAAGCATTGTCACCAGAAAATTTCAGCTGGTACCTCTTTCCAAACAGCGGAAATCTGAGAAGAAAATGACAAACAGTCCAATTTCAGAAAAGGAACTTGATGGCAAAATGAATTGACCTCAGACTAGATGCTCACTTTTCTTCCTCCAGTTCGAAAGTGATCATGTAACTTTCAGACCGAATGTAGTTGGGAAATACATTAGGCTTTGCACCACTTCTGTTGTGGTATGCTTCAACATTTTTCTGGTACTTAGCCCTGTTTGACCAGAATGTTAAGGAGCGCACTCCAACTGAACAAAATATATATAGGCACTCAAATGCTGAAATTGATGCATTGAAAACCTTAGTGTCAATTCACAGGAAACATTAGGAATTTAGGACCAATTCGAGTTATCTAAAAGACTAAGACAGTTTCACAAATATAAGTACCCGGAAACCAAGAATAGGTACAATTTTATTCTAAACATACATTTGATATTACACACAACAAACTTGATGGAAGGTATTTCGTGATAGGTTTCAGGACACAAACTGGCAGAAAATATATCACAAGAAAGAGCATAACATGCATTCACGTTACGACAGAGCAAACAGGAAAACATTAATTACCAGATCGTAGACGAGTCAGGAGTAATACCGAAAAAATAACCCCCTGGTTTCAATAAACATGCTACATTAGTAAGGAGTCTTCTCGCACTCTCCTCAGTTTCAAAGCATAACTACAGAGACAAGATTTCTAGGGCTTTTAGACCATCACATCCTTGATATGCTACATTTTTCATAGGCGCAGAGACAACAAACGACAAAATCTCAAACCTGCAGATGGCGCCAACAGGAAACTAAATCAGCCTGCCCCAACTTCTTCTTTAGCTGGATTTCAAGATCATCCTGTCACACCAAATGAAGCAAAAACGCAAAAAAAAACTAATAATTGTGCTCCAGATTACTTAGTTTAGCAGATACCCATGAAAAAAATAAATTTAACAATGAAGGCCTTGCCTTGGAAGGATCAGCTTCAAAAAATTCCACATCGTAGTTCTTCCTCTGACTCTCCCAAGCTTCTCTTACAGAAGATATCCCAGAAGACGATGTATCTACTTCCCCCAAAGAGAAAAAAAGCAAACACATCAGTTTCGAGGAAGACATACTGATACTATACAGTAACTAACACTGAGTATGGGTATTACCAATTCCAATGTAATGACCAATTGGAGCAGCTTCCCACTTGTCAGTGTCGGGAGCTCCACCACAGTACAATTCGCAAACCTAAAAACACGTAGAGAGAGACATAAAGGTTGAGACTTTGTAATGGAAATGGAGTTGAGAGAAAGAGGGTTTGTTAGAGACAGTGGTATAAGGATGTGCGAAGATGTTGATTATGGCCGTCTTAGCGAAATCGAAGAGACGATAATGACTCTGCTCCGGTTTTGAAACCGCGAAGCCGCTCATTTTTTTCTTCTCCGGCCGAAGTTTTGAAAATTACAAATTTGGCAACAAATTTATACTTTTTTCCTTTTGTTGCCTCAATATTTATATGCGTGTTTGTGATAATCTTTTTTATTTTAAAAGGCAAAAACATTATTTGCAACTGCATTACCTTCAAATCTCTGAAATTTCCTTCTTTTTCAATGAAGTTTAAACCCAAAATTTTGGAGATACATTTTGTAATCTCTTGATTAAAATACTAAATACTATAAATCGTTTCTTGGAGCTCTAAATTAAAATTTTGTAGAACGAAATTACGTCATATTTAAAGGTTAAACCCATGGTAGTGAGGGTTAATTACTTTTTTAATGATTTCACCTGTTGTGTTATTGACAGCTGAAATTATTTATTTTCAAAGAGGATAGAGCAAACAAAAAATACCTCATGAAGTTACCAATCTATAAGACGAATTATAAGACCAAAACAAATTTTGGTAGAGTATATGAACCAAATGGAAAAAATGAAACATGTGATCAGAGTTAACCCTGTAGACCAGCAGTTCTGGTTCTGGATGTGCACGTGGGTTGGTCCGAGGTTTATTATGTAATAATCCAAGATTCATTTGATAAACAGTTGGATCTTTCTCACAGAAGAAGTCTTCGAACATCCTCAAAGTTTGAACGCAACTCAGACATAAACGAAGCTGAAACAAAGCCGGTTTCATAATAAAAATGAGTAACAAAGGAGAAAACACATGACTTATAGCGGCATCATTGTGTTGCCTTTACTACGGACTCAAACATAGAAAAACTTGAAAAGAAGGGATCTATAAGTGTTGCATTACCTCCAACTTGTCCATCAAAGATCCGATGATCAGCGGATAACGTTACATTCATTTTTGTTACAACAGAAGGCTTCTCAATTCCTGAAACAATGACGAAAACTTGTCATACCATGATCAGAATAGCAACCCTAGTTGAAAACCCAAAAGGATTCTACTATCTCACCATCTAGTCCAATAACTGGCTCAACCACTTTATTTCCTCTACCAACTGCTAGAATCCCAGCCTGCAAGACAATTGACAGTCCTGAAGTTTATTATCCAAAAAACACATCTGCACCTCTATAAATACTAAATTAAATCTTCCACCACACAAATTACTAACATCAAAACTTAATCTTCAATCTGTAATTCAGGGTGCATCGTTAAGGCTATGATTACCTGAGGGGGGTTAATGATTGCGCAGAAATGGTCCACAGGATACATCCCTAGATTTGATATGCTGGAAAACGATAAAGTATGGTTTTCTCGTTAAGTAGGAAAAGTTTCACATGATTGATAATTCCAGACGATGCTTAATAACTTAAAATGATGAGTACCTGAATGTCCCTCCTTGAAACTCATGAGGAGCAAGCTTTCCAGAACGCGCCTTTTGTGCCAGCTCCTTAACCTGCTCCAAAAATCGATTGACAAATCAAAATTCATAACTATCGATATGCAGCACATGAAATATGGTAAGAACTGATCAAACAAGTGTGCCTCTAAATTCGTTAAACTTCAGAGGGAAGAAAATTACCTCTAAGGAAATAGCAGAAATAGATTTCTGGTCTGCATTCTTGATAATTGGAGTCATTAAGCCCTGCAACACATGCCAAGATGATGAGAACTTAACTGTTGAAATAATAAAAAATTCAACACACAAGTGTACCTTCTCAGTTGCAACTGCAATTGATATGTCAACACTGTCACACATAACGATATCTTCTTTCTCAGCATCCCAGAAAGCTGCCAGACATTGAGAAAGAGAACTTTAAGCAACCATAACAAAGGTTTGACCAAGGAAAAGAGAAAAAACAACCATACGATTCCAATCCACAAATCATTACATCAAACTCAAACTAAAAAATAATTTCTCTTTACGAGGAGAAAATAATTTCTCACCATTAGCTTGCCGTACATTCCTCAGTGCGACTGCCACTGCTTTAATAACTATGTCATTGACAGACACTTTAACGCCATGGTTTTCTGTAGATCATGAAAGTACAGTTCACTTTGAGCCTCTCAAGTTGTTAATAAATACCAGGATGTGTGATAGGAGCAGTCTACAAACCTTGAAGTTCTTTTCTAAATGCAAGAAGAGGATCCAATACAACATCTGCAGGCACAATCAAATGCTTAAACAGCAAATAAAATACACAAAGAAAATAAAAAGGTTATGAGTCACCAACCTGATTGTAAATACAAATGGGGTGTCTTCTGTTTTGATTCCAATAAACGTTTTGCTATAATCTGCCAAGTGGGAAAAGTCAAACAGAAGGCAGCTTTTCATTATGATCCTAGCAGCAAACATTAATGCTGAAAGTATGTTTTCCCCTTAAGGAAGAATGCTTCAGCAGGAAATATTTCATCATTCCACATAGAGAGTAATAAATATGTTAATTTACCTTGCGAATTTGACTATTGGGAAAATCTTCATAATTATCTGACTGTGTCACAGAAGACTTCGATGTGGATGAGGATTTAGACGGGGTCTCCTTAGACGGTTGCTTCTTCTTCATAGACGCAGATGTTTTAGAAACTTTTCCAGAAGCAATTGCGGCCACAACGTCTGATTTCAGTAATGTACCATAGGGACCCGATGCCTCAATTGATGATGCCTCCAATCCATGTCCTAAAATCAATAGCTTCGCAGCAGGACTGATCTTTGTGAAGCCTGCTTTCCTCCCTGTAGGTTTATCTACAACACTGTGAGGGACTTCTTTAACTGTCTCAACCTCAGAACTACCTGCGGAAGAAGACTTGATGACTTCAATACTTTCAGCATCTTCAACCTACAGAGAAGAAGGATTAGCTTATAATATCCCCCAATCTGCAAGCAATTGTATTTTCAAAGATTTTTTGTACAGGCATAACCTTTACTTCAGGCAATATATAACGTAGCATGGAACTAGAAGAGTGTCCACAAATTTATGCACAAAATGCATTACACACAGGCTAGTAAAACAAATGGATCAAATATACTGGTCGTGGTAATACAGTTTTCTGGCATAAAGAATTCAGTTAATATACTTTTGAAGTAATAAACTTACTATAAGGGCAATTGGCTTTCCGACCGCCACATCCTTGGAACCTTCAGGAATTAGAATTTTAGCCAAGTACCTACACCAAAAGTCATCCATCAAGTTATACAATCTATTAATATAACATCACTCATCTGAATACTAATGCAGTCCAGTTAATCTGTTTTTGTAGAGGAAGCCCATACTCATATGAAAACTAAGAAACATGAAATCAGCCTTTAAATTCAAGGGAGAACACTTGAACAGACCTTACTTTCGCAATCAACATTTACTTCTCACTTAAACTAAACAAAAAAGAAGCACTATCCACAGATAGTGAATGCTATATAGAATGAACATCAACATGCTGCCTAGAAAAAGAAATCTCGTTTATGCTCCAAGTGATTATTAACAGGAATAAGACGACAAGATGTTAGGTATACCCCTCTTCAAGGCTTTCAAATTCCAGAGTGGCTTTGTCAGTCTCGATCTCACCTATGACATCACCCACTTCAATCTGTTGACCAGGAAATGAGAAGAATCAACACGGGCAAGTGCATAAACACCAGATATCTTGTGGTGAAATTACAATGCCAATTTACTCTCAGTCTTGGGTCACCAGAAACTAACCTTGTCACCCTCTTTTTTCCACCATTTGGCAATGTTACCTTGGTTCTGCACATCCATAAACAAATAATGAATCAGGGTTTCAGGATAGAAAGGTGGATGCCTTCTCCTCCAAAACAAGCTAGCATAAAATATGGAATTTCATACCATTGTAGGAGAAAGTGCTGGCATTTCTAAGACGACATGTGGGGGAAGATCTGATGTATCGGGCTGAATGGAACCTTTTTGTTGTGTGCTTTCGTCAGGTTTCATCTCTTGCTGAGCTGATGTTTCCTCTTTACCAACTCGTCCACCCTCTATGGTAGCAGTAACGTTTTGAATGTCGTCTTCCTCCTCAACCTTGGTTACAATTAAATATATAAGCTTACACCCTTATCCATCAAACTTATGTAGCAAGATGTTGACCAAACCCTAACCCTTATACGCTACACCCTAAACCCTAAACCCTACGATATAATGATGTAGGGGACATGACATGACAACTCAGGTTGACAAAAGGAAATATTTTGAAGAAGAAAGCATGAGATTGGATCTTGGTCATTTTTTCCACAATAAATCTTGACAACGAAATACCATACATCTCTATGATTCGTCAAGTCTCTCAGGATGTAAACCCAGGAAACGAAAGAAAATGAAGAGACCAAGAGCAGACTAGATAAACAAACAGGAACTCCTAATGAGCATATGTTGATGCATGCATTACCTTTTGTGAGATCATACTTGGTTTCTTTAAATGTATAAGACAGCCATTGTGCTTACCATTATTGCAATCGGTTCATTAACAGGGATATCCTTTGATCCTTCAGTGACTAAAATCTTGGCCAGAAATCTACAGAACCATGCTTTATTGTAAGCCAATTGACATTTGCATATACTGTACGTATTGTGAGTCAGCTTTTTGAATTACCAAGGTATACTGAAATAAAAAAAACATAAATCAAAACACATAAAATCATGAACCGGCTTTTTTCAGAATTACCCTTCCTCTTGACTCTCAAATTCTACAGTGGCTTTGTCTGTCTCTATTTCACATAGTACATCACCCACCTCTACCTGTCAGGAAGAACCAAAATTCATACCTGTTAATGAGAACTTCCACATCCTATATTTTCTTTGCCAGCTAATTTATCAATTTATCGTCTTTCTCGTATAATGATCATTCTTAGACAACATCATAGAAGTCGACTGAAATTTTTTCAACCAAAAATAACAATAACCCACCTTGTCACCTTCTTTCTTCATCCATTTCACAACATTTCCATGACTCTGCAAAAGCCCAACAAACATAAAACAATGATTGAAGTCCAAATTTCTTTACAAGATTGAAGTCCAATTTCCTACCATAGTAGGAGACAATGCTGGCATTGCAAGAACCGTCTGTGATATGGGTCCTACAACCCAAAGAAAAATAAGATTAATGGACGAATCTTGTATAATTGATTGCGTCTCCTGTCGCTATATCTAAGAGTATGATGGAAGCACAACATCAGAGAAAAGAGTGATATGGAATTTTTTGCATCATTTAACATGTCTTTTTTTCTATAAGATAAGAAAGTTTCCATTAATTATTCTTATCACCCACTTAATATCTGTGTTGGTAATTCTTGTGGCTAAAACAATTTAACAATTGGCTCGAATCAGATGAAAGTCCCATAATCAACTGGTTTAGCAATTCTATAATGGAATTGCTTTGTAGACTCATTTATGAAGATCTTTATTCCATAAGATGACATAACAGTCTATAAATACCTGTAGATGAAAAGTTTTGCAAGCCAAATCGCAGCTACAAGAAAACAAAGTCTGTGAGAAACAAGGATAGATGAAAGTGAAAAAAAAAAAGAAAAAAAAAAAGAGAAGAAAAGAAAAGAAACAGTACTAACTCTTCAACTTACAATAGGCTTTGGAGGACTATCATCCATTCTTGTAATCATGTCTATAGACGCAGGCCTGAAAATGTAGAACAGACAAAATCTGAATATGAACTAACAGTCTAACCCATAAGTCATCTTGTATCGACAAACTAAAACACTTCGTCCACTAAAAAAGAGATCTTAAGAGAAAAAATATACAGGATAGAGCTGAACCTAGAGAAAAGGAACTGGAATAGACTGTTCATGGTGTTCTTAACTTAGTAATTAGTATTGATTTAACATAAATTTGGGTAAACCTTTTTTGAAACCATCATCAATTACAGAAAATTGTGGTATGGAACACATACCTCACACCATTACTGCTACCAATCTTGTCGTCCAAGTGGTATAGTCCATTGGAAAAGCTGAATAAGAAAGTTCATGGTCAAAAATGTATTGGAAAGCTAAAGAAATCACACCATTTTTCGCTTCTATGAAGATAAATATAAGAAATGCCACGCAATTAGAACTCCAAAAAAGTCAATGGAGGATTGCCCAAAAAGAAAATAAGAAGAAAACGAAATCGATAATGGAAGAGCAACATCAAATACTTTGAAAGAGAAGGGACTAGAGAGAGAGAAGACGCGTGAGCAGAATAAGCGTACCGAGAATGGAATCCGGAGGCAGGAGCGAAAAGACGAGCTCTGAGAAGCGAGGAAGTCCGGGCGATCGCAGCGCGCCGGAAGAGCGGAAGCACCATGAGAGCACCTCGAGAGAAGAGGAGGGTTTGAGAAAATCACAAATGGGAGAGAGAGAGCCGATGATGATATCGAATCGTAACACTTTGATTTTGGTCAGATCACAGCGACGGCATGAACGATTCTCATTATTAGGAAAGTGTGTTCACAATTCAGATACGGCCCGGTCTGGCCCGGTTTTAAAAAACCAGTAATCGCTACTGAACCGGAAGTTCACATTTAACCATATTTAATTGATTGATTTTAGTGACGAACCGAAGTTTATAAACATTAAGAGCATGTGCAGTGGTAGTCTCTCACCAAAGTCTCTCAGATAAAAGAAAATTAATAAAATAATACAAACTATTATTTAATTGTGAGAGTGTATCAAAAAAGTGGTGAGAGTCTCTCACTTCTCAAGTGAGAGACTTTGAGAGATTTTTTCAACTTTTTGGAGAGACCCTCACAATTAAATAATACTTTTTATTATTTTATTATTTTTCTTTTACCTGAGAGACTTTAGTGAGAAACTTCCACTGCACATGCCCCTCGATTAAGTTTGGGTTTGATTGGTTTTCTGCGACCACCTTTAAAGTTTGCGAAAGGTCGCCGTTACATAAATATAGATTCTGTAAATTGTTCTCTATAAAGTTCATAGTTTTTACTTTATAACCATTTTAAATAAGAAAGGAAATTTATCAAAGCTTTGCGGCAATGGGTTGCAGAAATAAATGTTTTACAAATTAATTATTAATTAAGTGAACAAAATTTGATTAAAGAAGCGATTTGTTCACCAGAGTCCAGAGATAATCGTTGTTGTTGGACTTATGTGATTCAAATGGAAGCGATTTGACCAACAAGGGAGGAATGATGACTCATGATTCTCTAATAGTCCGAAGTTGATGCTTCTGGACGGTTTGTTCTTTAGGGGATGCACCCGGAGAAAGCCTTCGACATGATGGCGAGTCGAATCTTGAAACAATTGCAAGGCTAAGGTGACTTTCTAGAAGACATACATATAAGTTGTTCTTTTGAATGCTCTCTTACGCTAATCATAAATTCATAATTTAAAAAAAATAATAATAATAAAAGACCTAGTCAAAAAACCAAAAATATTGGGAGGAGAAAAAAAATGATGTATCTACAATTTTGTTCTTATGTCAGTATAGAGATGTCTACTTGATGCTGAGCTCAAAAAAGGATTTAACATGTAGAAACGTCCTTCCATGGAAGGTAAGAGTATCTTTGAATGTGATTGTGCTATATATGTTGAATTCATGCTCAATTAGCGATATCTAGTTAAGGGGAACGACGACAGTGAGACCAAATCTCATATATATAAGATATGAGTCTTGATGAATGATGTATGTGTTGAAATATTGAGTGATCTTTTTTTTTTTTTTTGACATCAAGAGAGATTCTTTCTTAGACTATAAATTTCGATCGTTCAAGGTGTAGTGAAAGAGTATATATTTATATGAAATATATGACTGGAGCTAGTGACAAAGGGTTGAGTGAGTTGTTTCAGTTGTTGGATGACAAGTAATTGAATTCATAGTGTTTTCGGCGGATGGAACATGAACTATTAATTAACCCTAGCGCAACTAGATAACTTTTGTGATGCGTCACTTATATTGGAAGAAAGCACATGCATGGCGTTGTCGAACAACAAACGTGTTTCTCCATACATGCACATATAGTCAGTCTCATGTGTATTAGTCATGTGGATTGTCATAATGTCATGCATATAATATTTGTAAAAGTTAAAACAACTGATGACAAAGACGAGGAGATAAGAAGCCGAGGCTCTTTGTCATATCTCTAGACAAAAAACTAGAAAGTATTACATGTCTCCAAAATCTTCGCAGAAGTAGCCCATGGAGCTGCATGCTTCGATCGGTTAGGGGGAACTGGGAAGAGTCCACCGTTTCCAGCATCATAGGAATTTGATTATTTGCCGATTTTGCTTGGTACAGGATTTGTTTGACGCAATATTTCAAAACTTACCAAAACTTAGTTTTTAATTTGAGATATATTATACCTTTTTTTTTTGTAAAGAGATAATTATACTTTTTAATTTGTAGTATATAGTGTCAAAAAAATATTGCATTATTAAAAAATCCATAATTATACTTTAAAACTTTGCATTCAGTTAATTATCATATCTTTTCATATTTACAATATTAAAATTCTTTGTAAAATATCTTTTTCTAACAATCAGATTACGTTCAATCTTTTCCTTTTTCTATATTACATTTTTTTTTAAACAATGAGATTGACAATTTGACACCAATGGGAAAGTCTGCTATAGATTACGGAAGCACGATGTGACCGAACTTTTGTATTAAATTCGGCATCGGAACAAGGATCTTAAGGAATATCCTTTCCCACCACCGCATATGCACGATTACTACAACGCAAATGTCTGAGATTTTGCAATTCCATTATTATACTCAACAACATCTCTCTGTCCAATTTCCAAAGTCAACTCTCCTTATTAGTTTTTGTTTTACTTTCTGTTTTCCTCTTGATCAACAACAACCAAAAAAAAAACAATATTTGCGTATATATAACGATCCAAATTGGAGAGTCAGATAGAGAGAGACCAAAGAGGAAATTAATCATCAATCAATACCAACGAATGGAGATTGAAGAAGCGAGTCGTGAAAGTGGACATGTTGTGTGCGGATCATGGATTCGTCGCCCGAAGAAAGTAAACTGGGTTCTTATCGCTAAAGCTTCTAAACGCCGTGGCTCATCTGTTTCTTCTCCTGCTCTTCTCAACATCTTCTCTTTTGACCCCGTTACTGCTTCTCTCTCCTCCTCTCCTTTGGTAAATTCTTCTTACACCTTTGAATTTTTGAATCGTGAGCTTCGAAATCTTATTGGGTTTTGGGTGAAATCTAGTCTAGCTCTTTGGATTGGGATATTTGGGTTCTTCTGAAATCTTAATCATGCAAGAATCTAGGGTTTTTCAAGCTGTTTGCTTCTGATCCTGAGAAAGCACAAAGCCCTTTTCTTTTGGTAGTTACTTCTGTCGACTAATGAAATAAAAAACCAACCTTTTCCTTCTTATTCTTTGATCAAAAAGGCAACACACACGCTTAAGGAGAGTGATGGTGATCCTGTGACTGTTTCAGTGCATCCTGGTGGAGATTACTTTGTTTGCTCAACCTCCAAAGGTGGTTGCAAGTACGTTTCTATCTCTGTTTTTACCACCCACACGTTTTTATTCAAAGACATTCTATAGTTCCTTCCTCTGATACTATGTTTCTAATTTTGTTGAGTTGGTATTGTTAAACTATGAAGAACATGAGAACTAGACATCAAATTGACTAGAACTTAACATTGCTTCTCTCATTACATCAAACGATCTCCCACCTTATATGTTTGCTCATGTAGAATTAATTGTAGTGATGCTTGAATTTCTTGTGTGTTTAGGTTTGGTTTATTATATATCTGCATATACTTTTGTTGGAAATTGCCGTTGCCTTTTACAACTGGCCTCTTTCTAGTATTGATCCATGTATCTTTTGACTTCCCTTTCTTGCATTTATCTTTTGCAACTCTGCTATTCCATCTATTTCACACTTACTAAAGAACTGGAGTTGACTTCCACCATTTTGGACACTATCTGCCTTATTGTCTATACAAATTTTGTTTACGGTTCAGATGGTAAATATAGATTATTTGGTTTTCAGGTCATTTGAGATTGTTGGAGGAGCAACAGGTATTACGATCTTAGCCAAAGAACTCCTTCCCCTCCAAAATGCTGGACTACAAAAGTGTATGGCCTTCAGCTTTGATGGGTCTAAATTAGCTGCTGGGGGAGTGGTAAGGAACTGAAATATAATAAGGGATTTTTTTCTTTCACTGTTGCGACAATTTTAGTTGTAGCTTACTACAAGCTATTTTTCAGGATGGATGTCTCAGAATTATGGAGTGGCCAAACCTAAGTGTAATTTTGGATGAGCCAAAGGCACACAAATCCATCCGGGACATGGATTTTAGGTAAACACCGGAACCTTCTCTACCACCATCCCTCCTTTTATATTATTTTCAATGTGAAACCGTGATTGAGGTAGTAAAAACTGGTCTTCTGTATAGAACTGGGACTTGGTCATACAACACAAATAGAAGTTAATGGAGATTGTGAAACGAATCCCGTTGTGTGCATCTTTCTCATATTTGCATCTTTTTTTGTAGTCTTGACTCAGAGTTCTTAGCTACAACATCAACTGATGGATCAGCTAGAATATGGAAAGCAGAAGATGGTTTTCCTTTGTCTACTTTGGAACGTAGTGGGGTATGTGATTGTGAGAGTTAAAGTTTGCATTTGCATTCCTATATTTCTAAACTAACAATATCCAATGAATTCTGTTTGAAGGATGGGTTTCATGTCTATGGTCTTTTTCAAGAAATATAATTCTGAGATTTCTCTCTCTTTCGATTTGTCTCTCGCGTGTTTCTTATATTGGCTTCTGATATATCCTGCCTAATTCTGATATCGTCATGTCTTCAGGATGAAAGTATTGAACTGTGCCGTTTCTCTAAAGATGGAACAAAACCTTTTTTGTTTTGTGCTGCTCAAAGAGGTATGTAATATATCCGACTCTCGAGTAACATCACTACTATTTCAAATCGATAACATCATATGAAATGTTAAACAATTGGAATCAGGTGATACGCCTTTGGTCAATGTTTATGACATTAGTACATGGAAGAAGCTTGGATTCAAGAAGTTGTCAAGGAAGACTGCATCGACAATGGCAGTGAGCTTGGACGGAAAATATATTGCTTTGTGAGTGTTTCTTCATCCCCGGGCTGCTTATTGCTATCAGGCTTGTGATTGTACAAAGCTTAAAACCTCATATTTTGCACCTTTTTTTGTAGGGGTGGGAAAGATGGAGATGTATCAGTTGCTGAAGTTAAGACAATGGAAATCTACCACTACAGTAAGAGGCTACATCTTGGTCAATCCATTGCTTCACTTGAGTTCTGCCCTAGTGAAAGGTACGGTGAATCATTCGAAAAAGATAAATGATAAATCGAAACCCTTATGTCTCCGCATTGTTTCTAATGTTAATCTTTATCTAATTGGTTCTTTGTAGGGTTATGCTGACAACTTCGAGTGAATGGGGTGAGATGGTGACCAAACTCAGTGTACCAAAGGAGTGGAAAGGTTTGTTGCTAATCGCTGTCTCTGCAAATATGTATGGCGCATATACGTTTATATATCCATCTCTTTCTCACTCATATCTATCTGTTTGTTTGATGTGCAGAGTGGCAGATATATGCACTGTTGTTTTGCTTGTTCATGGCATCAGTGATAGCTGCATACGTTTTCTTCGAGAACTCAGATTCGTTTTGGAGGCTACCAATGGGGAAAGATCAGAAAAGACCAAAGATAAGTCTTTTTGGAGGTTCCTCCTCCACGCCTTCTGAGGATCATAGTAGGTGGAACTTGGACCTATAGAAGAGATTTATGTATAAATTCATGTGACTCTTTCCTCTGCTTTTTTTTCTTCTTCTTCCATATCTTGTTGCAATGTTTTTTTTCCCTTTCTTCTGATTTTGCTCTGACAAATAACTCTTTTGATTCTGGAATTAAAATTCATTTTACTGTTTTGAAAACAGTCTTTGATTTCATTAATTGATTTATTTACAAGTAAGTCAGTCAGTTACTGTTGCGAATTACTTCTGATGAACAAAAATTAGAAGTATTGAAATTGCAGAAAAGATCTTTTGTAGCAATAAAAGAGACGTGGTGACGTCATATGACTAGTGGTCCCATTAGACCACCATTAACAAGGGTATCTTAAAGAGTTCTTAAGTAAGAAATGTGGCTTAGCTAAGACCCAAAACTAAGAAAAGTGGCTTAGCTAAGACCCAAAACTAAGAGTTCTTAACTTTAATACTTCTAAGAACCATTTTTAAGATACCATTGTTAATCATGCTCTTAGCTCTTAGAAAAAACGGAAGATATTAAAAAGGGTGATTTAGGTGAATAACCAAAAAAAAGAGAAAAATTAGTTTTTTAGAAAGAAGGTAGAGAGAGATAGGAAGAGAAAGAGAGTGAATAGGGGGGTTAGAGGTTAGTTATTGAATTAAAGTTTTTTTGTGGGTTAGTTTTGCCAATTTCCCTATTAAAAAAGAACCTCTCACTTTTCATCTTCATAAAATAATCTCTAACAAAAGTACTTTGACAAAATAACCCAATTCAAATTTAACGGTGCTGATGTGGCAGCAGATATTACTTTTTTGAAGAGGGTGTTTTTGATATACTGAAAAGTTGGATACTTTTTTTTAATAATAATTTTCCACTTTACGCAAGAAACAAAAGTGATTGCATTCCCGGTGCGGACCGTGGGGGTCCCAATTGTATCGTCGTGACCGTCAGAGTCACACTCACAAACATTTTTGGACATGAATTGAAAAATTATTATAATTACCAGATTTTTATGTATCGTCGAACTGAGAGAGAAGTAAGTAGCTTCGTTTGCTTCCTCTGATATTTTTGCTACACTCTCTCAATAATGAATTGCCTTCAGAATCTTCCCAGGTATCTCTTCTTGCTTTCACAAATTAGCAATTTTTATGAAAATGTTGTTGATTTGGGTTCTTTGATTTGATTTGAGTTTGTGTGTTGTGTTTGATCGTTACTTATTTCAGATGTTTGGTCTCACCTCTGCTGGGATTTGGGTGCATTCAAAGAGATCCTTCTCCTTCTTCTCTGAAGATGTTAGTATCACCTCCGATCAAAGCCAACGATCCAAAAGCTCGACTTTTTTTACAGGTATACACCTCTTTTAAGATATATTGTTATATCAGTGTTGTTGGGGTTTTTTTTTTTTTTTTTTGTTTCTTGCTTTTATTGAAATTTTTCTAAATGCTTTGAGTGTAGGCAGTATCAGAGTCAAAGTCCAGCTCAGAGATGAGTGGTGTTTCAAAGGAGGAAGAGAAATCTGATGAATATAGCCAAGACATGACTCAAGCTATGGGTGCTGGTAAGTTTAGGTTATACCTTTACATGTCCTTAGATTGGAAACTCTAATGATGTCTACCAGTTGTTGTCTCATATTGGAATATAGATTTGGTTCATTAGATTGTATTCTACTCTTATTTTTCAATCTTTCATCTTGATTAGTTTTGTTCATCTGTCTACCAAGGAATCCTAACTCTTTTGCTTGTTTATTGGCAAACTTGTTCTCCTTAATTACAACTTTATTCGTCCACTGATTGATTGATTCTTATGTTTTTTCATTTCAGTTTTAACTTACAGGCACGAGTTAGGAATGAACTACAACTTTATTCGTCCAGATTTAATTGTTGGATCCTGCTTACAGGTTTACTTTTATATCCTTCTGTCAAATGATGATTTTGTTTTGGAAATGTGTTACTTTCTTGGTGTTCTTACTGTCTGCTCTCCTCTATTACTAGACCCCTGAAGATGTTGACAAGCTTCGTAAAATTGGGGTTAAAACCATATTTTGCTTGCAACAAGATCCAGACTTGGAGTATCCTTCCAAAGCCCTCTTTCTCTGCTCTTGTTTATGATTTTTTTTTTTCAGTTTCCTTGACCAATCCTTCCAGATATTTTGGAGTAGACATAAGAAGCATTCAAGCCTATGCTAAGAAATATAGTGATATTCAGCATATTCGCTGTGAAATCAGGTAAGGCCTTGGTAAATCAAGGAGCCACACTTTTTGGTGATCTAGCTGTGAATTTGTGATGTATTGGTATTAGCTAATGAATTGAGGGAGAGATCATGAGTTCAGAATTACCTGAATAGCCGAGGGAACAAGGGTATATATACACTGTTAGAGGGTGGTCTCAGTTATCTTTTAGGCAAGCAGTCTTTAAATTCCTAATGTTATGTCAGTAAAGTGTTATACTTTCTTTTTCTTTGGGCTCTTTACTTTTATCACTTTTCCTAAGCAAATGGGATATCACCACACTTTTGTGTAAGCAATAACTGGTTTATGATGAATAATGAATGACTTTTTGTTTTACCTGTTGCGAAATTACGGCTATCAAGTATTAACTAACTTTTTTGTTCGTCCACCTATGTCTGTTTGCAAACTAGAGTAAATGTAGAAGTTAGTCACCATACCAGTCTCACTAAATTTCTTTACTGTTTAAGACTTGGAACCATCATCATCCCTTTTCGCATATGGCATACATGAGACTGTTCACGAGCACATGCATAGAAAAATTCAACATGAACGCACTCACTCAGAATGTAGGGGCTTGACATATTATAATATTTGATGTAACAGAGACTTTGATGCATTTGATTTGAGAATGCGTCTTCCAGCCGTGGTTAGTACACTTTACAAAGCTGTTAAGCGAAATGGAGGAGTTACATATGTGCACTGCACTGCTGGAATGGGAAGGGCTCCTGCTGTTGCGGTATGTTGCAGAAACCTGTTACTGTGCAATTCTCTTTTTTCCCCTTATTTTTTTCTGTACCACATCTTTTATCGTGAGTCTTCTATGGGCGTAATTCTATTGCTTCCAATATTGAAAAATTGTTTCAGTTCAGTTCGAAGAAATACAATATGAGACTGTTGAAATCAGTAGTTATCTTATTTTTGTGCTTCTTTGGTTGAATAAGGGAGTAATCAACTAATGTTCACTTTGATTTCAATTTCAGTTGACATACATGTTCTGGGTGCAAGGCTATAAACTTATGGAAGCTCATAAATTACTTATGGTAAGATACTGGTGTAATTCTGCTCTCTGTTGCCTCTGCATGATCTTCTTGGTACCTATATTAAGTAACCTAACATGGTAATCATGTTCAACTAATTTTACTGCCAGTTATATAATGTGAGGATGCTTGGGGATTTGTTCTTTCTCCTATGAACCAATGATTATGATAAGTAGAATTCTAAACCATTTGGATCACGTTTTATAGTAATATATACTGAAAAATAGCATCGAAAAGAAAAACTCTTGGGTTCATACATCAAATAGTCTAGCATTTAGACATTTTAATTGAGAGATTTTTCGATGGCTGGTGAATCATAAAGGCACACGTAAAATTGAACTATACAACATCTCTGAAAATTTATTGCAGAGCAAAAGGTCATGTTTTCCGAAGCTGGATGCTATCAGAAATGCTACAATTGATATTGTGAGTCATCGTTCAACTTTCACAATGCTTGCAGAAGCTTATCAGTTCCATTGATTAGCATAAGTTACAACAATTGTTGCATAGTTCCTTCATTCCTGATTATTGTTTCCGGGTATAAATGGACATAAAAGCTTACAGGACTGAAGAAGAAGACTGTTACTCTGAAACTGAAAGACAAGGGATTCTCCTCAGTAGAAATTTCTGGCCTTGACATTGGATGGGGACAGGTGGAAAAAGTTTTTTTTCCTTAAATCAGATAATATATTATAATTCGTTGTTCTTAAAACTATGGTGTGCCATATAAACGTTAAAGCTAGGATGCACATTTCATGAAAATATTGTCTTATAATTCTGCAGAACTTCTTGGGAGTATTTATAGTGTAAATCTTTTGCGCTACTTATCACCAGATTTTTTCCTTTATGTAGAGGATACCTTTAACACTGGACAAAGGAACAGGATTTTGGACCCTAAAGAGAGAACTGCCTGTGAGTTTTCTTAATAAACTGGAAAGCTCAATGTATATGCTTTTGTTATCATTTTCCGACCGCAGCTACGATTTCTGAAATGCAGGAAGGACAGTTTGAATATAAATATATCATAGATGGTGAATGGAGACACAATGAGGCTGAACCGTTTATAGGACCTAACAAAGACGGCCATACCAACAACTACGCAAAAGTAAAAATGTCTCTGTCTCTTAACATAGAAGTTGAACAAGTATTGATGAATGAGTTAATGCTGTAACGTTGTTGTGTACTAATGAAACAGGTAGTGGATGATCCAACGAGTGTGGATGGTGCAACTCGGGAGAGACTATCGAGCGAAGACCCTGAGCTGTTGGAGGAAGAACGCTCGAAACTAATCCAGTTCTTGGAAACTTGTTCTGAGGCAGAGATTTGAAAGTTGAAAGCATCCTTTAGATAATGTGAATGTACAACTTACTAGTAACAATAAAATGCTTCATGTTGGTAATACAGACAGTTACGTTAATAGCAGCAACAAAACATGAAGTTAGAGTTTAATAACGTTCTTTCACCATGTCATAATCGGTGAGGGTCGAAATTGATTGATTAAAAAGTATTCTGGGTACAAAAGTGACCTGAAGATAAGAAATTTTAAGATCAATAAGGGTCTAAATCGATTAAAAAAAGTGTTCGGGGTCAAACTGAAAATAAGTAAAGAAATAAGGAATAACGAAGATGACGATTTTGCCCCAAAAGGTGAAATAATTTACCCAAATTCCCGCTTGCGCCTCCCAACACTGACACTATGTTTTGTGTCTGTGTACTGCGTAGGGTTTAGTCCATTTGCGAAGATGACTCGTGAATTCTAATCTCTCCCTCTCTCTCTCTCTTTTTCTCGCGGTTGCAGAGTCGTAGGTAAACCGTATAAGCACCTTTTTCTTACTTTCTCATCTCTTCTTCATTATCAATGGAGTTTTTGCTTTTCAAATGTCCTTTTTCTTTATGCCGCTTCGTGTGTGTTGTCTGGATTGAGCGTCTTCGTTGTTCTGTTTGCTATTAAGACAGTTCGTGTTTCGAAATAATGAACTAAACGGATCTGTCTTAAGAATTTTGTTTATTTGGTAGACTTGTAATGTTTTTTTTTGTTGGGATGATTGTCTGCTTCTGATAGTGCTTTAACTCTTCTGTAGCAGGATATATAGAACAAAGAAAGAACATGCACTCTATGAAGACTAGTTACGCCGGGCAAATATTTGCTCTAGCTAAGCCTCACGATTCTGTAGGCAAGAGGACTCGTAATCGGATTCCTAAAGAAGAGAGAAAGACACTGGTTGAATCTTTTATAAAGAAGTATGCACCTAGTTCTCTTCCCGTAGCCAGAATTTTGATTTTTTTTTTCAAGCCACATATCGTAATTGGTGTTTGTTTTCAGGCATCAAAAACTAAACAATGGGAGTTTTCCTTCACTTAGCCTCACACACAAGGAGGTTGGTGGATCTTTCTACACTATAAGGGAGATTGTCAGAGAGATTATCCAAGAAAATAGGGTCCTTGGTCCTGGTGACTTGCTTCTTCAGGGAAATGGCTCTGTGCAAGATCAAAGTCTTTCAAGTTCAATCCTGATGGATCCTGTCCCCCCTTTATCTTTGTCTCCAAACGGATTCCATTCTGCATCAGACCAAAGTTATGATTTTTCTTCTGAGGCTGAGGAGACGAAGTCACTTGTAAGCGGGGAAAACATTAACGGTAGCCAGGCTAGCTTGGATGACAGAGGATCTGATATACTGAATTGCAGGGAAGTGAGTGGAAATCAACTTTTGAAAGAAGACATTGTGCTCGTACACCAGTCAATGGACTCCACTGAGCTTGCAGCATCTTGCAGTGAAGAAAATGATATCAAGAGTGATGCAGGGCTACAACATATAATGGAGACAGTGTGCGATAGTGTTGCCACCAAACCCCAGGATAAAGGACTTGATGTGGATAAAAAAGATGAAGGATTTGAGGAACTACCTTTCATGGAATCAGATGGCACAAAACCTGTTAACAATAACAAAAGAGTGAATGATGCAGGAGCAGCTATGACCGAGATTGAGAGCATGAAGAACGTATTAGGCACAATTGATATGCCAGCAGAAACAGTTGTTGAGACGTTTCCATTAAAATCTGTCACTTCAACGATGGACTCACCGGATGCACAGCCTAGTGACTTGGACGAAGTTTGTGAGGGTGGGAAAGGAACTGAGACAGAGGTGGAAGCTCATAGCAGCACCATAAATCATGTTGATAATGGGGAGATTTCATCATCCACTTCTTCTGCTGTACTTAATGAAAAAGGGACGGAAGTCATTGTTGGTCAAATGCCAAATCATATTTCTGTCCCTATGGAAAAGAAAGTTGGAGAGGAAATTGTAAATCCTGCTTCAGTAGATGTTGAATGTGCTGATACTAAAGAGACAGTTGTTGTGAATGGTGTGATTGGCAACATCCAGGAGACAAAGGAATTTAGTAACGGAACTTTGACAGCTGAACCGAAAATGCCAACATCTAACACTGAGGTAAGCATCGTCTAGTATATGTGTGCTTTTACATTCTATTTGAACACTGGAACTAAATATTCTTCATGGTGTCGATGCAAGAAAAATGTTTGTGTCCAACAGGTTGCCCTAAATATTCTCCTAGTTTTCCTATCTGAGTTTAGGATAAAGTGTTTCATGATAGTGGCTGAAGGACATTAATGATGGAATAGTCAACCTCTTGAATGTTCTTAGATATTTTGGTAGTCAATTTTGATGCTCCAACTTTGAGAATTAAGGTGAAACTGAATATATGCAAAGCTGTTAGTTGATTGTTCTTTAAAACTACGTTAAACTACTTGGCACATGAGAAATCCACACAAGGATGATAACTTTGTTACTGTTTAAATGTGTAACAGTCGGGAAGTCGTAAAAACGACAGCGCAAAAGTGGACACTATGAGTAGCTATGCCGGGAATGAAGTCGCAAGTGTAGAGAAGAAGGCAACCATGGAAAAAGGGAAACTTGATGCTCCAGATAGTTCAAGCTCTCAAAAAGAAAACAATGCAACATTAAACAGAATTAAACCGTGAGTAAACACACTCCAAAGTCTGTGTTTGGGTTTCCAGAGGTTTCAGTTTTTTCACATAGCTTTCTTTCTTCTTGTTTTCAGTGAATCGTGGAAAGGGGAATCTAATATGGGAAGACAGGAAACAAATCCTCTTTTGGCAGCTCTGAAATCTTTCTTGACAGCCTTTGTGAAGTTTTGGTCCGAGTAATGATACATTGTAGAGATCTGTTGGTTAAAACTTTTGTAGTTTTCATTAGTGAGAGTTGGTAAGGTTAAGATAAGATATGGTTTGAAATGTGCTGTAGTACAATTTTTGTGTTGAATGTTATGGTTACATGTAATGGGTTGAATCTTCTGTTCAAATATAGTCCAATCATGGATGAAACATCAAAATTCTGATACTCTTCTTGGACATTTCAATTTCAATTCTATGAATCTCGAGGTATCGATTATCTTGTTTATTGTAGCAGATTTGTTTGAAGAATGGGAGCTTGCTTCTCATTGGTCAAAACTGGTAATTACATGAACCGAGCTTTGGTTTAGTTACACCACACCAACTGAATGATGCAGCAAAACCCGCCACTTCAACGGTAACATGCACCAAAGAAGCCATCTTTCTGTTACAATGACTCATATTTATCTGATTATTTATTCAGAGACCACAAGGTTTTGATGCTTATTGAAAATGGAAAAAGAGGCAACAAAGATGATGAATGGTGGAGTTAAGTCAAAGTCACCCAAGGGCAGTCCTGATTTCCTCAGATATGTGAATATGAGATACGTCAAGCTTGGATACATTTACCTTCTCTCTCTCTCCCGTACCTTTTTTTTCTTCATTCCTCCTCTTCTCCTTCTCTTCATCTTTGTATATCGATTTCTCCCAATCTTGGCTTTTCCTTTATCTATCTTCTTCCTCCTCCTCATCTATCATTTTCTTACTCCTTCCTCTGTTTTTCTTCTCGATTTCTCCTGTTACCGCCCACCCGATCATCTCAAGGTCATGTCTCTTCCCTCTCCACCTTTCTTCTCTCTCTTTCGCCTTCTTCTCATTGTTGTTTTGTGGGTGTAAATTGTACAGATCACGAAAAGCGACTTCATCGAGCTGGCAATGAAGTCCGGTAACTTCAACGAGACTGCCATCGAGCTTCAAAGAAAAGTGCTGGACCAATCAGGGATAGGAGAGGAGAGTTACATGCCAAGAGTGGTGTTCAAGCCTGGTCACAGGGTCAATCTTCGTGATGGTCGTGAAGAAGCAGCAATGGTGATCTTTGGAGCAATTGATGAACTTCTTGCAGCGACCAAAATCAACGTGAAGCATATCAAGATCCTGGTGCTAAACTGCGGAGTCCTCAACACCACGCCATCTCTATCGGCCATGGTGATTAACCATTACAAGCTGAGGCATAACACAGAGAGCTACAATCTTGGTGGTATGGGGTGTAGCGCCGGAATCATAGCCATTGACTTAGCCAAAGATCTTTTGAACGCTCATCAAGGCTCTTACGCTTTGGTGGTGAGCACTGAGATAGTAAGCTTCACTTGGTACTCAGGTAATGACGTCGCGTTGCTTCCACCAAATTGCTTCTTTCGAATGGGAGCAGCTGCAATTATGTTATCTAGTCGGCGTATCGACAGATGGCGAGCCAAATACCAACTTATGCAGGTGATAATAACAAAGAAACACTCTGACTTACTCTTGATCTGTTATTTGTTTTGACTAATGACATTGTAACTGGTGAAATGAAACAGATAGTAAGAACCCATAAAGGCATGGACGACACAAGTTATAAGAGCATAGAATTGAGAGAAGACAGGGATGGGAAACAAGGACTGTATGTATCTAGAGATGTGATGGAAGTTGGTCGCCATGCACTCAAAGCAAACATTGCAACGCTTGGTCGTCTTGAGCCTTCTTTTGAGCATCTATGTGTATTGGCATCGAGTAAGAAAGCGCTTGATGAGATTCAAAAGGATCTCAAGTTGACGGAAGAGAATATGGAGGCATCAAGACGGACACTGGAACGTTTCGGGAATACATCAAGCAGCAGTATATGGTACGAGCTAGCTTACTTGGAACACAAAGGGAAGATGAAAAAAGATGATAGGGTTTGGCAGATCGGTTTCGGGTCAGGGTTTAAATGCAACAGTGTTGTATGGAAGGCCCTAAAAAACATTGACTCTCCAAGACACAATAACCCATGGAATCTCTGACTCTGACGATTTTTCGATACCCCAACTCTAATGTTTGATCACAAAAACAGCTACAAGTGTATGGTAACGTGAATAAAATAACCCACCAGTGAAAAGAGTCAATTAGTTAAACATGCAAACTCCCATTTATATAAATAATGTAACTGCATTTGAACATATCCTTGATGCTCGGATCTTACATAAGGCAAACATCCAATCAAGAGATGCAATCTGCTCTTGCTGTGTTCATCATCATCAGCTAAAAACTAAGCTTAACTACTCTAGCACATGAGAAATGCACATATGGATGAAACTTTACAACGTTTTATATAAACTTGAAGGTAAACTTGAAGCTAGGGATAGTTCCAGTTTCTTACACACAGATGCTACTATCTGGAGCCACTAGACCCTCAAGTTTCCATCCGCCAGGGCCAGAGAGCGCAAAAGCCTGCGATGGCCAAAAGAAAGAATTAGCTCCAAATCAAAGAAAAAACGAGCTCATGCATATCTGAAAAGGATGGAATCTACAAACTTCTTCCCAGGAGTTGCCAAAAGCCTGAAGCAAAGCAGCATTGCATGTTTTCAACTTAACAGAAGCTCCAGAGAGCATGGAAGCTGCTTCTTCCCAACCCTTATTGTGCCCCATACACCTGTGTAGCAATCAAGTAAGAAATGATAACATAGCACGAGGAATATGAAGCAAAAAGAGTGATCAGAAACTAACTAACATGATAGTGGAGATATCAGGGGTTGAATATTTGGAGATAATGTTTTGAAGATGCTCGGCGGTTTGGCCATCCATAGCAGCAATGGAGTAAAAGCTAGGAATGAAATGTACATTTGCCTCCATAAACTCATCTACTTGTGCTTGCATTGACTTCAGTGTCTCTCTAGTGCGAGTGGCGTCACTGTGAAATGAATCATTTTACCACCATTCTCAATCACGAAACGAAAAATATAAACTGATAATTTGAAGAAGGAACTTACCTTGAGAGAATGAGTTGGGGAAGCCAACCAAGTGAGGAGAGGATTTGAGCTACTTTGGCAGCATCGGCTTGTCCAGTTTTACTTAGAGGACGATCATGGTCTATTCGTTGAGACACAGACAGAGAGAGAGAGACATAGAGATTTAATTTTTCGATTTTGAGGGAGAAGAAGAAGAGAATCAGAGAAAGAGAAGAGTACCTCTAAGGGAAAGATCATCCCAGGAACTGTGAGCGTGACGGAGAAGGATAAGGCGGCGAGAGATTGGGGACGACGGAGAAGCAGCGAAGTCACTAGTCGCACGAAGTGGAGCCGTTGAGCAAGAATTGGTGCTCCGATTTGGGACGGAGATGAAGAAAGGAGGAAGACACTGCAAGCTAAGCATCTCTGGCTTTGATTTTAGTCAAAGGATGGTGCTTTATCGCGTAACGACTAAAAGAAAAGTAATTTCTTTTTTTCTATTCGTTCGCCGTGAAATTTGAAGATAAGGTCGATTCTCGATTGGTCCAAGGTAGAAAGAAGAAGAAGGAGATTTGAACTTTGAGATCTCTGAGGAACCGCTGGTCGAGATTTTGATCAGTTAGCCAACGAAAGTCTAATGAGATTCAAGTGCGTCTCGAAACTATGGTTCTTCTTCTTCCTCATCGAATAAGGACCGTTGCTATCAACTAACAAACAGAACTAGCTATAGAAGCAAAAACACCTAAATTATGAAATTTTTAGAGATCAAAGCTCACAAGTCACAACTAGAAATCATCACTACCAAGCATATAGTTCAGAATCAAGGTCTGTCTTCATCATAAGATAAAAACACCAATTTTACATTGTACGATACATTTATGGAAAGGAAACTTGAGTGGAGATAAATTTAGCTTGGGGCTCTGTTTACACTGCCTAGAAATCAGATTACCACAACTATAAACTTTTGAAAAGATATGGTTTCATTTTCAACTTGGAATGAATACAAGATGATATACTATGCTCTAATGATTTGCATTACAAAACTCTTCAAACCGATTTTTTTCACATTCTTTATGATCCCATCTGCTTACGCCTTATTCACCCGAATCTTCTGTCCTTCCAGCAACTGCAGTTTAAAACCAACCGCAAAATGAGACAAAAAGATAATGCACACTCTATTCTTATCAGTGAAGACTATGGAGCAATTGAGGCACTTACCGAATTGTTAAGAGCCAAAATGGCAGCTTCAACATCTTCTTCTGAAGAAAACGTTACGAATCCAAACCCGGTGGATTTCGAAGTTCCAGGTACTCTTGAGACCTTGGCACTTACTACTTTCCCTTTCTCAGAAAACAAATTCTCAAGCATCTCTTTTGTAACAGTCTTTGCTAGATTTCCAACATACACTTTGTAAGGGCTATCTACAAATGCTGAATCTTCAGACTGAAGCAGTGATAAATCAGGAGATGATGATGCTATAGGTTTCTCTGTAATGTTAACCTTTATCTCACGCCCTTCAACGGTCTAAGACAAAACAACAAAGCTCTGTCATTTTTCAGAACCTAAATGAATGGAAAGAAGCAATTAGTGGTTCAAAAACTCACATTGCCATTCAATTTCTCAACCACAGCATTAGCATCTTCAACTGATTTCATTGTAGCAAACCCAAATCGACGGCTTCGTCCTGAATACTTATCATACATCACCTGATGAAATCAACACATAACACATAACATCAAATAACAAATCTTGATGATAACTAAGTAACTAACTATAGAAGAAGGAGATGTAGGAATAAAAACCTGAACTTTTTCAACAGAACCGTGTTCTTCAACAAGTTTAGTGAGCTGCTCATTGGTCACCGTCCTTGGTATGTTACCGATATAGACACGCCTAGCGGCTTCGGAACTAGGGTCCAAAGCAGCGGGTTTTTCTTCCGTCTCCGTTACAGCATAAGGAATGAATCTGGTTCTAGAGCTCCCGGCGAGAGAAGGAAAGCTCCCGGCGAGAGAAGGAAAGGGTTTCGAGGAGAATACATTGGCACGCGTCTGCAAAGGAGTGAAGGATTCGGACTGGAATGAGAAGATTGTAGGTTTGATTGAAACAACATTTGTTAGGAAAGTCGCCATTGTCGGAGGAGAGTGAAGGTACTGTCGATAAGGAAGAAGGTGTTGTGACTTGTGAGTGTCGTCGACATTATCCATTAGCCATCTCTCACCTCTAAGTTCTAACTTGTGTGGATAATTGGGCCTTCTCAAGGCCTGAATTTTGGGCCTAGGAACATTATGCCGAAAGGGAAGTTGTGAAGGGAAGATGAACATCAATGAATTGTGATGATCACTAATGTATTCATTGATGGATTATTCGTTAAGTCAAGTACAATCTAGTGTCCCTTTAAACACGCAAGAAGCCAAGTCAGGATTTATATAAAGGCACAAAAATAGTAAGGCTGCGAGGTTAATAATAAGCGTGAACTGTGAGCTTATTGCAGTTACTAGAAAATCAATGACGTTTTTGAGGGATAAAATTACACCCGCAGAAAAGTGAGGGGAAAAGAAAAAAAGGAAAAAGCCAGACATACCTGGAAGCAGGACTTACCCAAATCATTGTAACAGAATGAGAAGAAAAACAAAGCTTAAGGTACAAAGGTGTTGTCATGTAATGAAATCAGCATGTGGTTTATCGACTTCCAGAGACAAAAACCAACTTCACTACTTAGAATCGTGTACTTTCTTTGCGCACCATTTTCCTTCAAGATCCCTACTTTTTCTTATTTTTTGGCTTTTTGCTTCTTCCTATCCAAAGATGTTAAACCAGCACCTAATCCTGCAGGAGCCAGGTTTTCTGTTTTTCCATTTTCAGAGGATTCTTTCTTCTCTTGTACCTTTGCTTCCCCATTTACTCCACCTTTCTCAGACGAATCTGTGGCGGTATTGATCATGTTTTGGAGTTGAGAGAGTGGTGGCATCGCTTGAACTGGAACACCACCCTGGGGGCGAACCAGTAGCCCCTTAGCAGCTGCTTTCTTCCTAACTTCAGCTGCAGCACGAGCTGCTCTTTCATCAAAACCTCTGCCCCGTGGTTGAGGCTCCCCAAGGACAGCCGAGTTCAGTGCATTTGACCTTCCAGTAGCCGCTGCATTTTGGAATGCATGTATCAGGTCTGGATGTGCCTATTCCATACCAATCAGGAAAACGATTTCATTAGTATTTCAACTCTACAACATCATAGATAGAGGATTTTTTTATTTTTCATATAATACGCCAAAATCTAAAGCCACAAGTATACCTTTAGGAGATCGATAGCCTTTTGCGTGTTGGCCGCATTGGCTGCCTGTCCTTTCTGCTTTTGTGCAGTCATCTGATGCAAAACCCAACCAGAAAATTTGAGAAATACAAACAAAATGTATACTAGATAAATGAGGTTCTCCTCAGTCATTATCAGTGCATCAAACCTGAAGCTCACGCATCTTAAACGTCTTCATCCAGTTTAGAGAGTCTCGTGTCCTAGAATCATCGTCTCCCAATTGTTTAACAAGTATGTCGTAGGTTTTCTTCTCATGCTGACAAGAACAAAATAATTAAGTCTAAAGGTGAGACAGATAGTTCTCATGATGACAAGAACAGAAATAAGTCAAAAGCTGAGACAAATAGGATGAAGAAGTCTTTACGAAAGTTTTAGTACCTGGTGTGAGAGCTTGAATGCGCCCATACAGTTGAACGCAATGGCAAGAGCGTGGTAGCATACTGCAGTCTGAATGTGTTCAGGACCAAGAAGTCTCTCATTTTTCTTCAAAGCCTCTTGAAGATAACGTAGAGCTGTGTCCATCTTTCCCATGTCTTGATACATCATGGCAACATTTATAAATGTAGCTGCAACATCTGGATGATCAGGGCCAGATGAAAGGCCAAGGAGAAGCAAGGCTCGACCCATGTTCTGTAGAGCAAGTTCTGTCTGATTCAGTCCATGGTAGAAAAGAGCCATATTGCCATAGCTGCAGTATTATAACATTTGAAGCAAGTAAATACCTATGGGTTGCAGTATTAATATAAAAGAAAGATAGTTGATACCTATGGGCAGTATCAGGATGGTCTAAACCAAGGCATCGCTCATTAATAATGAGTTCCTTGTGTTGCTGCATTATGGCCCCAGCCATATCTCCTGCATGGTACAAAACCATGGCCAGGTACCTGAAAAGCAAAAGACGACAAAAATCGTAAGGTAACTAAAACGGAAGACCTTGGATATTTTTCCAGAAAAACAAAAATCAGTCAGACGCATACCTGCAGCAGTTTGCAACTTCCCTGTGCATTGGACCAGTCACCTGAAATCAGAATATGATGAGCAACTTTGGTGTTAAATTATTTTGACAGAACAAGATGCATATATAGACTACTTACCTGTTGAAGTATCGAAAATGCCTCTGAAAAGAACGTGTAGGATTCACTAAGCATGCCCTGCAAAAGTTTAATCATTTTAATAAATACAAAACTATAACAAGAACCATTCACAATGCAACTATCGCAAACTAAAACAAGAAGCTCATTGAAGAGTTGAATGCCAACCCAAATCGCAATATGGTTCTCCTGATCTTGTCCAATTAAAACATATTGGCAAAAATTGCAAGCAGAAGTTAGCTAGTGTGGAATAACAAAGGTACCTCAGCCAGTTGGACCTTTCCCATCTCAACAAGATCTTTAGCCTCAGAGCATACAGGGACAGAGTGCTTAATTACGGGCCGAAGATCCAAAATATCTGACGTCTCAAAAGGCGAGATTGCACTGAAGTCGTATTTGCGTGCAGCAATACTGACACCAACCTGTTAACAGAAAGATGGAGGGATTGATAACAATTACGAACTGACATAATCAGGATTCCTTGGTATATAAATTCTGAAGGAAAATGTGTCTCTAATTATTTACCTTTTGGCAAAGATTACGAAGAACAGATACTTTTTTAGCCGTAGTTCTTGATAGCTCAGGCAACTCAAACTGAAAATAGGCTCGCGTTAGCTTTAGGTGCTTAGAGTAATAAACATTTAACTGGCTTAGAAAAGTGACAACAGTTCCATAGACAATCAAATAAATATGCTTAACTTGATAATGACTACAGTTTACCTCATATTTAGCTTTGGCAAATTCCTGAATGTCAGACCATAGAATGTTGGAGTCAACCATCATATACGATGAAAAGCTTTTCTTTGAAGAAGATTTTCCCTTCCCTCTTCCTTGACCCTTCTTTGTGATGGGTTGATCCTGTCCACATTCAAGGTTTAGTTTCACACCTTAAACTAATAAAAGAAGACTTTTTTCATCAGAAACTTTTATAGACGGCTCCAAAGAACTGTAATAACCTAATTTAAGATTATCAAACATAAAACTATAATAAACAAACTCTGATAGTACACAAGAACCTTCTTTTGATTTTTGGCATGTGAGCTGTTGGCGCTAGCTTTTCCCCCAGCAGCTTGATAGTTTCCAAAGAAACAATTGAGGAAATGTGAGACTGCTGATCCAATATCATGATCTTCTATGTCTCTTAGAATGTCCTGCACAACGAAGTAAGAACATACAAATAACATTATAACATACTTCAAGCGTGTCCACAGATACCCTAACTCTTGTTGTGGCATGCTTTTACAACATCCAAAATTACCTTCAAAATGTGCTTCGCGGATCTTACAGTAATCTCATTCAGACAAAGATCCCACAAATGAGGCAAATGCTTCACCCCATTAGCAACCTGGTCGTGCACAGCTACTGTTAATAAAGTCAAACATAGAGATAGCTAACAAAATGATAACGACAGGTTACAAACTTACTCTTCCAATGTAACGAACATTAACACCATGAGCATGGAGTGCTTCAGTCAAAGTCTGACCATCCATAGGAGAAACTTCGAGAGTGCAAAGATCTTCTATAAATTTTGGAAGAACCACATCCACAAGGTATGAGCTAACTTTCTTCACATTTTCTTCATCAGCAGCTATCTCCTGTTTAACCCAAAAAAGGATCCAATCAGTTAGATAAATTTTAAGAGATGATCTGAAAACAAAAAACTTATAAGCAACATAGCCTACCTCTTGATTGCCACCTAATGTGAAGTCAGTGAAGACATTGGGGTTAAATGCTATTTCATCACATGATTTGGAACTTTCAGACAACCCGGCTGCAGAATCTTCAGTGGTGGTATTTTGCTTGTCTGAAATAGTTTTCTGTAAAGAACTCGCAGATATCAGCAATTACAGTTTTTTTAAATCAGATACAACTGTTATCAGACATTGCTATCCAACAGTAGAAAGCAATGATGAGAAAGAATCTCAAAGCAAAAACAATAGAGGAATGTACCAGCCAGACCCAGTCCAATTGATTAATTCAGTATAGATCTACTAATGTATAAGTAAATTTGTTATTTCCATTATTGTTACATGGCCCAATCCTATTTGGTATTTTGTCAGTCTGCCTTTTCACTTGACAAACAGTCTAAATCTATAAAATCTGAAAGTGAGACACCATATCCACATAAACTAATAGCAGCCAATGCACACAAAAAGCGGGGTATATCATGCAGATGTGAAATGCTAAATATTAGCATACAAATCCCACTGGAAATAGAAACGTCAATCAGTACTAAATAAGCTTAATGCACATAACTATCAGGATCAAAAAGTGAAACATATACCTGATCGGAATTTGAAGCCCCATTTTCCTCTCCATCGATCAATGCATCACCAACTTTAGAAGTATCAGCACTAACATTAGAAGAATCATCCGCCCCTTCATCATTCTTGGTTTTCAATTTTGACTTTTCCAATGATTCGGCCTTCATGATGAAAATACATTGTCAAAGGAAAACTCAAGAGCATACTTTTCTAAGGAATAAAGAAATTATGTACCTGGCAAAATGATGTGATCAGTTCTGGTCTTAGGACACAAAAGCGGGACTCTGGACCCGTATAATTGGCATCACGAGGCGTCACTCTCATCAAGTCCAAGAGATAATGCCTGTTATCACTCCCAACAATCCCCTTGCACTCTACTGGTGCGGCCAACTTGAAGACAGTTTCGGATGCATCAATAACAGAATGTTCCTTAATGTGAAGAAGCTTTGCAGCCTCTAGCACCTGAAGAAGGAATTAATCAGGATCAAAGAGTTCTGCTAGGACAAATGCAGTCTTATAATAATATATAGATAAATACTAATGCTAATATTGTACAGATAGATCACTACTAGAATCATTCACATTAATGCCTACGATATCCAACAGCATGACAGACTATATCCATTTACCTTAGCATGAAAATCTTCATTCCAGCATATTTTCTTGCCATTGTCGACTGAACCATACAAAAGCGCATCTGATTTATCCCCTTGAAGGATTCCCGGTAGAACACTCTAAAACACATTGCAAAGATACTATTAAAATGCACACAAGCAAGACACATATATTCTCAAGAATAAGGACTTGGCAGTTCCAGTATTAGAACAAACCTGAGCAACAACCCTATGACCTCTGTAATCAATAATGGCCATTGCCAGATTATATAGCCCTGGGACATCTGCTTCTTGATATAACTTTGTGCCTTTCAAATCATTGTTTGCAGAGGCATACGTTGCCTGCTCATTTTCAACAAGCGGCGCTTCATTACAGCTGTTATGCTCTTCATTATTGCAGGTTGCATCTGTGCATGACACCTTTTCAGATGAGGACACCTTCTCCGTCACTTGATTAGATGGACGTTTCTTGGAGAGCTGTTCAATGTCGGCATCAACAGCAAAACTGAAAAAGATGTTGTTGTGCACATACCTACAAAAGTGGAACAATAACAAGTGTTTAGAATGGAAAAACTCATGCATAAACACAAATATGTAAACATCTAGATACTCTGTCATTTTTCGACGTTTATCAAACACAAAGGGGATTACTAAACTGCCAAAATTTCATGAACATAATGAGCTAGAATCAATAATATAAATGAGTTGCTTATGGAGAATCAAAAATAAGGGCCAAACAATTCACACTGACATGTGCAAACACTCTGGATCAGTTGGATTTATAGGTGGTATGCATCGGCTGATTACACCAATAGCTCCGTTAAGCGCTGCATCGACAAAATCTGAAGACACTTTGTAAAGTGCCCTGTCACGTAAGATCCTGCAAAGAAGGAAATTTTCAGAAATTTTCAATAAATGAAACAAATCTGAAATGGAACAGAATCCCATAATTTCATGCTACCGAGAAATCATTGTAGTCGAATATCACATGTACCTTTCTTGAGGAGAAGTGTGAGGGAACTCTCTGCAAGATTGCAACTCTTCGTTCCAATCTCTCTGCATGCCAATTAACTCACTACCATATGAAATGGTAAGTGCTTCTTCTGCTCTCGCTGCATCACGCTTGTGATCTGAGACCAGATACAAAAGTCGGTGCTTGGATTTAATAGAATTAATTCAAGTGTATCTTGTGTTGAAATGGTGAGCCAACGCTGATTAATTTTGAATTTCCTAGTTATCAATCACATACAACAAGAGCTTATCTTCTCATACATCAATAGTTGTAGCAGAAGCACATGTTCAACATATAAAACAGAAAATTAGTAGGTTGTCAATAAACAAGCAACAAAATGGACCACATTCTATCAATCAATTTACATAAATTTGTTGGACAAAAACATCAAAATGAATATTATCCGAGATTGTGCAAGATATGACTTGGCCATAAAGAGGCAGTCACAAAGGGAACACACTAGAGAGGAACTTCAAGGATATATTACATATAATGCAATCAAAATCAAGGCAACCTTCAACCCCACTACTTCTATGGCTGCCATACGAATGTCTCAGAACCATTACCAGTGCATAAAACTGTATAACGCAGAGTAACGACCTCTGAAAGAACAGTTGAGCTAGCCACGAAAGGAAAGAGGCAAAATACTAAACCATACTACTGTGCAGAACGCAAGTATACAAGACGGATGACAATTCAAGAGCTATTAAAATTAAACTCACCGGGTACTGGATAAGTTCTTAGCCATGAGTGTGGTGGCAAAAGCGATTGAACATTTTCAAACGGATGAGCAGAGGCTTTCTTTTCCATGACTTCACGGAAAGCTTCAAATTTATAGGAAAAATACAAGCTAATCAACAGATTGAATGCTTATCACGTCATAAAAAGAGTAAAGAATAGACTTAAGAAGAATGGCGTATATACTGTTTCCCACCTTTTTTAAACTTAGAGCTAAGTTTTTGCAATAGTCCAATCAGCGTAGCTGCTTCATGTCCAGATTTATTTGGCCTTGGATCGAGAATATTCCCTGAGCTAGAATTAACATAAAATGTTTTTGTTGTGCCTGTAATGCAGTACTTGTTAACTTCCAAGGTCACAACATCCAAATATATTAAATCTCCTACAAGCCTGCAACAAATAAATGCATAAGAAAGAGCATAAATGGTAAATTTATCCTTTACAAATGCTAAAATAGGTTGCTCAATACCTTCTGTGGCTTGGAGGAGGGTTGAACGATGAGAACACAATGTTTTCCACAGATTTGATCTCTTCTGATGTAGAATTTATTAACTTCTTGAGAGAGCCAGGCACATCTTCCATAAAACCCAAACATTCCAGCTCTGGAACGTCAGACTTTGGTTTATCTGTTTCAAAATAGAGGCCATAACATAAATCCTTCACAGTGCCTGAAAATGTTAGGAAAGCAAAACACCATTAAGAGAAAGATTCAAATTTGAAACCTCCAGGGTTCTGAACTTTGTTCAGTGCTGCGTCATACTGCAAGGCAAGTGTTGTTGATAAGGAAGAGTGAAGTGTTGAAAGCGACAAAAGATCTCTGGCACGGTGAACATGTGCTCTGATAGATCTATCATCATACAATGCTGTGGAAAGAAACATAACAAGTCAACTTTCAGTTTTTAGTCTCAACCCAAAAGAATGAGAAAAGACAGACTTAGATACCTGCAACCATTTCCAAGGAGCAACCACCAATGGTGATGTCAGCTACTTCAGAGATCTCATTGTAGTCTTCCAAATGATGAGTCTCTCCATCTTTATTGCGGAGTAACAACTCATAACAAGTGAAGTAGCACGTCTCTGGAGCATCAAGGAGGAACTGCCTTATATCCATCACAGAGTCTCCAGGGTTCAACTGAAACACATCCATTGGACAGACTTAGTAATTAATATATAAGAGAAAACAGTAGTAAAGGGTCAAGCTTTACAAGAAATATCTAGAGGTATTAAATCCCTGAAGAAATGGAAACACTAAGAAAAATTGCATATAAACTGTTAAGAAAAACAATAGAGTCAAACTCACTTGAAGCTCCATTTTACCCCCACTTTGTGTTTTGACAGACACAGGATAAAGACGGAGTTCACCTGTGAAAGCCAAAGCAAAATCAGACACTTAAAGCAATACACAAGAGAGGGTGTGGATGAATCTAATTAGCTTACGAGAAAACCACACTGACACATTAAATTTGAGATATAATATAAATAGGGTGCTAACCTTGCTTAGGTTGGGCATCATTATTTGCTACTTGTGACTCACTTTCGTCAGCCTTAGGAATCGTAGGGGGAACTTCATTGGCTTCAGGCACCGCAGAGTCAACATCATTGAGAGTGCCATTATCGGGAGCAGTAACCGGAGCAGAAGCAGGGGCAGTAACAGGAGCAGTACCCGGAGCAGTAACAGGAGCAGTAGCAGGAGCATCTGATTTAACATCATTAGAATGGGTGGTAGAGCTTTGAGCCGCTCTCTTGGCCTTCGATTTGTTCGACTTCCCAGCCATTTCACCTATTGGAGGAAAGATTCAAAAGTGATTGAATTGGAGAAAGTAAGATTCATTTGACGGAAACAGAGGAAGAGGAGCAATACAATCCAAAAGGGGGAAAAAGTCACAGATACGTAATCAACAGCGAGAGAGTGAAAGAACAATTCGCAAAAATAAGTAAAGGATATAGTAGAGGATCTGAAAAGGAATTACCTGGAGGGGTCGAGAGAAATGGAGTGACGGCGGAGACGACGGAGAGAGCGGCGGAGTAGGAAAGAGATGAGGTTTAAGGAGGGTTGAAGTGAAAGAGGCGGCTGATGATTTTCTGACTCCTCTCTATGTGTTAGAGCTGAGTAGTAGTAAGAGAGAGAGAATAACAGACCAATCACTTCTTTTGGGTTTCTAATGGGCTTTGTTTGGGCTTTTTAAAGCGGGAAATATGCGTAATTTAGTGCAAATCATCTGAAATTATTAGGTGAGATTATCTTTTGTTTTTAAATCCATATACATATTAATATAACATCAATTTCATAATCAAAAAAAATATTATATTAGCCACACTATATTCATAAAGCATTATGACAAAAAGATATCATATTAGCCATAATAGGTTGATTAAACAAAAAAAAAAGCATCATTATCACATAAATCATATCATATATATGTTGCCATACTATGCCCAACCCAACCAACATGTTTCAAGCCGAAGTTGAGACCACTAGCGTTAAAGAGATGCTTTGTACCAACTACCAACAAAGCAAAGATAGTTAACTTAACTTTTACTTTTGGAATTCTTTTTTGTTTGCACTGGTGTCTAAAGTCTCTATAACTTATAAAAGATTTACATGTTTTATTTAATTTTCAAATCTTGTATTTAAACATTTTCTTACGCACTTAAGATTATTCAAACCACAATCATTACCTATTAAAGTTATGCTCTAAACCTCAATCTTCGACTGTGCTACTATTTTTTACCGTCTACTATAGCTAATACCCTCTCTTATCTAATATCAACAATCAAACCTTCTAAGCATCAATTATACACGGCAAGTTGTCAACATTTTGGTAAATGGGAGTTGTAAATTTTGTGAGTTTGATCGAAGATTAAAGCTCTAAAGAGTGGGAAACACACAGAGTAATCGTGAGGCTATTTGGTTGTGAGGTAGGAGAGAGGTGTGAAACGGCATGACATGTAACCCCTTTCATTGTATGGTATATAAAGAAGCCTCATCTCGTTGTTGCGTCATCTCATTACCATCACTGTTTACATGATGATGAAAACTATGAGAGTTCGGTTGGCAATGGCGCTGCTTATGATCATAACCGTTCTTACCATTGTCACGGCGCAGCAAACGGACCTGCAACAACCACCTCCCCCACCGATGTTGCCCGAGGAGGAAGTGGGAGGATGCAGTAGAACATTCTTCTCCGCGCTGGTGCAGCTGATACCATGTAGAGCAGCAGTAACTCCTTTCAGCCCAATCCCACCGACCGAGATGTGTTGCTCTGCCGTTGTCACACTTGGTCGTCCTTGTCTTTGCCTTCTTGCCAATGGACCTCCACTCTCCGGCATTGACCGCTCCATGGCCCTTCAGCTTCCTCAGAGATGCTCTGCTAATTTCCCTCCCTGCGATGTCATCAACTAGGAAGGACATATCATCTTTCTTTTCTTTTCTTTTTTTCATTTACCTTTCACTCTAATAAACTTGCTGTTTAGTGTATTATGTCCCAGACTTCCAAAACATTAATAAAGTTATGACAATCGAATCAAAATCTCCGTAGTTAGCAATAACAATTCCATTGTATTTCAACTGATATGTCTGTCAAAGAGATCTATTTGCACACTGAATCGCAAATTCAATCCATAACACTTCAATTTATCAGCAATCTAAAAACTTGAACATTCTTTTTAATAGAAAAGCAAAGCTCAGCCGGCGCTGAGGTGAGCGAAAGATAACAATTGTGCGCAGCACATTGACTGATCCTTAGTAATACGCCTTCCTGGGATTTCCCTGTAGTACAATTGAGACAGAGGGTGAGTAAAGAAGTGCTATTACAAAAAGAATCGAGCTAAAGATGGAAAAAGTACCAGTGGATTGGGTCTGTGTTTGTAACCCAGCATCATCCGCTTCTTGTACTGCTCGTATATATCATCCTCAGGCTTGACTTCTCCTGAAGCGGAAGCACCAACTCCCAAGTTGTTTGTCTTTACATCGCCTGCCATTATAGGGTCTGCCATACCCTTTCTGGAGCTTCCTATACCTTCACCTGTAATCCACTCCTCCAATTTTCTAAGCTCCTTGTCTCCATAAAGGCACAAGATACAGAAAGAAACAAGGGCACCAATTTACAGATAGAGTGAGGCAAGTAAGCACCTTCTTTCCAACCCATTTTTGACAAGAGTTTATGTCCAACATTATCTGCTTGGATCTTAGCCTTCTCAGCAGCCTCCTTTGTGGCTTTTTGTGCAGCTGCATCATTGCACTTTGAAAGGAATTTATCTAGCTCCTCAAGTGGGATATAATCACCCATGTGATGACCTCTCTTTCCAGGGTCTGTGGAGGAAGTTTCTGAAATCAAACGTGGTTGAGCGATAAGACATTACAGCAGCCTAAAACCAAAAATAGCAAAGGATTCATTCTCACCAGATGGGCCTTGAAGGGAAGCTGGTGGAGGCATTTCATCTTTTGACTGCCTAGGACGTCTCTTTTGCTCTTCTTGGGCAGCCTTCTTCATGTAAAACTCCATCATTGATATAGGGTCTGCACCTCTCGGCCCACTACAGGAGTCACCTGCAGATCAAACACATGTTAATCAAAGCTAGATACCAGTGAGGCAGTGATAGGAAGGAACCTAGGTCGATAAAAGGCTAATGAACATACTGTTGCTGGGTCTTGTAATTGATGCCTGAGCAGATCTAGAAGAAGCTCCAGGTTCCTCAGGAGCATCATAGAGAGCTGAAGCAGGGATCTGATATCCTGTTTGTTGATAAGCTGGCTTTTGCAAAGTGATTGCTGCTGTGGACGTTCGCGGGCCTGCATCACCTGGAGAGACAAACGAAGGAAATCGAAGCTAAGAATACAGTAAGATATGGGAGCAGGAAGAGCAGCCTCACATTATCTCTCATACTACAGAACACATATAAATTTGTATTGTAGAAAATTTTTCGGAAAATAAAAAGAAATGAGCCAAATATTCCTTGCACATGCTTAGCTAAGCATATTCTGAAATAAATATAAGGACAAATAAAAGAGCGCAAATCAGTTGCGACTTTTGGTCTATAGAAACACAGGTGTCTGATACTTACCACTGTGAAGTACACCAGAATCCTTGGTTTGTGAAATTGATTTTTCCTCTTCAGACAGCCTGAATACATAGTACTTGTAGTCCGCACAGTTCTCATCAAAAAGAAATCTGGTTGGGGAACAGGACACAAGATACATAAGGTCAACAAACACCGCCAAGAAAATTCAAGTACCAACATAGTATGTGTATAAAAGAGAGAATCCAGAAACGTTAAACTATAGATGCTCCAAAAGCAAAGAAATACGTACTTAAATGGTGTATCCCCAGGATTCTTTTGCCGTGTAATGTGCTCAAATGGCCTTCCATGCTTAGCAACAAAACTTGCTAGTTTATCAGCAACTTTCTTCACAGTAGGATCACTGGGCGGAGGTGGTGCTGCATATCACTTATAAAACTGATTAATACCGAGTCCATGAACAACGAATGCAAATCACTCTTGTAGCAGGCGTGGGAGATATTCCAAATCTTTCCAGCAATTGGATTGTTGGTTAAGGAAGACACTGCATTTAAGTAGACAATTAAATTTGCAGACTGTTTTTTCCTCTCCATTCCAGCGGAAAAACGCAGCTTCATCAACTAAGACATACACTAACAGGAACATGAGACTCTTGAAATCTTAGGACTCATAGGCCTTCCTCAGTTTCAGAAAAGACACACAGATTCATCAACAAAGACATACAATGGACATGAAACTCGGGACTCTAGACATCATATGGCATAATTGTACAGAGCCCTCATGGAACACTTACTAAATGGAACAGAGAACCCCTTAGGAGAATATGGAACCATAAAAAAGAAAGACAAGTAGAACCAGCACAGAGACTTCCACAAAGACCAACTCAAACAAAGATAATTATATAAACAGCCATTACCAACATCAGATACTCTTGCTGACTTTACAGGCGTGTCTCTCTGCTCTAACTTTTGACGCTTTACAGATCCAAAACCTTGATCATTTCTAGCATCCTCCTCATCCTCATCTTCTTCAGTACCAAGCTTCACAGGAGGTGCAAGAAGCTTAGACTTTTGCTTCAAGCTAAAAGCAAGCTTACCACCTTTCTTCTGGGCATCATTGGTCTTTAATCCAATGGAAATTTTATTAGCAGAAGGTTTGGGATTTGATATTATCTTCACCGGCTTAGAATCCTCAACTTGAACAACCTTATCCTTGTCTTTATCTTTCTCCTGTTGAAGCTGTCTGAATCTTTCCATGAATGACCCATCATTCACAAAGATGCTAGGAGGTGCTCCTTTGTTGTCCATTACCAAACAAACCAAGATGCTAGGAATTGCAGTCACTGTTGAACAGAACTATTTAGCAACCAATATAACTATTTAAGGCTTTTAAGCTCAAAGAAAATACAATCGCACACAGATTCTTCTAATAGCATTCAATAAAATTAAATACTAAAGAAGCATTATCTTCCTCGATTCTATAGAAGTAAGAAAAGCACATATTATATCCTATCAAACGCCTAAGATATAACGAAGAAAGCAACTGGTGGTGGAAAACCTAGGTTACAACAATTCAATCGACTCGGAAAGAAAACAAAATTATAAAAAATAAGATCCATAGACAATTAATTCAGAGAAGAAGAAAAAAAACGAATTAGACAAAATTAGCTTAGCGATCTTGTTACCTGCGTCGATTACCGGTGAAAGGTCGTCGGAACGATGTCGAACAAAACGGAAACAGGAGGCCAACGATCGGAGGGATTGAATCGTAAATCAGAAAGAAAAGTCGATTGTTGTGCGTCTAATATATACACGTGAAGGAGGCCCCTATTTGTTTGTTTTTTCAATTGGATACATAAGGTTTCTTATATTTACATAAAGAGCCCGAATGTTTCAATAGAGTTAATTTTTCATCTTTTTGGAAGTTTTCTATTAAACCCAAAAATTAAATGGTGAGAGTTTAATTAATTGATACATTAGGATCTAAAAAGTTAATTAAAGGAAAAAACAGAACAAATTTTAGTTTGTGACTTTGTGCACACATTTTTCTAGAGCGGTTGATATTTCCAAACTTTTTGTTGAATGATGTTTTTGTGTTGCATAAATTACTCATTCTAAGTGTTTAGTTACCATTTTCTTCGAGAAAGCAGAGAATAACTTTATTATAGTCTTCTGATCCAAAGAACCAAACATTAGATGCAAAGAATGTCAAAATACAGAATCACATTTCGGATTCAAACCCGATGTTCCAAAATCCTTCAGGAGTCATTGGAGGAGCATATCTGTAACGATGCCTCGACACACCTTCATGATGCTCACATCTCAAGCTTTTGTTACCATTTCCTTCATTCTCAGGATGTACAGCATCATAGAATTTCTTGCACTGCTTACACTCTATCCCTTTCAAATTCTCCCTCTCAGCTTTTTTCCTCACTGACTCCACATGCTTGAAACTTTTTTTACTCGTTTCTGCAACTTGAATTCGCTGCCTTGATGGACTCGGTTTTGGATTCATGTCCTGTGTCTCATCGTCTGAATCATCTTTCTTAGCAACATTATGAACATGTTTTTCTTCCCCAGCGACCCTTTTGAGATTCTCAATGGGAGTATCTAGAAAATCATCATGAGGATCATGGCCTCCAGGAGATTGGCGGGACCTTGTGTCTCTCCAAATGGAAGCTGGACGCTTTAATCCACTTAGCTGTGGAGATTTTGCAGCAGAGGGGTCACTTCTAACACCAGGTGACCGCAAAATTGGTGAGATTGAAGTGGTAGGTGTCTGCACCGGTTTGATTATACTCTCTTTCTCGCAGTTGTTGCCACTCGAGCCAGTCCCAATTCTCACTTTGTCTGCTCCTTCAGCAGTTTCTGAGTGTTTCTTTTCAAGAACTGAAATAGAAAGCGTAAAAATTAAGCTGGATGAGTTTACTAATACCAACAAGAAACCTGCAGCCGAAGGATGACTGATTATAGCAAGTAATTTTAACATGAGAGGTAGTTCAAAGTAGTCTAGGTCAGAGACGGCTAATACTTACAACGCGAGATTGCTGGTTTCTCATGTTGACCCATTTCTTTATCCTCGTCCTCAAAGCTGCTTTGGTGAAGAAAACTGTCAGGAGTAAAACCAAACCTTTTGCAGAGAAAACTATATTGGGACTTCAGCTTTTTGCAAGTACTATAGAGTTCTTTTCTTTTCTTTATCTCCATAGCTAACTCAAACGATTTCTCTTCATTCTGGCAACGTAAAGCTTCTAACTCAGCCAAGTAGCTTCCGTGTCTTCCCTGCATCATAGGCATATCGTCCTTTGCTTTTCCCATAACCACTTTCTTTTCTTTCTCATGATCTACTATCTTCTGTTTACACTCCAACATTTCCCTCTCTGTCAAGTTGAGTTTACCCTGCAAAACCTCAAGAGCCGTCTTTCCCTCCTCAAGCTCATCGTTCTTCTGCCTAAGCATCTCTTCAAGTCTACCAACATTCTCCTCAAAAACCTGCAACCTAGTCTTCAATCTTTGTTTCTCTTCTTCAACGCTGCTCAACTTCCTTTCACCGTCCGCAGCTTCTGTAGACAAATACTCCAGTTTCTTCAGCAGATTCTCCGTCACCAATGTCTTCTTCGAAAGTTCCTCCTGAAGAAATTCAGGCTTCACCATAAGGCTCTTCACTTCCGAAAGAATCATATTTATCCCATCCTCGCTAAGCTCATCCGAACCCTTAACCTGTAACAACTGGACTAACCTATAATACAATTCTCTTGCATCACTAACCATCTTAGATCTACTCTTGTGCTTCTTTTTCAAATGAGCAATGTAGTCTTGTAGACTTGTCAATCTAAGAGGCATAGAAGCAGTTTTATCAAGTTCTTCTGCTAGCTTCTCCTTATCCTTGATCAATTCCACATTCTCAGACTTAATCTGTTGATTCTCTACCTTAAGCTCATCAATCTGATCTAACAGAGATTTCTCTCTCTCTTTCCAAGCATCACAAGCAGCAAGACGAGCTTCTGAATAAACTTTTTCAAAGGTTTTGGATTTGGATTGAAAATTTGGGAATAACTGGCTACAAAAAATATACTCGATCTGAGAAATTCGATCCTTGGCTTCTTGAATTGTAGCAACCATTATGGTACTGAGACCAGAAATATACTTGGCTTCGATACCATCAACAGTTTCATCTCCCATCTTCAAGCTGTAATCAGAACAAATGGATTCAATTAGGGTTTTTACTCAATTCAACGATTCAATAACTGGGTTTTCTGCTACCTAAACATTACAATAAATTTCGATTTCTAACAATTCGATCCCGATTCTTCTACAAATCAAGTGGATCTAGTTTTGAGATCTCTATAACAACTTTCGAGAATAAAACTTACATTTGGAAACGAAACGACCTCGAGGAAGATCGATTGAAGAAGCTTGATTGATTCGGGAGATGAAATTCAGAAGAATAATTTGGAATTGAGTATCTACAAATTTTTAGATTGTGGCGGTCTCTTTCCCTCTACAATTTCGGAATTTTCGCGCGTTGTAAAACTACTTATAAATTTCAAGTTTCAGTGGAGGCTTACCCGAGAAGCTTTCTGGAAGACCCGACCCGGTTTCAAGTTGGGCCTTAAAAGTTGTTGGAGCGGATAACTCGCAAACCTGAAAGCATGTGATTTTTCTTTTTCTTTTTTGGTAACAAGTGATTTATGTTTTGTTGTTTTTTGCCGACAGACTGATCTTTTTTTTTGACATCATGTCGACAACTGATTTATAATGTATTGTGAAATCTGTAGACATCTTTGTTTTTTCTTTTATTTTTCTCAAAGATAAATAATTTAATTAGGTGATTGTTAGAATTTACCTGGTGATAAAAGTTTAGTTTAATCCCAATTTGACTCGGCCGGGCCGTTATGGCCCAATAAGCTCGTTTATGGTGCGAGAGGCAGAGACCACATAGGCCCATAAAAGAGAAACTCATCCATGCCCACGTCTCGTTCTTTCTCCACGTGGATTGGCTAGTGGAATTAAATAAAGCTGCAACGGTAACAAGAGAAAGCCACGTGTACACATGGCTCTGTAACGTTCACTCCAACGGTTACATTCTTCTTCTCCTTTTCCTTTTTCTCTCCAACCAACAACTCCATTCTCTCTCTCTCTCTGTGTATTCTTCTCTAATGGAGCCTGCTCATATCGATTGGAAGAGAATCGATTCTCGTTTTGTTGAAGACGTTTTCTACGAACACATCAGAGCTCCTAAATGGTTTGATTTCTTGGCCCCTACCCATTTAGATTCCATTGACGACGATGCTTGGTTCTGCAAACCTGGTAATCAAGAAACTCTTATCTCTTTCTCTCTTCCTTTTCTTCTTCTATCTCTGCTTATCTTTGATCGTTCTTTACTGATTCTGTTTTTTTTTTTTATATCTCAACTCAAGAATGTAATCATCCCAAGAGACCCGAGGACTTTTTCTCAACGCCAACTTCTTCCAAGGTTTGCTTCTTCACTTTCTTGTTTCCTTTATAAAGATATGAAATTATAGTTTCTTGACAAGCCCAAAGGTTTCACCTTTAATAACTTCCTGCGTTTCTGTTTTTGAAGCATCCAAGTCTGCGGGATACGAATGAGACTCTAACAGAGCAAAATCAGAGGTACAATGAGAGATTCTCTTTAAATCTCTACTTGATATCTTCAATTTTAATGTTTTGCTATAGCCTTTGAATGCTTTTTGGTTCACACTCTGTATCCATTTGTAGGAGGAGGGGATATGCTTTATCACCTTCTACTCCAAACAACCAAGAAAGTGAAAATCAGAACCCAAACTTAGCCACACCTCCAAGCTACCAAGCAAAATCCTGGAGAGCAGCAATTAAATCAACTTCTGTCAAGAAGATGAATAAAGAAGCACCAAGACTAAAGAGCACACAATCAGCTAGAAATCTGTTTTCCGGGAGAGACATATTTGGTCATATCTCGGATTTCTGCTATGAGTTGAAGAGATTAGCCACAAGGGTGACTGAGAGAGAAGATACTGGGAAATCTGAAGTGAAGGAGAGTCATCAAGTGGGTGGAGTAATAAATCAGCCTTACTCTGTTCATGACTTGGAATTGAAAAAGGAAAGAAAGCCATTGCTTGAAGTAAGCAAAGATAAGCTCCCTGAGTCCACGGATGTTAAAGGAAGCACCTTTAAAGAGAACCGTAGAAGAAAGAAGTAAGTTTTGTCATTTTGCAGTAAAATTGTGTTATGCAGAACCAACACAGAAGTGAGTTTAGTACTGAACTTTTAATGATGATTTGCAGGAGAGTGGATGATGCGGAGAACATTCCTGTCTCAGTTAATGTGGAGACTGTAAAGAACAAAGGAGATGAGAGTAGTAGAAGAAAGAAGTAAGTTTTGCTTCTCCATTAACTTTCTTTATATGTTTGAGCCTAAAATATGCATACAATTGATGAGTTTAGTAAATAAAGTACTAAACTTTGGATTCTGTGAGGATTTTTTTAGGAGAATGGATGATGCAGAGAACATCCCTGTTCCTCTAAAACTGGAGACTGTAAAGAACAAAGGACACGAACGATTCCTGCAGCAAATCAGGACAAATCCACCATCTCCTCAATGCTTCTCAGAGAACCGGACAGCTACATTGAAACCCTTGAGGACCAAACCTACGGTATGTAATCAAACCTTTCCTTTTCCCTGCTAAAAACAGACACATACGAGCTTAAAGTCTAACTCTTTTAGTCAAATCCTTCAATACCAATTAAAGAAAAAAGAACAACAACATAAAATGGGTGTTTTTTTTGGTGTACACAGGAAGTATTGAAGAGAAAGGAAGATGAAGCTGAAGAAGAGAAGACCAGGAAGAGTGGAGAAGGCAAAGAAGGAAGGGGCTTGGACGTTCTCTGGTTCTTAAAGCCTTGCACTTTAGCCAACTAAAAAAACTTATAATTTTCACCAAATTCTTTCTATATTGATTCATTCTTTTGTTCATTTCTTTTTTATTCAACTGTAACTAACGAGATGATGATCTTGCTCAGATATATAATTCTGGGCAAATTTGATTTAATCTCTTACTTTTACACATACAACGATTTGTTTAAATAAAGATAAGATTAGAACAAAAAAGAGGATTCAGATCCATCTCTAATCATTTATTCAGATCAACAACAACAGAACAAAAACCAAAAACCTAAATCTCAAATTGAAAACATATATGTGATCAAGGGAAATTGAGGGAAAACATATCTACAAGGAGAAGAAAGACGAACATAATTTAAGAAGAGAGAGGAGGTCGTGAAGAGGAGAAGAAGCAATCGAGAAGCCTAGACCAAGCAATTCTCGCTCGAGGAAAAAGTCTCCGGCTATAAACCCTACCTTCCATTCCCATCTCCTCCATCGTCTCCACAAACACCGTCAAACATCTAATCGGCGGTATGTACAACGTTAACGGCGCCGCCGAGAACGCTATCGTGAAAAACAGCTGTAACATAATTTTTCCTCTCTCTGTTTTTTTCTTTTTGGTTGTTTCAGGGGAAAACGCAGATCGTGAATTTTATTTGATTTTTACAAGTACCTAACAAAAATTGAAATAACGTAAGATGATTCGATTAGTGAAGAAGATAAGAAGATTTGTTTCATTATCACGTGTTACCCTTAATTCCACAACTCCCAAACTCAAATTTTAACTTTATGTTATATCACTCATATGATTCCTACCATTTCTAGCATCTACTGCTATATTTGTAGACCGACACTTTTTTAATTCCTAGTTCCGTATTTATTTCTCATCAAAAAAATGTCTTTTGGTGTAAAAAATTGGTAATTCTTATCCGCAGGAGGGTCCCTACGTCATGTCTGTTGACGCGTGGCAATTACATCATGTGTTGATGTTTGGTTGACTTTACAAGTCAATGGTTCAAAAAAATGACATTTCAATAAATTGTTCAATCTTTTACAATTTTAAACCTCTTATTCCCCTCAGCAGGTAACTCTTCTTTTACACTTGTTCCCAGGTAAAAAAGAAGCTAATCAAGTTACATACAGATTCTAAAAGTATAAAAAGATAAAGAAGAAGTAGAAGAAGCTCATGTTGTTTCTAAATGTGGACAGTCAAGAATAGATAGCCTCACGTTCTCGTTCTCTTTTGCTTCTGAGGAACAAATCGAACCCCTTGCTTCCCGAGCTCGACCGTCTTCACTTTTCCATTCTCCAGCGTCACCATCAACTTCGATGTGCCTGCTCCTCCTCCTACTTCACTTACCACTCCTTTCTCCCTGTTTTTTTGGTTCCTCATTCGTTAGAAACTTGGAATAATTTAATATGTTCAATAGCAAAAACAAAATAATCTCATATACCATGAATCATCTGAGGCCTCGTGTATTTGAACCTTTTTTCCTTTCGCATCTTTCCCCAACTTCTTCAGAATCCAACTAGCATCAAGCATTTCGTCTAACAAACTGTCTTCACGTGACAGCGATACATCTTCATCTTCATTGAACGCTGATTTCTCAGCTGGAGGTGATGCTCTTTTCCTCTTAGACCTATGTCCTTTACCAGATTTACCTCTTTCATATACAATGCTAGGGGCTTCACCTGCTTGGCTCTCAGGATTATGTTTTTTTATTCTAAGTTTCAGCAATCTCCTTGAATCTTTCTGCAATGAATCATGCGAGCCACTATTTAAATCTCCTTTACCATCTGAGTGTCTTCCTATGAATCCTCCCTCAGCCTTTGAAGAGGCTACTTCACCTCGAGACCCTCTCTTTTCGTCATTATTCTTCCCCAGCAAGCTGTGATGCTGTTCTCGGGAAGACGTTTCCTCTGATTGCAATTTTTCTTGCTTTCCTGAAATTACCAGAGCTCTTTATTATTATGTCTAATCTTTCTCATATAAGTTTACTGAGTATAAATGACACTACACCTACCATTGGATTTGGAAGTAAGCTTTGATACATCGCAGCTCGTAGAGTTTGTAACACCTGTCTTTCGAGGACCTATACTTATCACCAATTTTTTCGCCTTCACAGTGTTCAGCTCTGTAGCGTGTTTTCCAAATTTCTCACTATCTGAATCTTGAGTCCTGCTACTTTTTATCCTGAGAACTCTCAATGGCTTCTCTTCTTCACCATTGACCTTAGCCTTTTCAGAAACTTTTCTTTCCACAGAGCCAGGCTGATTCACAAGAGGGGCACCACTAGTTTGCCCAACAACCCGAGCACTAGCTTTCAGGCTAGCAATTAGCTCTTTATCAGCCATATCTTTTCGCTTCCAAATTTCTTGTACAGCATCCTCAAGATCCTTGACCTGGCATCATAGACACAAATCAGAGAGAGAAAATGAGATCACCAAATTGTCATTCACAGCAATCAACTAGAGCCTTGGACAGATATAAGACAGCAAGAAAGACCAAGGACGCACTAAACACACCTGGTAGCATTCCCCACGACAAGTAGAACATTTGTATTGAAGATTCCCATCCACTTGAAACTGCATATATTTCTCATCGCTGTAATGGTTGTTAACAAAGTTAGTGTTTTTTAAAATTGTTGGATACAGACTTGGGAGATATGCTTAACACAGAAGCACAATTTCATTAACGATATGTACCTAATTCCATCACAGTGGCAATGAACCCAGCGCTGGCAAAAGTCACAACACACCATTGGTGTTGCTTCTGAGTCCCTGTAAACCTACGTGATGAATACAAAATAAATTGTCAATTGAATCTTAAGTACGAAAATGCTGCATATAACTGCTTTTGAAATACAGACGACTGTATAGGGTAACAACTCTAAAATACATGAACCTCAAACTATGAACTATGTCAAAGCATAACTAGATAAGATGCATGGAAACAGAGCACACACTTTGCTATCAAGAAGGAGGGAATATGAAAATATACCTTCAAACATACAGGACAATAATTTCCCTTAACAAACAACCTTCCACAAGCATCACAACAAGTATGCCCCAAAAACCACCTGCAGATTTTAGAAGGAATGATAAGAGATAGTGCACTTTACATGAATCAATTAAAAGTATGCATCACAAAACAAAAATTTTAATACCGTAAGCTCTGGCCATTCCCAGGGACTGTAGACCCACAGCTGTAACATTTGGTGTGCTTAGGACACAAATAGGGTCCAGAACTAACGTTCTGTAACATTCAGAGATGAAAATAAACCAATTTGTAAAAGATAAGATAAGAACCTTATATAGAAGTAACAGATACTATACCTTGTGCCGAGGTTGTTGGCAATCACAATGATATGCATCATCACATCTTTTGCAGAACATAAACTTCTTTGGATCTCCTAAAGTCCCGCAGCCCTAAAGGAAACATGATCAAAAGAATGTAAATAATCAAGTGGCAGTCAAACCAATTAATCAAAATGTTCAACATGAATTTCTTTGAGATATATCAGAATTCTCAATAAAAAGGACACAAAAAAGCAGGTATATACCTCACAGATTCGGCAAGAGGGGCACGCCCAAGAGCTCCAATTAAACAGATCTGCTAGCAAAAACCGCTATAAGAATCTAGGCAAAAAGACTCGTAAACATTACATTCCTATGAAACGATACCTCTATGTTGAGCCCAAGACTTCAAGCAGTTTCTATGATACTTCTTGCCACAACATTTGCAAGAAAGCATCTTGGCCCTCTCACTCTTGCCAACTTCAACCAAATAGCACATGTGACATGTTACGCTTGCACTGTGATGATCATGATCTTCTACATTGAGCTCTTTGACAGAAACCTACATAGAGAAAGACATAACATTGAATTAGTTTCTTGAAGAGAATAGACATCATTATAAAGAGTTTACATAAATCCCGGTAAATCATGGATTAAAGAACCTAAGAAGACAGGACAACACCAAAACACATACACGAGAAACAGATAATCAACATCACTGACAACACGGTTCTCTCACAAAGACAGATTGCTATACACAAAATGCTGACATAAACCGTTCCACTGCATTATCAAACAAAGGCCTACCCATATACATGTACAACTAGCAAGAATATAGCCTAACTGAACGAACTCGATACAATTCTCAAGCTACCCACACACAAACAAGTTTCGAAAGGTAAAAAATCGAACCTCTAAGTCGCCAGAACCATCATTCACAGCATAATCTTCCACTACTTTCTTCTGCAACACCAACGTACGTTTAGCTGGTACCAAATTCGATGATGCAGCAACAACCTCCATCGCAGAATCATTCCCAACACCAACATTTCTAGCCGCAATGCGAGGACCAGTATCGAAAACAGCAAGCTTAGGCACATGGATCTGAACGGTACCGTCCTTGGAAACCTCAGCATTCCAGGGATTTAGCAAGCACTCTTCAACAGAATGGATCTGGTTGAGAAACACATCCTTGACTTCTTTACCATGAAGATTCCGAGGAAACCCCAAAACGCAGAAGCAAATTTTCCGGCTGCGAAGAAAGAAAGAAAAGAAGAAAACACCAAATTAAAACAATTCGATAAGTAAAAAAACAAACAAAGCCGAAGAGTATAGAGGAGGCGCCAAAAGAAAAGAAAAAAAAAGATTTGAGAAGAGGAAAAAAAAAACATACCATGTAATTGGACAAGCTACGTGAAAGGCCATAGTCGGTTTTCAAGTTTTACGCGTTCGGGTTCGATTTTTAGGGATCTGACTTCTTAATTTTTTTTTTGCTGAATTTTTGTTAGGTTTCTCTCCCCCAATTAAATCACTCGCTCTTTATTGTGTAAATAATATAAACCTAGAGGTCCTTAAACGGAAATATTTTAAGACTTGTGTGAGTTTTATCGGCCCGATCCGACCCAAACGCTATACACCAATCAAAATACAACACGTGGATAAACTATTTTTCTTCTTTTAAGATGAAACGACGTCGTAAGATTTAGTTTGTTGGCCAGAAAGAAACTGAAGAGCCCTTGACTGTCTCTGCGGCGAAAAAGAGAGCGAAGCTTGAAATCTCCGATTAAGCCATGAATGCTCCCGACCGATACGAGCGATTCGTTGTCCCTGAAGGAACCAAGAAGTAATTGAAGTTTTCTTACTCTATAATCCTCTCATCTTTGGGTATTACTGTGCTAAACCCTCACGATTTTTCTCTATGTTCTAGGGTTTCTTATGATAGGGATACGAAGATCATCAATGCTGCTTCCTTCACGATTGAGAGAGAAGACCATACGATTGGGAACATTGTCCGCATGCACGTATTCGTTTCTTTTTGTTGATTTTGCAACTCTTTGCTCAGAAGACAGCCCTAATTTTTGTCAGGTTTGTTCTGATTTTTTTTTGTTTTGTTTTAGGCAACTTCACCGTGACGAGAATGTCTTGTTTGCTGGATACCAACTTCCTCATCCTCTCAAGTACAAAATCATAGTGAGGGTAAGTTCAATTTTTTCAAGTTTTACCAGTTCATTGCTTGAACTTAGGATCCAAATATTGGTTTAGGAACTTAAAAGTAGTGTATCTTGGTTTAAGCTTCTAGTGTTAACAGTTTGCTCTGGGTGCGTTGTTTACTGGTTGCTTTAAGACTTATAGATATATCTTGTATGTTGTTGTTTAAGTGTGAAAGTGGTTCTGTTTGTAGATTCACACAACAAGCCAGTCTTCCCCAATGCAAGCATACAACCAGGCCATCAATGATCTGGACAAGGAGCTCGATTATTTGAAGAACCAGTTTGAGGTACCTAGGTTTCTCTCTTCACAGTTCTCATCGGATATATTATTGTTTGGAAGCCACTTATTTGATTATGTGGTTAATTCGCTACACGAATATCAAATGCTATTGATGTTGTTTGATGTACCTGGTCTTATGGTATACCCTTCTGTGTTTTCAGGCAGAGGTGGCCAAGTTTTCAAATCAGTTTTAAGGAAGGAGTTCTCCATCAGCACAACCACAAGACTTAGAATGAGCTTGTGAAATTTTCCCCAGTTATGCTTTGTATAAATCAGAAACAGATCGCCCTGTAACTTGTTTTCACTCTATGTTTCAACACCATTTGAGGATGCTATGAAGTAATGCTTAGATTACCTCTTGTTTTTACCACTCTATCTACATAAACCACTTAATGTTTGAACTATTGTACAAATTCTCTTTAAGAGCTGTGATGGTGAAGCTACTACTCTTCCCAAGCTACTACGTAAGTGCATTTGTACAGATATTCACAGAATGGTGAAATCATCATGAAGCCCTTCTAGCTGACCCCGAGTCCTCTGCTGCTGAATTATTAACATCGATGTGTTGTGTGAGAAATCTGATCCGGAAAGAACGTCACCTATGGGACCAAGCTCTGGACATTGCTGCCAGTCGTTGAGGCCAGTCGTTAACCCACTGCTTGCTCTTCCCCCTCCTCTTCCTACAATCACCAGCCCATACTCCCCATCTAGTGATTTAAGTGCTGTGAAAGTCTCTGAGGAGTTGGTGAGATGCTTCTCCATGTAAGACACTCTTCCACCTCCAGCTATGTATCTTTCATAGAACTCAGCAAAACATTCATCATCAAGCTTCATTTCCTCCTCTTGCTCTACCACACTCGCTCTGTTCAGGATGCTGCTTCGTTTTTGTGCATTCTGAGAGCTCTTGTCTTCCAAGAAACGTATAACCTTTAATTTCACAGCAGGATGTCGAGCCACTTGTGCCGCGAAGGCTAGTGCCTCCCGGTCGTCTCTGCCACCTATGAATATTATAGCAATGTCCATGGACGCTCCTGGTCTCCATGCCTCTTCTGTTTGCCCGAACGACCTATCCACAAGAATTCCTACCGAACATGGTGCGTTCTTCAGAATCTGCACACGCAAATGCCAAATTATCTCTCTGATTCTTCAGTGACTAAATGAAAGAAACAGAGTATTCCTCGGATGGAACAATTACCTTGCGGTTCACATGACGAAACCCGGCATGGCCAGAATCGAGAGTGCCATCAGGATTCAGCCGTTTATGGAACGGTAGAATTATAATGGAAACCATAAGTTCATCAGCCAAACCGCAGACGTCTTGCGCCATGGTCACAAACGTGGACAACGCCAACATCCGCCTCACTGTCACACCTTGGCCGTTACGGAGCTCTCCATACCCATTCACAGCTGCCGTTATACTCTCTCTCATTTCCGTCACTGACCTATCCGTTATCGTCACTGAATCATTACTCTGACCAGCTCCTCCGCCCTTTTTCAGTGTGGCTGCAATCTCATCAGTCAACTCCACCATGTCAGTGGCATAGAATATGGATCCTGGCTCACGTCCACCATGGCAAATCTCCATAAGGTTGAGCGTGGAACCGATGTTGTGGGGACCGTGGAGACCAATCAAGATACGAAGTTCAGTTGTTGGATCGAGCCACTGAAGTGCCATGATGTGCACTGGCACTCGCTTTCTAGCGCGTTTGATGATGTCCATGACCACGAAAGGGGAGTAGACAACCGTTAGGACAATAACAAAAATGATCATTGCACCGGTCGTATTTTTCACCCTGTTTGTCTGCATTTGCATCAAACCAAAAGACAGAGAGTAAAGATCTTGTTTTGATGATAGCTTGAAAAACAAAAACAAAAACAAAGGATAACGCTTGATGGTACCCGAATGGCTAAGGCTGCCAAGTATACATGAAAATGGCCTTTAGCGGTCAAAAGCAGTCCTAAGGATGCGGTTTCCGGGACATGATAACCGAGTAGTAAACCACACAAGACTGTTCCGGTGACTTTTCCGACTATGACAGTGCCGAGAAGAGCAAAGAACCTTGCCCACGCCATTTTGTCAGTGATGTCAAAGTTTCTCATGTGGATTATAAATCCAACCCAGAAGAAGAAGATAGGGTAGAAGACCGTGCTGAGCAAGTAATTGATTTTGTTGATGATCCATTTCGACATTCTTCCTTTGTTTGGAAGGAAGAGACCAGCCGTGAAGGCGCTGAGAATTGGGTTGTACATTGATTCAGGTGGCCAAGTTGGGAAACTGCAGATCAAGACTACAAATGCGAGGGACATAACGAGGTGAGATCCCTTGAGTGGTTTGCCTTCAGGGTTCTCGTTGTTGACCCAATTAAGAAAGATTGGGGATACGATGGAAGTGAAAGTGACCTGAGCGAGGAAGAGGCAAAACATGAGGAGGGCTCTAAAGAATCTGTGGAGAGGACGAGCGAGAGGTTTCTCTGTAGGGAAGAAAATGAAGCCAAAGCAGTAAAACAAGGTAGAGATCATGTCCGTATGAACACCTGCCGCTGATGCAAGTTTTCCGAGATCGGATTTTCTGATTTTGAGATTGGCGATGACGCGGGTTAGGATGGGGGAACCGGTGCTTGAGGCCATGAGGGAGAGGGCGAGGGAGAAAATGTAAGGAGCGGTTTTGGTATAGTGGAGGAAAGGAGTTGTGACAAAGGCGAGAACAAAGGTCGTGATCATGCTTGTGTATGCTATGAATGCGTCTTTGGTTGGTGGTCTGAGAAGGACGCTTGGATTCATCTCTAGACCCATCACAAACATATGGCAGATCATACCGAATTCGATGATGTTGTTGAGGGTTATAGAGTAAGGCCCCGAGAATGCCTCTCGAAACTTGGGAAGATTACCTAGAATTAGCCCTATCTGATGCATACGAAAATTGAGTTAATATAGAAATCAAAAGAGATAGACGAAGAACAAAAAGAGATTTGACATACAGCAAAGTCGGTGGTGAGGTAAGGTTGGCCTAGAGGCTTCATGAGATGATGGAGGAGAGTTCGGATGACGAAAATGGCGATGAAGCCAAGAATCTTCAATGCCTCTTCAGGCTTGTCGAGGTTAAGGTACCATTTGTCTCCACAAACGTTTTTTGTTGTAGTTGTATTCATTTTTCCTTTCTGTAGTTGCCTTATTCGTTTGTAGGGCTTATTGTTTCTTGGAGATGAAGAAAAGCTTTTCGATTTGTGTTTTTTTTTTTTTTCTGACTTTACAATTTGGTTTAGGGGTTTGAAAATGAAAGGATGTGATTGTTTTTACTCAGAAAATGGTGGAGACACTTGTGGATCCCTTTATTCACGTTCCTTCTCTCCCCATTATTCACCATTTGACCATTCATGAAACAAAGATGACAAACAAGTTCAGACAAAATGTAAAATACACTACTTCACATTTAATTACAATTAATGTTCTAACGATATAGTATTCTTTATATAACATGAAAACGTAAAATGTTTGTTTACTGATGGACATTCAATTTTAGTCTGAGATCTATTTTTGACTGCTGTTTTCTCTTTTAGAAGTTTCGGAGTTGACTGGAACGATAAGAATTTGTTCGTCTAGGTTCCACTTTTTCGCTTCATAACTTGGAACAGTTTTTAGTTGTTTGTTAGAAGACTTTAACACTTTTATTATACAGATTATTTATTGCGATCATAAAGGAAGGTCACGGTTCCGGACCATCCGAGTATAATAAAAGTGTTAAAGTCTTCTAACTGGTTTATCTTCCCTTTGTAGTGGAGTCTCTTGACTGAGTTTAGAAAATTGGTTAGTTGTAATTCTTACCCTTGATATGAAATTGGAATTGTCGTGCTATAAGGGGTTGTTATTCACGTAGAAGCGGGTTCAAATGTGGTAGTTTGGTGAGCTTTCAGTTATTGATAAAACAATTGCTTTGAAGTGTTTCCTTCTGACTGTAATGGTCCTGGATAGAATCTTCTTCAAGCTTATCCCTTTATTTGAATTTTTCTACCTGACCAATTTCGTATTGGTATTTGGCCATATAGTGCACTATAGGGCATAGACTAAACACACACATCATAAATTTGAAGATACATGGCATGAGCAGCAACCTATTGAATTGGTTCTAGGAAAAGGTATGGGGCTGTTGTGTTTTTACACTAAATCTTTCTTCCCGTTGGATGCATCACCATATTAGTAAATTGTTGAGTCAGCTAGCGTTTCATGTGAACCAAATGAAAAAGGATATTAGGAGGAAAGAAATTGAGTTTCCCTTTTTTTTGCTTTAAAGCTGATTCATGCATGTTTATGTTAGTATACAAAGCTTTAAACAGGATTCAGCACTAAAGGGTGAAATGTTGTCTATGAACAGAGAAACAAGTAATGGCTCGGTTAGCTATTGGTGTTTCTAGCATGAAGTCTGGTGAACGTGCGCTCTTGCATGTTTGCTGGGAATTGGCATTTAGGAAAGATGGAAACTTTTCTTTTTCACAATGTTCCACCTATGGCGGACTTGTTAGATGAGGTTGAAGTTATTGGATTTGATGAAGCAAAGGAGGCAAGTTTTTTTCTTTAAGATCATCTGATGTAGATTCTTGTTTCCTTACCTTAACACTCCACAACCAAGCTTTATACCAAGCTCAAGCTCGCAGTGATAGGACTCTGGAGGCAAAGGATTGGTGCAGCAGACAGAAGGAAAATGGATGGGGTTCTCTGTTTAAGGAGGATTAACTGAAGGAGGCCATCCATTTTCAGTTAAGAACTCATAGCAGCTTGCCTCATCAAGCTGAAACGATACGATGAAGCAATTGGTCACTGCAATATTGTGAGACCCATCAAGGCATTCATTGGAAGAGATCTCATTAATTGTTGTACTCAGTTTCTCTAAATCTAATCAAACTGTAAACCCTGTCAGGTGTTGACAGAAGAAGAGAAAATCCAAAGGCGCTGCTCAGAAGAGGGAATGCAAAGGCAGAGCTAGGACAGATGGACTCAGCTCGTGATGATTTCGAAAGGTGCAACAGTATGCTCCTGATGACAAGGCGATTCGAAGAGAGCTACAAGCAGTTGCAGATCAAAGCAAAAAGCAAACAGATATGTACTACACATGAATACTTGGAGGGAGGGAAGAAGGTGGTGCTAAGGCAAAGAGCCGTAACTGGTTGATAGTGTTATGGCAATGGTAAGTTTGCCTTTCCTGCCGGATTTTTCGACATCACAGAGTTAAAGCAGATTAAGAGGTATGAAGCTTAACAATTCAACCATAAAAGACCAAAGTGAGAAAGATCACAACTCTCAATTCTCCTATGTTGGAATTGAATTTCTTATCTTATTACTGATTTGTGCAGAATTTACAAAAGCTATTGTTGCTACTACCATGAAGGATTGGGGAAGCTGAGATGTTGCCAAGCGAAGTAAGCACAAACCAATAGTTGAGAGATATAAACATAAACTGCAAAAGAGAGACTCATAAGCATCAAATCCTTCACGTCTCCTTTCTTCTTCTCTGGCTTCAGATTCTTCCCAATTTTTCCAGCCTCTGAAATCATCCTTCTCACTGTTCTCCAGATCCCTCCTTCATTCTCTTCTGGTAATTTCTGCTTCCGACAAGACATCACTCTCATAGATCTAACGCCGTGTCTGCTTGAGGCTTGTCTCTTTGTACGGTGGTTAGTGCAGAGTGGGTGGTAGAAGGTGGTGGAGAGAGCCGCCATGAGAAGATGAATAGAATAATTGAAGAAAGTTTTTTGTTTTGGAATCAAAAGTGAGCAGAAAAATATCAAAATCTTGATAGCATAACCGGGCCTTGTGGCCTAGTGGTAAAGGGGTCACAGCTGTGACTTCCGCCACCAGGGTTCGAGGCACGGCCACTGGCAGGTTTACATAGGGGAATTGCCAGCCTCGTGGGATTAGTCCTTGGGCCTAGGAAGCCTTTGGGAGACCCGCGGTTATTCAAAAAAAAAAATCTTGATAGCATGACGACAAAAATGGGTGGATAGATCTCATCTAACACACAATGTTCACAGACTCACGGTTAGGCCAAGTCAGAACCAAATTGGCCAAATTTCAGTTCGGTTCGTTTCGATTATGAACTAAAAACCGATCGGCTATGAATTTTTCTAAACCCGAAATTTTTGATCAGAACCGATTCAAAGTTTCTGAATGGCCAGGTATAGTCGGAAGCATCTAATCCAACCCATTTTCTCTATTCACACACACACAACACATTTTATGACTTGTGTGTGAGATAAATGATGACTCAGTGGATAAGCAAAGAATAAAATAATTTTTTAAAAAAGTCAAGAACATGTCTCTGTGACTCTATCTCTATCCTATTATTAGATTTAATCAGATAACTTTAAAATTGGTTGCTGAAAAAACCGTATCAACAAGTCTCATTATTTAAACAGAAAGAGAAGAGCCCCACGTAACAAATAGCGATAGAGCAACTGTGTCGATTGTCCCACATATTTTAAAAATATTTCACGTGTCCCCATTTTGCTGACGTCATTATTCCCCTTTTTCCTTTTTATTGTCACATCAGATTTTTTTTCTAATTCATTCATCAATCATCTTCTTCTTCTTCTTCTTCTTCTTTCTTCATCTTCTTCCTCCTAATTCTGTGTTGTTGTTTCAGAGATGTTCTCATCTTCTACACTCGTTTATTCTCTATCTCTCTTCCTCTCTCTTTCTCTTCTCTTCTTCCTCTTCATCCTCTCACCACACATCCTTCTCTCTTCCTCCAACCTCATTTCCACCGCCGATGACCTAGACGACCTCTCTCTCTTCCACCGCGCCGCCGTCTCCTCATCCACCAACAACCGCCGTCTCATCTCCCTCTCTCAAAATCCTCCCCCGAAGATCGCTTTCCTCTTCCTAACAAACTCCGATCTAACCTTCTTACCTCTCTGGGAAAGCTTCTTCCAAGGTCATCAAGATCTCTACAACGTTTACATCCACGCAGATCCAACCTCCTCTGTCTCTCCTCTTCTCGATTCGTCGTCAATCAACGCTAAATTCATCCCGGCGAAAAGAACCGCACGAGCTTCTCCGACGCTAATCTCCGCCGAACGACGATTACTAGCAAACGCAATCCTCGACGATCCTAACAATCTCTATTTCGCTTTAATCTCACAACACTGTATCCCTCTCCATTCCTTCTCTTACATCCACAACCACCTCTTCTCCACCAACTCCGATCATCACAAAAGCTTCATCGAGATCCTCTCCGATGAACCTTTTCTTCCGAAACGATACGACGCAAGAGGCGAAGACGCGATGCTTCCTGAGATCCGGTACCAAGACTTTCGTGTCGGATCTCAGTTCTTCGTTTTAGCGAAACGTCATGCTTTAATGGTGATCAAAGAGAGAAAACTATGGAGGAAATTCAAATTACCATGCCTTGATGTTGAATCTTGTTACCCTGAAGAACATTATTTTCCGACTTTGTTATCTCTTGAGGATCCTAAAGGATGTAGTCACTTCACACTCACACGTGTTAATTGGACCGGTAGTGTTGGTGGTCATCCTCACACGTACGATGCCTCTGAGGTCTCGCCGCAGCTAATTCACTCGCTGAGGAGATCTAATTCAAGTTTAGACTATTTCTTCGCCAGAAAATTCACGCCGGAGTCATTGCAACCGCTTATGGAGATTGCAGATGCTGTGATCTTTAGGGATTGAATTGGTGAAAGTAAATTAGGTAAAACACTGAACCTGAATCTGAATGTGTATATATGAGTACAGTTTGAGAGTTTGGTCAAAGTGGCTTATCTTTCTTGTTATTGTGTTGTGTTTCAGGTTTCAGGTATCATCATCAGGAAGGTTTAGGAAGAAGTTTGTGTTGGCGCTCGAAGAAGAGTGGCAAATAAAAGATGGAACTCTGTGTGTGTTTGTTTTCAATGACCCTTATAAATGTGAAAGGGTTGTGTGAAAATTGCTGTGTTTTTTTAAGCTTTTGTGTGTCTTTTAGGGAAGGTTAGATGGATGTAAAAAAATGTAAATAGAGAGCCCCAAAGGCAAAGTGAGAGCATCATCATTAAGATAAGCCAAATCGGCTTTCTTTTGTATTTCAGCTCCTTTCCACGGGAGAGAGAGGGAATGGCAAAAGGTTATTCCCTCTCTTTTGTTTCGATTAAGTGTGAATGAAAAAATCTTTGGTATTTCAAGTGTTTTTACTTTGATGAATTATCAATCGCAAAGTAACAATAGTGAAAGATGCACCAAGTTATGGTGATATGTAAGATTAAGAAATCCAACATCCAAACACTAAAAACCCACAGAGCCTAAATTAACTGGCTAAAACAAGTGATATGGTTTTAATTAGCCACTCGCGTGGTGCGGAGCATCCGAGCTTATGGATGACGTTACTGCCTTAAACAACCCCTACTCAACATAATTGTATTTAAGTTGTGCTTGGGGTTATTATAATTTGTAAGGCGTGTGGTTCAAGTTGGTCACAATTGGTTGACCATTAGAACAATCAATAAAGCTTCTAAATTAGTATCAACTTCATCATTCTCCCTAGTTTCAATAACAGCATGCTTTACAAAAGGATTGTGAAAGTGACTTAGCTTTAATGTTTTGTAGGAGAACTCTCTAAACTTGAGCTTACTCTATTTTATGTACCCAATACAAAGAGACAAGAGTAAGAAAAAAGATGCATAAAAAATATCATCATGGCATTGCTTCCAGTTTTTCCCACAACCTGTAAGCTCTTCTGATGACTGGATCAGCTGAAAATCCTTCTGCATAATCCGCAATAGCGATTAACAGGCTACTCAATTTCTCCCCGTTGTCCTGTACATTGCACAAATAATCCTCTGTTACTAATCTTTCTTTTTTCAATTAGGATATTGTAGTAGATGTAATAATAATCACTTTTGACTAGATTATCGTCAAACGAACCTCTGGTTTCTTAAAAGTGAGATCTTTCGTGTCAAATGGTACTATGTAATCTGGGAGATCAGACCGTAACAGTGCCTGCCATTAACACAATTCATCATCCCTACCTTGTGAAATCAACAGCTGAATAATGAATGAAAGTACGAAACAAAACAGAAAAACCTACTAATTTCTTGCTAAGAATTGCTTGATCCGCACTAGCTATTAGAGACTGTTGCAAAGACAAGGAAGAGGGTAATATTAGTCCTTGCATATCACAGAAGTACTAACTTGCCTAGCCTATGCAACACCACTTCACTCACCTCCTTTATTTTTCCTTCCTTGATCTCATCCACAGACTGCAAGAGATTCTCCAACGTGCCTGATAATGCAATAAGAGTGATTAATAGGAAACATGGGGCGCAAATCAATGAAATCAAAGCATATAGCATGACTCTGTGACTACCAAATCTAGATATCAGTTCCACTGCGTGCACATTCCCAATGCCATCAACTCCTGCATAACACAAACATCATTAGATCACTTTAGCCTTTTTCTGTGTGCACTTTTGCTAAACGTTTGTATTTAGCCAATTACACAAATGCAGCTAGGAAAGGAACTGGTGAGGGGTAGAGGAACTGGTCTTAACCTGGAATATTGTCAGACTTGTCTCCAGCAAGGGCGATTATATCAACAAATTGTGCTGGTTCCAAATTTCCGAACTTTTTAGCAAAATCTTCCATTCCAAAAGAAGCCATCCTGCCACAAGAAGCAGTAGCATTGACACAATTGTGTGGGAAAAAACATATAAGATAATCTAGAAAAAACATACAAGATACAGAGCAACCATGGAATATCTGAAGGAAATATCTCAGCAAAATCTATCTTAATTACATAAGAAAACCTCTCTAGTGTCTAGCAAGAGTTTCATAATAGGCAAATTCTACGATGAGGCAATGATCCATCTAACATGAATTTCATACTCTGATCCGCGTGGTGTTAGTCGAAGAAGACGCAACGAGGGAGAAAGAATCTGAAAGAAGTCTTTGTCCGGAGAGACAACTCGGACCTGTAAGGGGATATCAAACAAATGATCAATCCACTTCTAGGAAAAGGACAAATTAGATAGGCCCTCAGGCATTAAATAAGCAGTGAACATTTCTCGAATAGCTTGAAATGAGTACTTTGAAACCCGCACTAATGCTTCGCATAGCCAGAGTTCCAATAACATCATCAGCTTCTACACCTGGCACCTGTCTTCATGGAATTTCTGCCCATTAGTGAGAAATCATCACAATAAAAGGAAATAAGGCAATCATGTTTATGATTTACCTCTATAACCTTTATAGACATTGCCTTGATGGACGCTTTGAGATATTGAAGTCCTTGTACTATGGTATCAGGTGTGGGAGGACGATTACTTTTATAGGCAGGGTAGAGAGTATGACGGAAGTTCATGCCTGTAAAATTTATAACACAGAATAAAAGAAAGGTTACTGATGAGATTACATAAAAATTATCCTTCACACTCTGCACAAAGAAAAGGGAGAATTATGTCGAGATTTAGAATGCAAAAACGCCTAAAATTCAAAATTATGAGAAGCCAAGTGTTCCCATCACGTAAAAAGAGAGAGTATTGGATATGCATATCTATGTCAGCATGTACAGAACGGTAACAACAAAAGACTGCAGTATACTGGAGGGTCATCATTGGAGATGACCTAAGTCTTATTTTATATATAGCCAAAGATCGCCATAGAAGCGCCTATGACCGACCCTATTCTCTACACCAATGTTTTTGACTGCCCAAAAGCTGCAAGCAAAATACCCAAAGGAAGACAAAGCTGGCATTTCATTTTGAATGTCACTCTTGGCAAGTAAGCCATAATTTTAAAAATAATTTATCCTAGGCACACAGCAGAAAGTCAGTTCAAACTGCAAGTATATTTATACAAGCAATATACTGAAGGCTTGTATAACGATTTGAGATCCTCAACGATGATATTACATTCATCACCATCGAGTCAGCACACTAACTAAACTCTCATGCAAATTTTCTTGTATTGTCAACTGATAACTATAGTTTGACTAAGGACATGGAGCTTACCTTTTGCAGAACGATAACCTGTAGATGAATTAGAAGTAGTGCCATAAGGAACTCCTGAAAAAAGGCTCTATTTTGTTAAAGAGAGTAAACTAGAGACGTGCAGGTCCACAAACCATTTAATAATATTTTTGCCTCACATATGACATAACCCTGCTTACTAGATGATATTTGTCAGATTACCACTATCATGCATTACTAAAAGGTTTTCTAGATAACTTAGTAGAAGATTCCATGAATAGTAGAGTAATGAGTATCAACATTCAGTAATCAATTTTTGGTCAATATATCACCATCTAGATCTCCAGCTGATTACTCTTAGGTCTATAGAATTAAAGTTTTCAGTAGTGGCCAGAAGTTGAAATCTGAAACTTTTATCCATTCACTATGAAACAAATGAAGTTGAAAACATCAACACTCAACATAACCCATGTAGTTTTTGGGCATCAACATTCAACAACAAGCTGAGCACAATTATTTATCTATTCATCTGAAAGAGGATAATGAAAATCAAATCTATAGATGGCTGGCGGAGCAATTAGCATCAATCGATAAGAGGCAAGCATTCACATACTTGAGTAATAAAAACTAGGAAGGACAGAGGTCATAACTACTGAATTAGAACTAGATTAAAGGCTTATCAATGAATTTGTTCAAATCATCTGACAGGCAAACTGAAAGTGGTTAACTATAGACACTAAAAGTCCCCAAAAATCTAATTCTTCCTACACCACAACATGAAATAGCTATGTAACAAATTAACTGATGATAGTCTGGTTACATTAGGACTCACCATCATGGTCGAACACCACCTGCATGGAGACAGTTAATTAAGTCAGTAGGGGCTATCCAACATTAAGAAAACTACAAGAACTTCATTCGGTTATCACAGATATAAAGAAATGAGATATTAAATGGAAAGTGGAATATACCGCCACATGGGATGGGAGAAATTTCAAAACATCAATCAGCTGCAAATGAGAACACAATGGTAAAAGGTAAGAAGTCGTAAATGCAACCATGATTACTTAATCAGCCATCGTAAATGCTACAAGAAGCTTCTATAAATCATCAGACTTAAGTACAATATATAATGAACATCTAAAGCAATACCTAAGAATTCACTTACAAGAGAAAGAGATGAAAATATTGTTAAAACCCAGTCGGCGTTTCCATCAGCGTGAGCCAGATGACCATGATTCAACCTTGCTGCACATTCCCCAATCAAATGTCAGTAACTGCGATACTCAAAGGAAAACTTTACATTCTATGTACACACGAGTAGCAATACCTAAAAGCTTATAATAAGCCCTGTATATAATGGATGTCCCATCAATAAGCATCACTCTGCCATTTGAAGAAGCAGCAGTACTTGCTACTCTTTCTTCTAACTTGAAAGGATATTTTATCGTCTCTGGTGCAACAACATCTTCACTTTTATAAGAAGTCAACATATTGCCACTAGCTGCTTCATTGGAGAATTCAGATACAGCTGCGTCCAAATTACAGGTGGAACTGCAATAGTACTGAAATCCACATATGTGAGTATCAACATTAGCAAGGTCGATTTTGAGTTTATAGTTTTGAGTTAAGCAGAATTAAACAGCAATGTCGATTTTGATTCAGAAAATCTGAATATTACGCAACGATACAACACTATCCACTAATCAGCACAATAAACACATAGAATGAGCAAGAACACAGGTGATAATCTCAGAGTCGCATCACCTTCGCAGTGCGTGAAAGGGAAGGAGAGATGAGAGAACAGTTCCGATTACACAAAAATCCAATTCTCCGAGGAAAACAGAGATTTCTCCATAGCAAACGAGAGTGGTGATACAGATGTAGCGTCATGACGTCACTGAAAGTACTGTCATGAAGAAGAAGAGCGTTTAACCTGAGCGGAAACACATTCACCATGAACGAAAGTAACAGAATCAAAACCAAAATCGAAGAATCGAAAATCCGAAGAAAGGATTGTGGAAGAAATGAAGGATTTTAGGATTTTACCGCTTTTCTGTGTCTCCGTGTCTTCCTCGAAACAAAATCTTCTGCCTCCCGAAAATTTAGCAGTGTTGAATTTAGACGACTCCAAAATGGGCCTAAAATTGAACCCATATTCATACGGGCCTTAAGAGCCCATTATATAGGCTTTGAGTTAGCTAGTATTTTTTTTCTTTTTCTTCTATTACAACAAAAACCCTTCGACGGAAGAGAAAACCCTAGAAACGACGGTTCGAAGATGACGCAGAAGAGCAATCAGTTCAAGGGCCAACAGAAGAGGAAGACTATTGCTCCAAATCGCCATGGCAAATCCATTCAAACTCGCAAAGGTATTCACTTCTTTTTTTGCTTACAAATGAATCCCTCGCGATTTTGTACTTATCATCTTCTTCTTCTTGTTCCAGGGAAGAGAAATGTAAAACCATCAAAGATGACGAAAGAGATGGACACTGATCGGGTAATTTCAATATTCTTCAATCTCCTCCCTTAATTCTGTATCGATTGGATTTGTAAGTGAAAAAGTTTTTGGTTATTGATTGTTTGTTGTGTGAATTGGGCAGGAGCTTACGAAATTCATAAACCATTGCAATGAAGTGAAAGCAACTAATGCAGCTTGCAAAGAAGGTGGTCAACTTAATATCATCAAAGCTGAATCTCAAGCTGAGCCTTCCAAGAAATCCGCCAAATAGACAACAAATCTGTCCCTTTTTTTGTTTCCAGTGTTTCAACTTTTGTTGTTCTTACACAATCCAATCGGTTTTGTCTTTAAATCATCATTTATAATGCTATTGTTCCCAATTCTTGCGACTTTACGAGAGATTGAACTTCCATACACTTATGCATTTACCATTGTGAGCTGTTACTATCTTCTTCATCCCCATTGCTAAGCAACTGATTTGGGGCCGAACTTTCCTTTCGATTTTATCCATCTCCATATCTTGAGAAACTCTTTTTCCTCTTCTTTTCTCTATCACCACTTGGTTGTCCCTTCTCAATGTTGTTGAGACCTTATCGTCCATTATAAATCTAGATAAAACTCTTCCACTATTCTGATCAATCACTCGCAGCACACCGTCTATTCCACCAGCTACCATTACCGATGTGTCATTCCTCAGCTGTTGTATTGAGTACACGACATTAGGACTCACTCGTTTTTCCCACAACCGTCCCATTTTCCTGTGATAAAAACTTGGTTATAAACTTTATAACACACATCTTAAAATAGTGTTTTTGTACAACCCAATTTAAAATAAACCCAGTTGTTTCTTTTTAACATACCTAAGGTCCCAGCATGAAACATATCCACCCGTTGTTCCAGTGAAAGCAAGATTAGTGCCTTGGTTAAAACAGATGGTCTGTATACCTGTGGAGAAGAGAGGTTGCTTAAGGCATTTTCACTGGAGATGCAATCTGAAATGGAGTTTGAGCTTACCTCCAGCAGTTATTGTGGATTTAAGAGTAGCCACTGGTTGATCCAACAAAGGGTCAGATACTGTTACTCTCCCTAGTGAAGACCCACTAAGAAATACTTGGTTCTCACTCAAAGATAAGCACGTAATTGGCCCACCCTGAGTCCTGCAGTTAGATAGTTGACAGCATTAGCCAATTTGATAGGTAATTTGTGAATTAGGTTCTCAGATGAAATTGTAAACAATACTCAACACAGTAACCAATATGTTCAAATTTCACTTTCAGATGTTCCACAACATAATAGAGACAGAATATATAGCTTACCTAATGATCTGTGAACATGTCTTACTGTACATATCAAATACACGAGCTGTTCCATCCTCACATCCAACTACAGCTTCTGGGTCGATGTAACTGGTTGATAAAGAAAACATAAACCCTTATCAGTGTGGATAGAGAAGCCAAGCTTACAGGGGCTAGGTAGCCACGTTGAAGTATCACACGGACTATTGTCAGTAACATGGAATATCAGTTGCTCCTTCTATAGAAACAGATAGGTTCTCAAGAACTTGATATTTCAGGAGTATCGTTTGACATACCGCATACAAAGGCCTTTAGGAAAGGTGCCTTCACGAGATGGAAAAATGCTTCTTTGTCCATTTCTCCTCCATATGCTAATGCGGGTACCAACCAAGCCAACAATCTCGACAACAACAACAACAAAAAAATCAAAGTTAGGGATAATGCCCTTGCTCGAGATACAACTTCCAATTTATATATAAAATAGCAAGATTTAGCCAAAAGGAAACATCCAGTACAAGGTGAGGCAAACTGTGACATGAAAACAGATTATACTGCTATACTGGTGGTTTAAGAAATCCATATCAGTGACTCGACTGAGGTTTCTGTATAAAAATTGATCATTAAATTTTAGCTCATTCCCAGTTTAAGTAATGAAACATTTATTATGTACTTAAACATCCATGACCTTTAGAGATTTACCTTACTCTCATCAAAATCGAAGTCAATCAAGGAAGCAGCATCAGGAAGTGAGTATTCTTCCATGCATTTGTAGCTTTTTAATGACCAGAGGCGCATAATCTGATAACAGTAATCAGATTAACTTAGATAACACATAGAGAACAATACCTAATCGAATTGTATACTAAAAAAATCCAAACCTTATCACCAACACCAGTAAGAAGCAAACCCTTCTGCATTCGACACTGAGAAACCCTGACATAGAGAACATTAGAAACATGGCAGAGTAAGTAAAATCTCTGGGAAAAAAAAACAAAGGGAAAATTGCCTCACCGGTGTGAATGAGCTTCCCATCGCTCAATTTCGATTCGACCCCTTAACAATGCCATCTTGTGATGCTTCATCGCAAAATCGTCCACGTCTATCTCAGCTGACGTGGAACTACTGGGGAAATCAGAACCGAGATGGTGCATCTTCCGGCATGAAGCTTGTAGCAGCTTCAGCTTTTTGATGACAGCATGCCTCAATAAGAGAAAAGTTCGAATAGGGTCATCACGGGATTATGAAATTAGGGGAAAAAGAGAAGCTAGGGATTTGGATTGGAGGGAGTACCAGGAATTGCAGACGACGGTACAGTGAACGAGGTCAAACAAATTAAGAAAAGAGAAGATGATGCATAGTATATCGGCGTCTAGAGATTCGATCGACGCTGGTATTCTACGTCGCATCTTCTTCGCCGACGATTCGTCGCCGGTCTCTGTTATCCCCATTTGTTTTTTTTTACCAAGCAGAAATGTTTGTTTTAAATAAATGTATGAAAATTGATCCAAAAAAAATATATAATATTCAAAATATCAGAAATGTTTGTTTTTGATTAGTTACTTAAAATTATTAATCTTTTTTTGGTTCGTTTTGCAAATTTTCCTAGAACATTACAGTTGAAGTTTTAGCTAGAATGTGATAATTACATAAATGTGAAAAATAGAGTGTGTTTGGTGTTGTTACAAATTTAGTAATTAAGGGGTAAGAGGGAGAGGAGAATTAAGTAGAAATTGTTTAAAGAGAGTAAAAGCGACATTAGGTTTGTAAAGAGGAACTTCATGACCAGCTCCTTTCACTGTGGCATACCTAAAATTGCCTTTGTATTCCTCTGTGAAACCACCCATTTGCCCTTCGCTAAACCACGGGAGCCAGTCCGTAACAGCCGTTAGATTCATCATCTTCAGAGCGTACATTGTAACCGTTATCGGAATCACGGTATCGGTGTCTCCAGTGTACACCCAAACTCGCATTTGCTCATGTTTCATCAGCTCTTTGAGAATAGGTAGCATCGATTCAGATGCATCAACCTGGCTCCAATTAAATCCGAGGGCTTCATTACATAGCTTCCACGTGTACGGACGTTTTGTGACATGCATCGAACGCTGAACCTCGCCCTGGTTAAAGTAAGCATCTATGTGCTGCATTCCGCACGCATCATACTGCATCACCGTTGTGCATTCTTTGGATTGGTTATTCAACGTGGGGTTTAGGCACGTAGGAGTTAATATGTTGTATAGGTTTATTTTTTCTTTGTCGTCCTGGATTTTCATACTCAACTCGACGCAATCAACCTCGCCAGTTGGAGGGTTATTGCAGTTTTTCTCGAAGGTAAGAAAAGTTTCTTGTGAGAGTAAAGCATGGTTTACCAAAAACTCATTCGCACCCATTGTGTCGGCGGTGTCGTCCAGACTCGGGTTACCAATCAAAATGCCACGTAGGTTGATGAAGGTTTGGTTCTTGTTATGGACAAGGATGGTTTGTGCGAGTTGTGGAACATAGTGCCCGGCGTAACTCTCACCAGCGATGTAAAATTCTCTGCCTTTGTATTCCGGAAACCTCTCCAGCCATTTCACCAAGAAGATGTAGTTATCAGCTGCTGCTTTCATGTCCCCGGGATTCTCCAAATCCGTCGTTGTGTTCGTGTACGAGAATCCCGTTCCTGCTGGAGATTCTAAGAATAATATATTCGCCACTGCAAATATTTCACACGTGAATAATAAGATTTTTGTATACTCACTTTTAGCTAAAAATCTTATATATATATAGAAACTGAAGAAGTACTATCCAAAAAAAGAAGGTAAACTAAAGATTCTATAAGAAGAAGTTTTGTACATTTGTTCCATGAATAAGGATTGGTATAGAGTGTTTTGCCGTCGCTATGTGTGCGAAATGGGCCAAGTTCTTGAAATGCCCCATATAGGGAGGAGCAGCCAGGTCCTGCATATAATAAGCGTATGAATGTTTATGTTTTATGTCTGATTTCTCAATGAAAAACAACACATTTTTAAAACTAGATGGTAGATTCATACCTCCGTTTAGCCATAGAACAAGGGGTGACGACTTTTTGTTTTCGGTGGCTTCCACGAAATAATAGTACAAGGATCGACCTGCTGACTCATTCACGGTCACATAACCGCCATATTGTCTAAAACTAACTGAAGGCTGTCCGGGCAGATTCTCGATTAGATCTCTCTCCTTTTGCTCTTGTTGGTTAACACCGCTTGTGTTTTGGGGCGAAGACACGCTTAAGCGACGAATCGCATTTAAGTGGTTTGTGTCAACCGACGAACCAATCCCTCGCTTCGAGCGGTTCAGACGGTTTAGAACATGTGTTTGGCTTGTGCAATTGATTTGTGATGCTTGAAATAAGAAAAGGAAGAGACAAGTGGTTACAGACCAATCTTGTAGTTTTCCCATTCTATTATGTTTAGTTGAATCTTTATGAAAGAAAGCAGAATGACTGGATTTTATGGATACATTTTTGGTTATTGACAACTATTTTAATCACTCATTTAACCTTTTGTAACAACTTAACAATTAATTTCCCTCTGTAACTACTCCAAACCAGCTTAGCTTTTTTCCAATTTTTGTAGCCCTTAAACTAAAACAAAAAGTTTTCAGAAAATTTGTTTTCTAAAATTTGGCAAAACAGAGTTCTCTTTTTTCTAACTATTTCTTTTTATTTAAGAAAACAAAAACCGAAAACCCTTTATTTTAGACTTCCGTCATGAATAAGACCAGACAGCATGACCTTGTATTACCGCAAGACACGAATGATAAAATTCAATACATATCAACAAAAAGGGTGACCAAATTTACAGATCTCACACGAAACTTTGGAAAAATCTGTATTGATGATAATGCCACTTATTTCGCGAAAAAAATAAAATAAATAATAAGAGATTGCGGTAAAGCCGGTAACATGAAAGCTATATTGGTGCTTAGCTAAGGTTTATGTAATAATTAATCATGAATTTATTATTGATTTTACGGGAATTTTCCAAATAATACACGATTTTTTTTTTTGTGGAAGAAAACTACATGAACTTTTATGGGGCATCTCCCTCGTCCTCCTCTCTGGACCCTCTGATTATCTGACCAGACAGCAAGACACGAACGTTGATGCAGATTCAATACATATCTACAAAAAGAGTGACCAAATTTACAGAACTCACATGAAACTTTAGTAAAATCTGTATTGACGATAATGCCAGTAGTTTTGAGAAGAAATAAAAAACAAAAAAACAAACCAAATAAGCTTGCTAGGAATTCAGATTATTGACTTAGCGAATGTTTATGTAAATAAGTGAATAACTAATCTTGAATTTATTATTAATCCTATTAACTTCGAATGGTGATCAGTAAAACAACAGGAATGAAGGGAACAATTGAATATAGAAATTTTAACAAGTTATTTTTGGAAGAGAAACAATGCATTTTTGTTATTGAGAATTGTGTATGTAATGTGGCTACTGCTGTATTAGTCTTCTGCTTGATAATTTCGACATTTTTTTGCTTGACAATGATTAACTTAAGTATAATTTGTTGACTGTAGTATCACACACGCATATCATATCATACGTATGTCCATTTAGAACTTAATCAATGATTAGACGTACAACGTAAACAACATTGTTAAGGGAGTCAAATATTGGTTTAATTACACATCATAATCAACTTTAGATCATTCAATCACTGGACAAAGTGTCTTATTAAAGTTTACAAATCAGGGTGTTAGAGGGAGAGGAGTATTACGGATAAAGCTGGTAAAAATATTAAGAGCATGTATAGGTTGGTCCGTAGGAACACTATGACCTGCTCCTTTCACAGTTACAAAGGTTAAGTTCCCTTTGTAATCCTCTGCGAACCCTCCCAGCTGTCCTCCGGTAAACCACGGACGCCATTCCTTTACAACCGTCAGATTCATTGTCTTCAGCACGGCCACTGTAGATGCAAATGGAATCTCCAGGTCCACGTCTCCATTGTGGATCATGACTCGAACACCCTCACCCATAAGCTCGTGAAGGATAGGTGTCATTGAGACATCTTTAACATCAGTGCTCCATACCTCACTCAATGCGTCATGGCAAGAGGTCCACTCGTACGGTAATTTTGTGGTGTTGGCATGTATCGCTTTTTGAACCTTTTTTCTGTTAAGATAAGCCTTCATGTAGTCGCCACTGCACGGATCAACCTCCATTACTGTGGTGCATTTCTTGGATTTGCTGCTCAATGTGGAGTTTAGGCATACAGGAGCGTATATGTTGTAAGTGTCCAAGTGCTTTTTTGTATAGACGAATTTTTGTGTCAGCAATGTGCACTTGTCATTATCATATAAGTCCTCGCTCATGCAGAATTTGTTATAATTGTCCATTTGTTGTTGGGACATCAAACCATGACTTAACATAAATTTGTAGGTGAATCCCTCCTGGATCAGTGAGGCGAGTGATGGATTACCGATCAAAATGCCTTGTAGGTTGATGAAGGTTTGCTTGTTACGGTGAACGATGATCTGGGCAAGTTGGGGAACATAGTGGCCGGCGTAACTCTGACCGGCGATGTAAATCTCTCTTCCTTTATATTCCGGAAACCTTTCAAGCCAATTCACCAAGAACATGTAGTTATCCTCTGCTGTTACCTTGTCCCCTTGGTTCCCGAATTCCTCCAAATCAATTGGAGTATTTGAGTACGAGAATCCAGTCGTTACCGGCGATTCTAAAAACAACACGTTTGCCTCTGCAATTCCATACGTAATCGCATACTTAGTTGATCTCATCATCATATCTTGTGAATATATACCTTATTGGTTTCTAGTTAATATATTTTTAGAAAGGTACCGTTGTTCCATGAATAAGGATTGCGGAAAAGCGTTTTGCCGTCGCTATGTACCCGGAATGGACCAAGCTCTTGAAATGCCCCAAGTAGAGATGAGCAGGCCGGTCCTGTGTTTTTATAAAATTTTGTTCATAGATATGGTAGAAGACTTATATCTTTTCACGTCTTAGAAGAGTCCAATTAATAAAAAAAGAGTTTGTAGAGGGAATATATTTTCTCTATATGTACGTACCTCCGTTGAACCAGATCACAAGAGGAGTAGATTTATTGGGTTTGATGGCTTCCACGAAATAATAGTACAAAAACCGACCGGTTGTTTCGTTTACGGCCACATAACCGCCATACTGTCTGAAACTAACGCCGGAAGGTTGTCCGGGGAGCTTCTTGATTAGATCTTTCTCCTTTGGCGAGAGCACGCGACGAAGCACATTGAAGCTCGTATCACCTGACGAACCATCTCCTTGCTTCGACCGCTCCAAACGTTTTGAAAAATGTGTTTGGCTCCTACAATGGATTTGTGATGCCAAAGACAAGAACAGGAAAACCCAAGCAGTCACGGACCAATCTTGTCGTTTTCCCATTCTAGTATCTTGGAATCCTATGAGAAGGATTTGAAAATAAATGGAGACGATTGGTTTGGAAAATGAATGGCAGCATTTTATAGGTTTTTTTTTTTGGCTTTTGACAACTATTTTAATAACCCATTTAACCTTTTGTAACAACTTAACAACAAATCCCAGAACATAATAACTACCTGTCCTCCGTAGATAAAGCATAAAAGTACTTTGTTTCTATCAAAAAATTGCATGCACAAGAAAGTTCTATCGTTTCTCTTGCGACATGTTTACACCACGTGTCTTGTCTTTGTTGTTGACACCTCAGATACAAGAGTTATCCTTCTTTTTTTGATGTAATTGTTTGGATTTTCGGTTTCAATGATGTATTTATTGTAAAACAGTTTTTTTGTGAATAAATTTTATATTCATACAAACAAAAAAAGAGTGACCAAATTTACAAAACTCACAAGAAACTTTGGAAAAATCTGTATTGACGATAATGTCAGTAATTTTGAGAAGAAATCAAAATAAAAGAACAAAATAAGATATTGCGGTTACATCAATATAGATTACTAAATTTATATTGGTGCTTGCTGGAATTCAGATTATTGACTTGGCGGAGGTTTATGTAAGTACAACAACACGAATGAAGGGAAAACAATTTAATGCAACGAAATGGATACAAAAATACTAAGTTTAACAAGTTATTTTTGGAAGAGAAACAATGCATTTTTGGGATTAAGAATTGTGTATGTACTATGTAATGTCAAATGTGGCTACTGCTGTATTAATCATTTAATCTTATGCTCGACAATTTGGACATTTTGGTTGCTTGACAATGATTAACTTAAGTATAATTTGTTGAGTGTTGTATCACACCCGCATTCGTATATCCATTTAGAGATTATTTAGACGTACGAAGTAAACAACATTGTAAATAAAAGGAGTAAATTGCTTTAGATGTCTTTATATATATTTACAAAAGACATCATAATCATCTTTAGATCATTCAATCACTGGACCAAAGTGTCTTAATAAGTTTATATATAGGGGTGGTACAAGTTAGAAATCAGGGTGTTTGAGGAAGAAGAGTGTTACGGATAAAGCTGGTAAAGATATTAAGAGCATGTATAGGTTGATCCGTAGGAACACTATGACCTGATCCTTTCACAGTTACAAAGGTTAAGTTCCCTTTGTAATCCTCTGCGAACCCTCCCAGCTGTCCTCCGGTAAACCACGGACGCCATTCCTTTACAACCGTCAGATTCATCGACTTCAGCACGGCCACTGTAGATGCAAATGTAATCTCCAGGTCCACGTCTCCATTGTATATCATGACTCGGACACTCTCACCCATCAGCTCGTGAAGGATAGGAATCATTGGGGCCGCCATATCACTAATGTTCCATAGCTCACTCAATTCGTCATTGCAAGAGGTCCACTCGTACGGTAATTTTGTGGTGTTGGCATGTATCGCTTGTTGAACCTTTTTTCTGTTAAGATAAGCCTTCAAGTAGTTGCTACTGCACGGATCAACTTCCATTACTGTGGTGCATTTCTTGGATTTGCTGCTCAATGTGGAGTTTAGGCACACTGGAGCGTATATGTTGTAAGTGTCCAAGTGTTGTTTTTGAGCTCCTACTTTTTGTGACGCCCTTGTGCACTCGGCCATATCAAAGGAGTCCTCGCTCTTGCAGAATTTGTTATAATTGTCATAAATTTGTTGGGACATCAAACCATGACTTAACATAAGTTTGTAGCTGAATCCCTCCTGGATCGTTGAGGCAAGTGATGGATTACCGATCAAAATGCCTCGTAGGTTGATGAAGGTTTGCTTGTTACGGTGAAGGATGATCTGGGCAAGTTGTGGGACATAGTGGCCGGCGTAACTCTGACCGGCGATGTAAATCTCTCTTCCTTTGTATTCCGGAAACCTTTCAAGCCAATTCACCAAGAACATGTAGTTATCCTCTGCTGTTACCTTGTCCCCTTGGTCCCCGAATTCCTCCAAATTTATTGGAGTACTCGAGTACGAGAATCCTGTCGTTACCGGCGATTCTAAGAACAACACGTTTGCCTCTGCAATTCCATACGCAATCGCATACTTAGTTGATCTCAATATATCTTGTGAATAATAATATACAGAAAAATTTATAGTTAATATATTTTTAGAAAGGTACCGTTGTTCCATGAATAAGGATTGCGGAAAAGCTTTTTGCCGTCGCTATGTACCCGGAATGGACCAAGCTCTAGAAATGCCCCACCTAGAGATGAGCAGGCCGGTCCTGTATTTTTATAAAAAGTTTTTTCATAGATGGTAGAAGACTTATATATCTTTTCAAGTTTTAGAAGAGTCCAACAAAAAAAGAGTTTGTAGATGGAATCTATATTCTCTATGCGTACCTCCGTTGAACCAGATCACAAGAGGAGTAGATTTATTGGGTTTGATGGCTTCCACGAAATAATAGTACAAAAACCGACTGGCTGGTTCGTTTACGGCCACATAACCGCCATACTGTCTGAAACTAACGCCGGAAGGTTGTCCGGGGAGCTTCTTGATTAGATCTTTCTCCTTTGGCGAAAGCACGCGACGAAGCACATTGAAGCTCGTATCACCTGACGAACCATCTCCTTGCTTCGACCGCTCCAAACGTTTTGAAAAATGTGTTTGGCTCCTACAATGGATTTGTGATGCCAAAGACAAGAACAGGAAAACCCAAGCAGTCAAGGACCAATCTTGTCGTTTTCCCATTCTAGTATCTTGGAATCCTATGAGAAGGATTTGAAAAGAAATGGAGACGATTGGTTTGGAAAATGAATGGCAGCATTTTATAGGTATATTTTTTTGGCTTTTGACAACTATTTTAATAACCCATTTAACCTTCTGCAACAACTTAACAACAAATCCCAGAACATAATAACTACTTGTCCTCCGTAGATAAAGCATAAAATTACTTTGTTTTTATCAAAAATTGCATGCACATTTATAACCCATTTATTTGCATAAAGAACATTAAATTTTATTTAATTATAAAAAACAAAGTCAATCTACCGCTATATTTTCGAGGTCTAACTGTAACCAACTTAAAAATCAAATGAAACAATTTTTTTGTAAATAATGATAAAGTTGCCTAGGTTCGGATAAAAAAACATCGAATTTCTTCCAAGTCCCCTTGACTATTGAAAACTGTCCAGTTATTCTCAAATCTTAGACAGTTCCAGCTCAATATTCTCACGATTTAGCCTGTTACTTCAAGAGATCCACCGTCATTTTCCTGTGTGTGTAATAGCAATAGAGGATTTTACTATTTGAGACTGAATGATGCTTTAAAGAAAATGGGAGAAAGTAGAACAAAGTGTATTTAGGTTTCTTGACATTAACACTTCCCTTAAAATATAAATATATATATACATATATATGTAAACCCAATTAAATTTTAAACTAAATAGGCTCGTGAGAGCTTAAGTCTAATCGGAAAACTTAAGTTGAAGTTGCGATTCAGAAAAGATTTATCGGGAATCTCCCTTGTCCTCCTCTTTGGACCCTCTGATTATCTGACTAGAGAGCAAGACCTTGTCTTACCACAAGACACGAATGTTGATGTAGAGTCAATACATATCAACAAAAAGAGTGACCAAATTTACCGTACTCACACAAAACGTTAAAGAATCAAATTCACCAGAGAAATCAAGATTACAATTTTTGCACCAGACTCAATTGTTTTTTTTCAGACTCAATTTCTAAATACGACAAAAACTCGGAATTCACATGATTCCAAATGTATACATCATCGAGAATATATCAAAGACATTAGTTCCACTAACCAAAGATCTGGAAGCAGGAACCTTATTAAAAAGTTACCCGGATCTTAGCGATAACATTTTTCTTCTCTAGGGTTTCGAGTTACTAAGGTCTTGAGATCCATCATCTCTCTAGTATAATCGTCCATTGTTCTCACCGCCAATTGAAGGATCAGATGAAAATAACAGATTACCTGCTGGTGCAATCGGATTATTGGTCACCGGCCGGAGAATTCGACAATGCCGTTCTGAGAGAAGCCTTGCGTCAGCCTATGTTTACTTTTATTTTTTTCTTGGACATTATAGATTTGATTGGTAACATTTTACCTTATGGGAAAATCGGAAAGAATTAGCGATACCGAAAACAATATTACCATTTACCTCTTGCCGTTATTTTTACTTAGTTAATCTAGTTATTTTGTTATTGCTTACCCTAACTTTTACCGCTTAGATTGGCAAAGTTGATTGCACTGAATTCGAATCCAAACTTAAATCTGTTTTGGAACACAATAAACCCAAATAAACATATGGAAGCAAACTAAAAATCAGTTGCCACAACGAAATTTTGTTTGCTTGACAATAATTAACTTTTAAGTATAATTTGTTGAGTGTTGGATCACAGACGCATATTATATTATACGCATTTCCATTTAGAACTTAATCGCTGATTAGCCGTACAACGTAAACAACATTGTTAAACACATCATAATTATCTTTAGATCATTCAATCACTGGACCAAAGTGTCTTATTAAGAGCTGTTACAAATCAGGGTGTTTGGGGGAGAGGAGTGTTACGGATAAAGCTGGTAAAAATATTAAGGGCATGTATAGGTTGATCCGTAGGAACACTATGACCTGATCCTTTCACAGTTACAAAGGTTAAGTTCCCTTTGTAATCCTCTGTGAACCCTCCCAGCTGTCCTCCGGTAAACCACGGACGCCATTCCTTTACAACCGTCAGATTCATCGACTTCAGCACGGCCACTACAGATGTAAATGGAATCACCAGGTCCACGTCTCCATTGTACAGCATGACTCGGACACCCTCACCCATCAGCTCTTGAAGGATAGGTGTCAATGAGACATATTTATCATTTTTGTTCCATTCCCAACCCAGTTTCTTATTGCAAGAGGTCCACTCATACGGTAATTTCGTGGTGTTGGCATGTATTGCTTCTTGAACCTCTTTCGTGTTAAGATAAGCCTTCAAATAGTTGCCACTGCACGGATCAACCTCCATTATTGTGGTGCAGTTCTTGGGTTCGCTGCTCAATGTGGAGTTTAGGCACACTGGAGCGTATATGTTGTAAATGTCCAAGCGTGTTTTTTGATCTTCTATCTTTTGGGACGCCAATTTGCACTTGTCCCAATCATAGAAGTCGTAGGTACAGAATTTGTTATAATTGTCCATTTGTTGTTGGGATATCAAACCATGACTAAACATAAATTTGTTGCCGAATTCTTCCTGGATCTCCCTGTTAAGTGATGGATTACCAATCAAAATGCCTCGTAGGTTGATGAAAGTTTGCTTGTTACGGTGAATGATAATCTGGGCAAGTTGGGGAACATAGTGGCCGGCGTAACTCTGACCGGTAATGTAAATTTCTCTTCCTTTATATTCCGGAAACCTTTCAAGCCAATTCACCAAGAACATGTAGTTATCCTCTGCTGTTGGCTTGTCCCCTTGTTTCCCATATATTGGACTATTCGAGTACGAGAATCCTGTCCCTACCGGCGTTTCTAAGAACAACACGTTCGCCTCTGCAATTCCATATGTAATAGCATACTTAGTTGATCTCAATATATCTTGTGAATATACCTTATTGGTTTCTAATTAATATATTTTTAGAAAGGTACCGTTGTTCCATGAATAAGGATTGCGGAACAGCGTTTTGCCGTCGCTATGTACGCGGAATGGACCAAGCTCTTTAAAGGCCCCACCTAGAGATGAGCATGCCGGTCCTGTATTTGAAAGGTTTTAATTCTCAACAATTATGGGAGAATACAATCCTCAAAAACTAGATTCTGATAGAAGACTTATCTTTTCAAGTTTTAGAAGAGTCTAATTATATGAACAAAAAAATATAAGTGTTTCCAAGAAATTAAAAGGAGTTTGTAGCTAGAGGGAATATATTTTCTCTATATGTACGTACCTCCGTTGAACCAGATCACAAGAGGAGTAGATTTACTGGGTTTGATGGCTTCCACGAAATAATAGTACAAAAACCTACCGGCTGGTTCGTTAACGGCCACATAACCGCCATACTGTTTGAAAGTAACGTCGGAAGGTTGTCCGGGGAGCTGCTTGATTAGATCTTTCTCCTTTGGCGAAGGCACACTTTCGCGACGAATCACATTGAAGTGGCTCGTGCCGCCTGACGAACCAACCCCGCGCTTATGGCTTGGAAAAGGTATTTGGCTCCTACAATGGATTTGTGATGCCAAAGACAAGAACAGGAAAACACAAGCAGTCACGGACCAATCTTGTCGTTTTCCCATTCTATTATCTTGGAATCCTATGAGAATTAGGAGAAGGATTTGAAAAGAAATGGAGACGAATGGTTTGGAAAATGAATGGCAGCATTTTATAGGTATATTTTTTTTGTCTTTTAACAACTATTTTAATAACATAATTTAACCTTTTTGTAACAACTTAACAAATAAATACCAGAACATAATAACTACTTGTCCCTCGTAACTAAAGCATGAAATATATTTATTTTTTTAACAAACATTGCATCAACATTTTTTTTTTGTTTTAGCAGCAACTGCATGGCACCTTTGTAAATAAATTATTTAAATAAAGACATTAACTTTTATTTAATTATTAAAAATAAAGTCAATCTATAACCAATTTATAAATCAAATGAAACTAATATTTGTAAATAATTATAAAAGTTGTCTCGTCTCCAATAAAAAAAGCATCGAATTTCTTAAAAGGTTTCTTTTAAATGTAATGTGCACGCTACTACAATCGAATAGTATGTCAATATAGCACTTTAGACTCTAATCATCAAAGAAAAATGTCTTACCTCATCAGTTATTTAAAAAAATATTTGATTTGGTTTGTTCAAAGTTAACTAATCATAACCAAACAAAGATGCAAACTAAGACTTATCAAAGCATAAGCAAGCATAAAACATAAGGATGAATGAGTTTAACTAAGTTTATCTCTTAGCTTTAATATAATGAATTGAAATTTGTTGAGGTAAATATAAGAAAATGCCAAAAAAAAAGAAAAAATTAGGTTTGGTCACGGTGATTGTGTTCAAAATATATACTTCGAATGCAAGCATAGAGAATGCGGATCGGGGTGTTTGATCACATCTCCCCCTTCTCCTCTTTGGATCCCCTCATTTGTTGATCAGACCGCAAGACCAAAAGATACAAATGATCAAATCCAATACATGTCAACGATAGTTTCGCAGCGGAAGTCGCCTTGCGTTTTGGTGGGTGGTGCCGCGAGTGAAAGGCGAGTTGAGGCGTTGTGTAAGGGGCCTTTGTGGCTTTGGCGGTGGTCCGTTTTCGTTATCCTCCCTTCACCGGATCGAAGATGGCTAGCTGCCGATATAGAGGACATCTCTGTCTAGGGTTTTCTGATCTGTTGTGTAGGATCTACCGGTCTTAACCGGGGGTTGTCTGATTTCAATTTTGTTAACCGCTCTTTTATTCCCGGTTTGGGGTTAATTAATATATTATATTAAATAAAACTTAAAAAACAAAAGGTTACCAAATGTGTATTGACTTTAACTCTTTTGAAGAAAAGAAAATTTTCAGTAACAATGATCATGAAATTAATGAATGGAGAAAAAAAGCAATGAAATAAACAAAAGAGCATTAAATTTATAAATTCAAGAAGTTATTTTTGGAAGGCAAACAATGCATTTTTGTGATTGAGAAGTGTTTATGTGCATGGCTACAGGCTACTGCTGTATTAATCTTATGTTTGATGATGTCGCATTATGTTTGGTTGACAATAACTAACTAATGTATAATTTGTTGATGAGTGTTGTATGTGCATTTAGAAGCTAGAATTTAAGATCATTGTACTTACTTTTTTAACAGTTTTATTTATTGTGTAAGTAAACTTTTATGATATAATAAAATTGATTTGCAGTTAAAGAAAGTAATATCTTTGGTACCAAAATATGTAAATATGACTATCTGAGTAGAATATTGACTTTAATTACAATAAACATCATATTCATGTATAGACCAAAGTATTTTGTTCAGTCAATAGAGGTGGTACAAGTTAGAAATCAGGGTGTGTGAGGAAGAGGAGTGTTACGGATAAAGCTGGTAAAGATATTAAGAGCATGTATAGGTTTGTCCGTAGGAACCATATGACCTGCTCCTTTCACAGTTGCATACGTCAAGTTCCCTTTGTAATCCTCTGTGAACCCTCCCAGCTGTCCTCCGGTAAACCACGGACGCCATTCCTTTACAACCGTTAGATTCATCTCCTTCAGCACGGCCACTGTAGATGTAAACGGAACCGCCAGGTCCACGTCTCCACTGTAGATCATGACACGGACACCCTTACCCATAAGCTCGTGAAGGATAGGTGTCATTGAGACATCTTTATCAGTTTCGGTCCATAGCAAATTCAAGTCGTCATTGCAAGAATTCCACTCGTACGGTAATTTTGTGGTGTTGGCATGCATCGCTTCTTGAACATTTTCTCTGTTAAGATAAGCCTTCACGTAGTTGCCACTGCACGGATCAACCTCCATTATTGTGGTGCGTTTCTTGGGTTTGCTGCTCAACGTGGAGTTTTGGCACACAAGAGCGTATATGTTGTAAATGTTCAAGACTTTGCTGTCTGTATAATCAAATTTAGCCACCATTATCTTTGTGCATTCTTCCATATTGAATGAGTCGCCATGGCAGACTTTATTGTACTCTTCAATATCTTTTTGGGTAACCAAACCATGGCTTAACATAAATTCGTTTTCATTTTCATGCTCGGTAAGTGCGTCCAGACCTGGATTACCAATCAAAATGCCTTGTAGATTGATGAAGGTTTGCTTGTTACGGTGAAGGATGATCTGGGCAAGTTCGGGAATATAGTGACCGGCGTAACTCTCACCGGCGATGTAAATTTCTCTTCCTTTATATTCCGGAAACCTTTCAAGCCAATTCACAAAGAACATGTAGTTATCCTCTGCAGTCAGCTTGTCCCCTTGTTCCCCAAATTTCTCCGCATCAAATGGAGTACTCGAGTACGAGAATCCTACAGTTACCGGCCCTTCGAAGAACAACATGTTCGCCTCTGCAAATCCATACACACTCGCATTCTTATTGATCTCATTACATCTTGTGAATATTATATACTAAAATTTCTAATTATTATATTTTTTTAAAGGTATATACGTACCGTTGTTCCATGAATACGGATTGCGGAAAAGCGTTTTGCCGTCGCTATGTACGCGGAATGGACCAAGCTCTTCAAATGCCCCAAGTCCTACAGATGAGCAGGCAGGTCCTGTATTTTAAAAATAAGTTTGTACTTAGTTTAATTCTCAATGGCTAGAGGAAAATATACATCCTCAAAAACTAGATGGGAGAAGACTTATCTTTTCAAGATTTTAGAAATGTCTAATTATAAAAATATAAGTAATTCTAATAAAAAAAGAGTTTGTTTAGAAAATAAATATTCTCTAATATGTACCTCCGTTGAACCAAAGCACAAGAGGAGTAGATTTATTGGGTTTGATGGCTTCCACGAAATAATAGTACAAAAACCGACTGGCGGGTTCGTTTACGGCCACATAACCGCCATATTGTCTGAAACTAACGGAAGGTTGTCCGGGGAGCTGCTTGATTAGATCTTTCTCCTTAAGCGAAAGCACATTTTCGCGACGAATAGAATTGAAGTGGCTTGTGTCACCTGACAATCCAACTCCTCGCTTATGACTTGGAAAACGTGTTTGGCTACTACAATGGATTTGTAATGCTAGAGACAATAATAGGAAAATACAAGCGGTCAGGGACCAATCTTGTCGTTTTCCCATTCTATTATTTCTGAATACAAAGTTGGAGTTGGATTTGAAGAAACGAGCGAGATGAAAGGTTTAAAAAATGAACGGCAGCATTTTATAGTTATATTTTTGGCTGTTGACAACTATTTTTTACCAAATAGTGGAGTTTTTAAACGATCAGTTCTTTGTTTTTAGTTAGCAAAACAATATATCTTTTTAACTAACTTCTTGAGAGTAAATTTAAAAACCCTATAGTTTGGGTTTCTTCCAAAAGTAGGGAAAAAAAAAACATAACAAAATCAAGACACGGTGGCAAAAGAAAAAAAACAACTTGCAACGTAAATTCGATGTCCCTGCTTCCTTCTTCACAAAGTCTGAGTCATGTCATATTAATTTAGATAAAGACTAAATATCTTTGTGGTTAAATCAAGCTCAGAAATAATCTGGCCATTCTCTAGTATTCTTCTCTTCATTTTTTGTTTTTTGTTTTTTTGTTTTTTAGTTAATAAGAGGTTTGGTTACATCTCCTTAGGCCAGAAAGCACATCGTTTTATATAGACCCTTACAATTTTAATGAAGGATATTTTTGTTTTACTTATGAGGAATGAAGAGGAAAACACATGTGTGAAATTTGGAAACAAAAAAACTAATCACTTTAAATGTTGTAAATTTTGAGGAATCATAATGAATATAACATTACTCTTTAGTTTTTTTATTCCAAATTAGCCATCAATTAATGTCATTGTCAGTTAGTGTAATGCACATTTTCGTCCAATGTAGCTGAAACATCCGTAACCTTTAGAAAGTCGTACATATGATTGTACTTGAAGTTTACCTTATTCTCACCAATATCAAAGTCAATCAAGAAATAGTGTAAATACTTCTCTTTGGTGGTTAATAAGAGTTGTACGTTTGCAGTTTGGAATCAATTTAGATTTTTTTTTCTTAATTGGTTTCTGAATGCATCTTGCTTCATACGTTCGATTGATCATTTAAATCATGTTTTCGACTCCAATAAACTCATGAATGAATGTACTAATTAGTATTGTTTATTATAAGGTTTATGACATCACTTGGTGTAGTTTGATGATTTTAGTATTTGTTTGTTTGACAGTTAATAATTCGTGTAACTTGTAGAATGTTGCATCACAATAAATATGTAATATACATGGGCATTTAGAACATAAGATCACTGATTATAAGACGTGCAATTTGCAAAGGCGGGAAATTCATATAGTTTTTTTTTGTTGGTATCAATTCAACCACTGGACCAAAGTGTCTTATTCAGTTTATAGAGGTGGTACAATAAGTTACAAATCAGGGTGTTTGAGGTAGAGGAGTGTTACGAAGAAAGCTGGTAAAGACTAAAGAGATTAAGAGCATGTATAGGTTGGTCCTTAGGCACATCATGACCTGCTCCTTTCACAACCCTCCCAGCTGTCCTCCGGTAAACCACGGACGCCATTCCTTTACAATCGTTAGATTCATCTTCTTCAGCACGTCCATTGTAGATGAAAATGGAACTGCCAGGTCCAAATCTCCATTGTACACCCATCAGCTCGTGGAGGATAGGAATCATTGAGGTGGAATGAGATTCTTCGCTCCAACCTTTAAGGGTATCATCATTACATAAGTGTATATGGTAATCTCATTACATAATTTAAGACGAAGAGTATGAGGCAATCATGTTTTGAACAAAGATTTTTAGTGTGTAATTGGTGACTTTAATGACATCCTCATCAATGATGAAACTTTGGCGGTCTTCGGAAATATATGGCGTTTCCAACTCTCCAAAGAGTGCTAAAGAACTTGTTACATGACTAGGCGGTAGTGAAAAATGTTTTACATAGCTAGGCGGCCTATTTTTAGAACAAAGGTTAAATTATAACCTTATGATCCAGTCAAATACCATATGCGAACGTATATGCTTATTTTAAATCTTAGTTTGTATATATGTTAAATGAATAAATTGACCAAACCACAAAAGGTAAAAAAAATGGCTTCAAAGCGAAGCACTTGATTTTAAAGAAAAAAAATCATTGCACGGGTCGACCGACCGTCTCGACCATCATACACGGGTTTCCAATGCTTAAATCATCCCACCGTCGTGACCTAACCGACTTAGTCAACCCCGTGAGCCACCCAACCACTTCCTCCATCCCCGGCCGTTTCTCTCTACACGTTCTCACACACTTAGCCGCCACTAACCCCAAATGATTCCTCACACTTACATCAATCGGTGGTCCGATTCTCGGATCATAAATTCCACCGATTTTGCCTCTTTTTATCATCGGAATCGCCCAATCTACTATAAACGACGGCGAATATCTAACGTCGATTGCTTTTCTTCCGCTGATTATCTCTAACAACAAGATCCCGAAGCTGAACACATCAGTTTTTGTGCTTAATCTATCAGCCGTTACGTAATCTGGATCTAAGTAACCCATTGTTCCTGCAGGTGGTGTTGATTTGACCTTTTGATCATCTACATTGCATCTGATCGCTAATCCGAAATCGCCTAGCTTCGCGTTTAGATTCTTATCCATCAATACGTTTGCTGATTTGATATCTCTGTGTATGATCGGTGTCTCTTGTGAATGTAGAAGATGTACGGCTTTTGCAATCTGAAGAGCGATTTTGATTCGCTTACTCCAGCTCGAAATCGCACCGGAATTTAAAACGGAATCTGAGTGAATCACGTCGTATAAGCTTCCGTTTCCCATGAATTCAACAACGAGAAGAGGTTCTTTGGAGTTATCGGCGCTAAAACCTAAGAGATTCACAAACCTAGGGCTACGGATTCTGGAGAGAATCTCGAATTCGTTGTGAAACTCACGGCTGATTTCACGAGATTTCGAAGGTCTCTTGACCGCGACGAGACGTGAACCGATGACACCTTTGTAAACGCTTCCATGGCTTCCACGTCCTAGGAGATTGTTGATGTCGAATCCACCTGTGGCTGAGTCAAGATCGCGATGGCAGGAAACGGCGAAGTCTAGGGCGGTCTTCAATGGGAGACTCGGGAGGAGCAGAGGCTTTGCTGGAGGTGGATCCGGAGGTTGATGCGGAAGATGAGACGGCGATTGCGACGGCGGATCCAGCTTTGCAGGAGAGATAACCCATTGAATCGAGCGAAGAAGAATGTAGAAGGAAGACGAAGAAGAAGAATGTGAAAGGGAAAGGTGTATGTGGAGTTTAATGGCGTGAGTCGTGAGAAGTCATTTTTGTTAATTAAGGCACATTTGATTAGACTCAAGAAAGTGGAGGGGTCATGTTATTAATTAAATATGCCTTTTCCTAATTATTCCAAAGCCGCCCTTCTAATTTATTAAAATTCTCTTTTGTACTGATAAATAATAATTCGATCAATTTACACCATCCTTATTATTCAATTGGTCCCGCTGCTGCCACATGGCATTTTATTGTTTTAGCGCGATAGAAGGTGACGATGGATGAGATGACATGTATTAATCCTATTGGCTGGACACGCTGTAACGAGTATTTAGTTTCGTATATAAAATCTGAAACATAAATGGTAAAGTCGCAAAACGGGAAAAACCTTAAACCTTTTATTTACTGATTAAGTCTGCCGCCGGGAAGACTAAAGATGCCGACGATTTACTTTTTCCGATGTCTGTTACTATTGGTGGTGATCTCATTGGTGGGTTGTTCGATCGCTGAGAAAGTTAACTCTTCTGGGGGAATAGTTTGGTCTACTGCGAGAGATGAAGCCGAATTGGTAGAAGATTCCGGTGTGGTAATCGGAGAGCAAGATCAAATCGACGGTGGATTTTCTTCACTTGATGGGATGTTACACTGGGCAATAGGTAAATTATCTTTTCTAGTGTTTCTTCTTTCTTACTAATTTCATGTAGATCTGATTATATGTTGGATACCTCCGGTTAGGTCACTCGGATCCTGCGACATTGAAGGAAGCAGCTAAAGATGCAGAGAAGATGTCTTTGGATGAGTTACAGAAGCGTCAATTAGAGTTAAAGGTGCGGACTTTGTGATTTTGGTTTTTAATTTCTGTCTGCTTTTATCTCTGGAGTTTCATCCGATAGTACTCTTGAATAGGAGCTGGTGGAGAAGCTGAAAATGCCATCAGACGCGAAGTTGATGCAAATAGCCATAGATGACTTGAAAAATTCTTCCTTGTCTCTTGAAGATCGTCACCGTGCTTTGCAGGAACTTTTGATCCTCGTTGAACCTATTGATAATGCAAATGGTAACTGAAAGCCTGAATCTTGTATATATATATATATATATATGTGTGTGTTTTTCTTACTGCCCGGAAATTTAGTTCTTAGTTGTGGCATCATTCTTCTCTTGTGTAGATTTGAGCAAATCAGGAGGGCTTAGAGTTGTCGCAGGAGAGCTTAATCATGATGACACAGAAGTAAGGAAACTAGCTGCGTGGGTGCTCGGGAAAGCTAGCCAAAACAACCCCATTGTTCAAGAGCAGGTTTGTTTTCGTTGTGACTTGTAGAGCAGAACCGTGTGTAGAAGTATAAGCCGTCTGAAACAAGTCATGTTTCTTGCTCTATGAATTTGGTATCAGGTTCTTGAACTTGGAGCTTTAACACCACTGATAAAGATGGTAAACTCCAGTTCTGCTGAGGAAGCTGTGAAAGCACTCTTTGCTGTTTCTGCCTTGATACGAAATAATATAGCTGGTCAGGACATGTTTTATGCAGCACATGGATACATTATGCTTCAGGTGAGCACACCAGAAATACATCATGTCATGTTTTGTTCGTTTATTCTCTGGATTGGATAAACCCATCATGGTTCGTCGATCTGCAGGATGTAATGAGCAATGGGAGCTTGGATATTAAATTGAGACGGAAAGCTGTATTCTTAGTCGGTGATTTGGCTGAGTCTCAACTACAGAACACTGAGAAAGATGAACTTCCTATTTTCAAAGATCGTTTTTTCCTTAAGTCTGTGGTCGATTTGATTGTGGTGCTTGATCTTGATCTCCAAGAAAAGGTAGAATTATTACAGGGCCCTATGACCGTATTTTCCTCTATGAATCTTGGCGCACATCTCTTTCTAACTTATGCTACTCGGAAAATATGTTTCAGGCTCTTACAGCAATCCAAACTCTTCTTCAACTTAAATCCATAGAGCCTCGGATTCTCAAAGAGTTCTGCGGGTTGGAAGAAGCATTGGAGAGAATGAAGCTGCAGCTGGAGGAATCAATGGCGGATGAATACAAGAGAGACTATGCTGCAGATGTGGAGAGCATTCGTGGTGAAGTGGAAGTGATCTTCCGCCAAAAGCTCGGACTTTTATGAACCATGATCAGTAAGAAAGCAACTCCCTGTGCGTTAATTTCTGGTGGGAAAAGCTTTAGCTGTAGGAGTTGTAGACAATTCTAACTGCCTTAGATAGACTTAAGATGTGTAACTTAGGCGGATCTTGAAGATCCATTTTGCATGTTTTGGCCTCTACTTGAGCGGGCTTGTTCCCCTCATCTTTAATTTCATATCATGTTTGCAAGGTTTTATGTATAGTATTATAAACTTCCACAATTTTCTTGATTCGTGTTCCATGTAAATGATGGGTTGCAAAAATGTCGGGTTTACAGTGTTAGAAAAAAATAAGTCAAAGTAGAGATCACTCAAGCTTTGTCACACGGTAAGGTTATAAAAGAGATGCGGTTACTCTCCTCTTGATCTCGGCTGCAACTGCGCTTATGGCTGCGTACTCATCAAGAGCCCTCTCAACTATGTTGCACCGGTTAAATTCTGGCATGAACAACCACAATGTCGTCGCCATCACAAACCCGAGTGTCAAAACCCGACTGATTGCTTTCGGGAATCTCCACCTTCCGTCAATGGCTTTCTTGATGGCTATCTCCACGGTCGTGCAAAATCCATTTATGAGGAAGAACCACATCATCTTCCAGTCCGGCCTCAACTGTCCCATGTAGAAGAAGATGAGCTCGTGCATTATCCCAGAAACAACGAACGTCCCGAAAGCCGCAGGAACCTGGGAATAGTTCGGGCCCAAGACCGAGAACAGTTGAAGTGACGGTTCGTATACGGTTGGCCGTAAGATTCCGGTGACCATCAGGTTCCATCGTCTCCCCCAGAAATCTTGAAGTGATGTTGCGAGGTACGGCTTGTTGAACTGTGGCTCGAGCTCAAGATCCGACATGGCTCGAACCACAGCAGCCGTGGCAGCTAGGATGAGCTCGAGTGCGATATATATGTGGATCGCGTAGAGAGTCAACACGACTCTCTCGGGCAGTTTGGTACTGTATTCGTAGACTTTGATGAGAAGAACCAAAAAAACTGCCATTATGGTATAAATCAAAGGACCCTCTCTGGATCCTCCATGGGAGTGAGAATTTGGAGGTTTAGGCCTCGGCTGAATCTTGATGGGCAAGCAAGAAACAGCTAAGAAAATAGGGAGAGATAGGGGCTTAGGGTTAGAAGAGAGAGGACCGCGTCCTAATGCAAATAGAACGAGCTTGAAATTCGCTAGCCAAGCAATGAAGAAAGCCGTGATGCCGAGTATATGTATGGAAGATATCAACAAAGGAACTATGAAGAAAATAAGGACGACAGGCAAGATTAGTATCAGCCTTTTGATTCCTTTTGGAACCAATTTGGCAATGAAAAAAGTATAACACAGTGAGGTGATCACTAAACCCCATGCCTTAATGAAACTCGTCATTTTTGCTTCTTGAGGTCACAAATCTCCGGAAGGAAGAAGAAGATGATGATGATAAACAGCAAAAACTGGCACAAAAACGTGTCATCGATTAAATAATGATAAAGACGTGTAATAAATCAAATCCATGAGAAAAGTCTTACATATTTCTTTTTTCTATTCGAAAACAATTTGACAATTGACATTAAAGAACCAATTCTCTTTTCTTTTTTAATATTATTCATTGGAGAGATATGGTATGGTTTATTGATTCCATCGTAGTTTCTGGTCATAAAAACCATTTCTAAGGTAAAAAATCATCATCGGCTCTGCTCAACTTTTGTCTTCCATGTAATCTTAAAACCAAAAAAAATCTATCTATCTTTGAATTTGGACCTTTTGATCGTTGCAAGGATTTCAGAGGAAACCAACAAGTTTCTAACTTTGATTCTCTGTAAGATTTTTTCTTCCTTGGGCCATGTCAAAAATCTTAAAGAGTTGACTACTGTTGTTTTCATCCACTATGTTAATCAAGAACATATTCTTTAACACCATCTTTCCTTTAATCAAAAACCCTAATAATATCACCATAACTCCATATCCCAATCTTGAACAGAACAGGTGTTTTCTTTGGAGATCTTGAGTTTGGACTTTAGAATCAAAGATATATAAAGATGGATGAGGAAGAAGGTAAAGATCAAGATCGAGTAACGAGAGGATGTAGTCACACTCACAGCTGTAACCCTCCAGGCCCAGAGGATGCTTTTCATTCCCACACATGCTTCCACGCTCACACTCATCTCATCATCTCTGTAATAATATACATATCTTACTTTCTCTTGACTTATTATATGATATGGCTCTGATGGTATTTGAATGGATTGTTATAGATAATATTTATGTTGCAACAGGATCAGCAAGAGCATGATCATTCTGAGAGTAGCAACAAGAAACGGTCATGTGGTAATAGAGAGGCAGTGAGGAAGTACAGGGAGAAGAAGAAGGCTCGCACTGCGTACCTTGAAGATGAAGTGAAGAGATTGCAATCTCTGAATGAGCAAATGCTTAGAAAACTTCAGAGCCAAGAAATGGTGGAAAGTGAATTGATCAGACTCCGGACTCTTGTGGTAGAGATGCAGGGGAAAATTGATGTTGAACTTTGTGGCTTCTCCTTTCAGAAACAATGCAACGGTTCTGGTTTTGTGTTCAAAGAAGGTGATTTCTACGCTATAGATTTATCTTTTTGTAACGATAGAAAAAGAGTAAAACTTGAAATTTTGATGAATATGTGAAAGATATATAGCGAAATAGTAATCCGTTCATCACCATTAATTTTATACAAACTGCTTTTGAGATTTAGTTCTATCTATTAGATATTTTAGGTGTCTGATCTAGTCATCTAGGCCTAATCTTAACACAATTTTTATCTCGTGTAATCACACAGATGGATGCAGTGTAGCAACAAGTAATATGATGTGTGAAGCGGCAAGAGTGGAGTGCGAGGAGGGCCAAACAGTTCATGATCCTATTCACTCCTTTGTTCCTCAATCACCACCATTCTCACATTAAGCTTTTAGGGGCTGTGGTATTGTATATATATACATATGGGTTTAATTAAGGGCATAGAGGTTGGATTCCAATATAGTTAACTTATACACAGATTGTAACTTATTCCACATGTCTATTTTAAGGGTACCAAAACATTTTGATGTAGATTTGATTTGAAATGAGGAAGAGGAGGATTGTAATTGTTAATGCATGTATGATGATGATTGTGGCTTGTGGGCTTAGAAGATCTTTGGGGGTCCATTTATAGATTCTCTATATGTGGGTATGGTGAATACCCAAACCAATAATAGATAAGGTATGCATCATACATGCATGTGTATTTCATATGTTTCAAATTCAAATGAATTCCATTGGTTTGGAATAGACTGCCCCAATCATTGATATTTTTTTCAAATTGCCTCAAACATTTGCACATAATAATCATTCTCCCATGTAAATTTACATGCGAATCAAATATTTCTGGATGGGTCAATGATAAGGCCGCAATGTTAGATTTTTGGGGTCAATTATTTAGCAAAGAGTTTATAATATTGTAAACACATAACATAATCATAGAGTGAGGTGTTAGGTGCCTCGGCTCTTGTGACTAGACTAGACCACTGCTTTTGACACCCTAAAAATTACTATTATAATCATTGCTTTCCTTTGTGGGTCACTCTTCTTTTACAAAAAGGTCCTTTCGAAATTTTAAATTTTCAAAAATAATAATTCTTTTTTAACCCTACATTAATTTAGAACAATCATGTCTTTTCATCTTTAATCGTACCCTCTCATGAATATTTTTATTCAAGAAAAAGAAAAACATAATAGTTTGAATATGCGAAACTACGTGTGTAAGATTTTTTATACTATGTTAGTTTCATTGCTTCAAACAAGAAACCTATGGAATTGGTCAACACATCCTAACAAGTAACAATGATTCATATGCCCATGAGATAATTAAGACAAATTTTAATTTTTAATCATGAAACGGTTTTATTTAATTTCATGTGATGGAAGCATGCAATAATGATTGAATGAAATAAAATTCAAGTGTCTCACCAAACAAATAAAACGACAATAAAAGCAGAGATTAAGCTGGGCAAGTGACAAATTTGGATATGACATGCTTTTTATGTTTCCCTAATTACTCAATTTTATCTTTAAATGACAATAAATTCTGCCGTTTCTTTTTAAATAAGCAAATTAATAAGCAAGTTGAAGAATTAAAAAACCAGGTGTTTTATTAAAATTTTAATTTTAACCAAAAGCTTAGTTATACTTAAATGTGTCCCTACAAAAAAGAAAAAAATGATGAAAATGAGAAAGGGACAGTAGGAGAGAGTGGAGACCCCAGCGATACAGCTGGTCTGCATATCAATCACCGGCGCGTGACCAACACATCCCAACGGAAGGCGCGTGTAGCTTTGTGTCCGAACGAAAAAAAAAAATGGGGTTGTGTCAGAGAACGTGCAATGCAACCATCTTTTGTTTTTTTAATTAGCTTTTTAAAAACAGTTTATTACACAATCTCTCTGTGTTTCTTTCTCTCTCTCTCTTTGTTCTTCCACTCGTGAAAGACCAGAGAGTTTTCTCCTGATCCACACAACAACACAGAGATCCCAAATCCGGAAGATATCTTCTTCTCTCATAACTCAGTTTACTCTGATCCACTGAAACATACAATTAAGTACGTACTTCTTCTCTTTATCTTTCTCTCTCTCTCTATAGAGATTATAAATTTGATGATAAGAAGAATCTAATAATATGATGACATCTTTCTTCATCTATTCCCAAAGGAGCAGTAACCGTCAGTCTCACACCTGCAGAAAAATTCACTCTTCTTCTAATAATGTTCCTCCACAGAGAGATTCATGTATCGATCATTTTGACTTTTTCAGGTAAAGTAAATCTTTATTTTCTTTTTCCTCTATTGAAAACTAGTAACGTTTTTTACTAAAACATAGAAAGTTACGAATTTTTGTTTTGTTTTCCATGTAAAAATTATCGGCATGCAAAAACTTTCCTTTTCTTTTTTTTTCCTAAAAAAGTTTTTACCTTTTCCTTTTTTTCTCCGACTCTTTTTCTTAAAGTGTTAATTTTTTTTCTTGTAAGCACGCGAGCGAGAAGAAAACAAAAAATGAATAGAGTAGTAGTAACTTTTTATACTATTTCTCTTTTTATAATTTTTGTTATTTACTGGTGTTTCGCAGGAATCAAAGATGAAAAATTATAGTTAAGGTTAGTAGTAGTAGATTGGTTTAATAAATTTGTAGTTAAGAAAGCCAAAAAAAAAAAAAAAAACATTAAACTAAAATCCAACACTAGAAACCAGAGAGACCTCTTAACGACAACAACCTCTCTGTACACAAGACAACAAACACTCTCTACAAAAACACTACTCTTTCCTTCTTCTCTCTACTCTAATCTAATTCAAAAGAGAGAGAGAAAAGCCATGGATGGGTATGAAGCTACTAGGATTGTGCTCTCTAGAATCCAAAGCTTAGACCCTGAAAACGCATCAAAGATCATGGGTCTTCTCCTTCTTCAAGATCACGGTGAGAAAGAGATGATAAGGCTAGCTTTTGGTCCAGAGACTCTTGTTCACTCTGTTATAGTGAAAGCCAAGAAAGAGTTAGGTCTCATGAACTGTTCAAGGTCTCCATGGAGTCATCAAGATGAGTTAATTAGCCCTAAGAACAACCGTGGCTCTTCTCTCAATCCTGCTTCTTTGCCCTTTTACGCTAATGGAGGAAGATCTTCTAGGGATTTAACCAACGACTTCGAGCTCATCGATGATGTTAACTCAAGAAGTGACTTTTTGGGCTCTGTGCATGCGAGAAGCGGTAGCTGTGTTTTGGACGGTTTAGGGTATGGTGGTGATTCTGATTTAGGGTTTGGAGGTGTCCCCTGTTCTTATTTCGCCAGAGGCTTCTGCAAAAACGGAGCTAGCTGCAGATTCGTACACAGTGATGGAGGAGCTGATTTGGTTGGCTCTCCAAGCAGAATCGAGCTTCTTAGGTCTAACTCGGTACCTCCAAGACTTGCTCACCACTTCATGACTCGCTCTTCTCTTCCTTCTTTTTCACCTAAAGGTGTTAACTTGCAGCAAAACGATGTTCAAAGGTTTGACCTTTTTCCCAACTGCATTTTTTTTGTTCATTTATAGTCAAAAGTGTTTTTTTTTTAACTTGTGTAAATTTCTGTACAGAGCTGCTGCTGCTTTGATGATAGGAGATGAATTGCAGAAGCTTGGAAGATGGAGACCTGAAAGGATTGATCTTTCTGCTATGGCTTGTCCAGCTTCAAGACAGATCTATCTGACATTCCCTGCCGACAGTAGGTTCAGGGAGGAAGATGTGTCTAATTACTTCAGGTAATTGCCAACAAAACACATTCAATTTTTCTTTGGTCTGAATGTATGTTATTGTGTGACATAAGATATTGTTATGGTGGGTATAGTACTTTTGGACCAGTTCAAGATGTGAGGATACCATATCAGCAAAAGAGGATGTTTGGTTTTGTGACATTTGTGTACCCTGAGACTGTTAAGAGCATTCTTGCCAAAGGGAATCCTCACTTTGTGTGTGATTCCAGAGTTCTTGTTAAGCCTTACAAGGAGAAAGGCAAAGTCCCTGACAAATACAGGTACTTTACTATTATTAGTAACTCTCATACTTGGGCTTGATTGTTCCTTTAATCTCTGTGTTTACCGTGCTTTTATCCTTGTGTAGAACTAACCAAACAACAGAGCGAGAATTGTCCCCAACAGGCCTTGATTCTAGTCCTAGGGATGTTCTAGGTAAAAAAAACACTAAAACTCTTGTCTCTTTTGGGTTTACTAAAGAACCATTTACTTGCCGGTATACTGATTTGCTTGTTGTGCAGGAGGGAGAGGGTTTTATAACAATACCCAAGATGTGTTGTGGAGGAGTAAGTTTGAAGAAGAGATTCTTGAGCTTCAGAGCAGAAGGCTGATGAATCTGCAGCTTCTTGACGTCAAGAAGCATTTCCAACTCAATTCCCCTACCAACATTCACTCTCCGAATCCTTTCAGCCAATCACTTATATCTCCACGACCATTGTCCGTGATCAAGAGAGAGTATGAAGGAGGAGAGAAAGGGAAAGGAAGTTCTAAAGAAGGATCTGATGATGATACAATGAATCTACCAGAGAGGTAGGTTTACATATGAGTCTTCTGCAAGGAAACTGTTTGTGTATTTGAAGCTGAAGTTTTTTGGGTTGTTTCAGGTTGGAGGATAGCTTGCCAGACAGTCCGTTTGCGTCGCCCGCCCATCATTTGCTTCTGTTTGCTGATTCTGCAGACAATAACGGATCGGATTTGTGGTCGCCTTCTTCTGATAATGATGATAATTCTACTCCTTCTACACTCTCTGACTCCTTCAACTCTTTCAACTGCCAAATGCCGAGGTTTCGAGATTCAACCACACTTTATGTTTCTGCTATCAAGTTAATGGTATCTAACATTGCGTTCATGATTCTCAATAGGTTACCGGCGATTGGAATGTTACCCGGTAGGGGTGGACCAACCTGTCGTGTTGGGATATAAACAGGTAAAAAGAGTTCTTAATGGATGGTGAAAACACAAAACAACAATTTGGTAGGTTAATAGTTTGTTTCTTGTTGTTGTTGTTGTTGTTGTTGCAGGAAGAGAAGTAAGAAAAAAAACTGATAATATAGAGAGACCCTTAATAACCAAAAAGATGCAGAGGTGTATAAAATAAAAAGCAGGAAATTTGATGTAAGAGATAGAAGAAGAGAAAGAAGGAAGATTGTTGTACCATTTCTCTAGTTTTAATGTTGTAATGTGATGGACCACACAAGATGATGTAATATGATATGATATATATAATATAGGACAAGAAGTGTAATCTCTCTAAAGATATACAAAAGAAAAGAGAGATTATCATTTGAGTTTGAAAAGTCAATATGTTCTTGTCCTTGCTAGTTGTTACCCTCTCACTCTAACTAGTAACTAACTACTCTCCAACTTGGGAATCCAGAGATATCAACTTTTGGTGATTTTTTCTTCAACTACAATCTTTGATTTCTAGGGTTTGTGTCCCCGTTAATAAATGCAACTTTGTGAGGTGGAAAGTGTAAAAAGAGTAGGTGATACATCCATGGTTATTACCGTGATTTAAGGCAAAGAAAAGAAGAATGTTATGGTCATATTATTGCATGTAAAGACTAAAGTTATGATCGATATCCAAATTGTGTGTCCTTGATGACTTAGCAAAAGCAAGGACAGTGGTGTGTGTGGTGGGACACGCGCGAGAGAGTGAGTGCCAAAAACTAATAACACAACATTACAAAAATAGTTTGTAACTTGTGGTCTACTTACAACTATGTCGCTTCTATTATGTGAAAGTTTGAAAGAAAGTGTTTCAATTCATCATATCACCACCCTATGATCAAAAAAATGTGAAGGCCAAAATCATTTGAAGCTAATAATACATATGTATGATTTGATATGTGTGTACACAACGATTTTCAAGCTTCTTGCCATGTATATGTATAATTGATCAAATTTAGGGACTAGGATGATCGTTTTAGGATTCTTATGGTCCAAATAGAGAAATCGTTGTAAAAGTATTAGAAGCTTAAGTATGTATGTCGCTTCCGAGATTCCGCTTAATGCTTATTTTCTGGTCACAAACTATTAAAATTATTGTATAAAACAAGAGGAATAAAAACAACTTCTAAATAGGAAAAGAGGAGGAAGAAAATAATGGGATCCCACGAGCCAACACACAGGCCATGTGGTGTGGGGGATATATATTTCAGAAGTTGTGTTTTGTGGAGACATGTCCACATATATACTTCCAAATATCGGTTTTAAAAATATTTATACATTTCCAAATATCGGTTTTAAAAATATTTATACATAATGTATAAATTAGATGATACGTGAAATGTCAACTTCATGATGACTTCAATTAGTTTTATCGCTAACTAATTTATCCTACCATCTACTCAAAACTCTACACAATATTATTTTGATTCAATTTTTTATTTATAGTCTACACTACAATATGCACATTACTAGATTTAAATTATGAGACGTAGATAACACTTAGTAAAAATCACATGATTAACCTCACCTTATAAAACTAAATACACAAACGCAAAACTTAGATGGCACACATATTTGTACATTTGCCAGTTTCATAACATCTTTTGCATTAAATTTTCTAAAAGTGACCAAAAATGTTTTACCATTCCTTAGAGACAAAGGCACTCTCATAATTCACATCCGTACAAATAGTTAGTGGCAATTAATTTTGAGGACAGTGATGAAATAAATCGATGGTAGGGATCTTTGACCATTGGCATTGGTTTCAAAGAAAGAGGCATGACACACTTGGACTTGGTCGATTCATTAGAAATGGAATCCTTTACCCAACCCAAACCGCAATTAAATGGAGGAAACGAAGAGAGCTCCAATCATCGGAGCGTGAGAGTCACAGCCAACGAGAAGCGAGTGGATGTCAGGGAGAGTGGAGGCACTGGAGAGTGAGAGAAAGTTAAAAAAATGATGTTGTCAGAGGGGTTGAATGCAACACAACGTGCAATTTACCTTTTATTGTCTTAAAATTGGGCCCATTTTCTCTCTTTTCTTCTCTCTTTTCTTCTCTCGTTTTTTTTTTGTATTCTTTTCAAAATATAGCAATTTCTACGAAAGTAGAGTAGAAAGATCTGTTTGAGTAAAAGTAGCAATATTAAGAGCGAATCGAATGTGGAAGGCGGACGTCATTTTACTGATTGGTGTAGAGCTAGTGAATGATGAATTTCTTTTATACACCATTGACTTAACAAGCGTGAAGTCATTTATTTTGGTTTTAGTTCATTAGTTAATCAATATTCTTTTGTCAACTGATAAATAATTCAATAGTTAATCAATATATCCATGAGTTTTCTTTTGGCATATTTCTCAGACATTGTGCATTGTTTCCCAAACATTTACTAAATAGAGTTTGACAAAAAAACATTTACGTAATAGGAAAATGGACCATTTTTACCTTTTTGCAATAATAATGAAATATTATGGACAAAAAATAAAGAAATATTATGGACATTGGAAAAGAGAGCTCAAAAATTTGAAGTTGGTCTTGAACAAATTCCTAGGATAGGAGCTATGATTATGATCACGTGCATTGTGGTTGCTCATTTAGAAGCATTTGATGTCAAAAAAAAAATGAAAGAAAAAAGAATCTGATTCTGTTTAATTCATAGACTAGTAAGTTTCAAGTTTGATAGGTTTGGTCCCGAGAGTAAGACCAAAGCCGATAATACTTTAATTTTTACGTGATGGTCATAAATTTCTAGTGATGACTGGTCAGTTATCTAATGGGTTGATTAGGTCTAAACAAGTTTAGGTTGTTGATAATTTACTTATGCAAAATAGGGAAACGGCTCATCTTCCTACCTTATGTAATTAGTGAAGTGGGACAGAGGATCCATCTCTTATTTATCTGTCTCATAATTGGAGATATTTGGCCTAACATTGTCGGTTGAAATTCAATTTTTTCACTAGATAGAAACAGTTAGAAATCTTCTCAAATTTACTTTTCAAAATTCATTTAGTATCATTTACGGAGTGAGCGTAATAAAATGTAGCATGATCCAAACTATTCCAATAAGCCATATCATTCACACCATTAATTAATAAATCAATACATGATAAATCAATACATGATCAAAAGGATGACGATCTTATCAGCCCAGTTATATATGGGCCTACTATATTGAGCCCATTGATAGCCCATACGAAATGAAATCGGGCCGTTAGAGAACCGGAAGTTGAATAGACGACACCACCGACCGACTTCACTGCTTCTTCTCCAATTTCCAATTCGTTGCGTCTTCAGCTCCCAAATTCTCCCGCTGACCCCTAATTTCTCCAAAATCAATCACCGTCGATTGAGATTTCTCAATGGGAAAGTGGAATCATCGATCCCGATACCACCTTCGTAGATCTCCTGAGCGATGGTATAGCGAACGTCACTCTTCTTCTTCTTCAGGTATTCTCCTTCTTGATTTCTTGTTTTGTCACTTAATTTGGTATCTTACAAGTGTTTGATTGTCAAAGTTTATAGTGAAGAAGATGGGATTCCGAAATGGGAAAAGAGATTCTGTGAGGTCATTGGATCAGTACCATGGCAAAAAGTTGTTGAAGCTAAAGACTTTAAGAGCTGGTATAATGGTAATGTTATCACTTGGAATGACTCTGCTTGCGAAGAGACTTTTCACAATGAGAAGAAGAGATTTTGGTCACAAGTTAATGGTCTTCATTGTGATGTTTCTCTTCCTGATCCTGATCTTTACATTAGTGAAGTAGATTGGGATACTTTTGTTGATCCGGAACTGATTAAGGATTTAGAAAAGGCTTACTTTGCTCCTCCTGATGAAGTGAATATTGGTTTAAAACGAGGGCGTCGAGACAGGAGTTGGAGTGGTTGTGAAATAGTGCCTGTTGAAGAGGCTCGTATGTTAGAAACTCCATGGAAAAATAGTGACGACGTCCATGATGTTAGTGCATCGGGGATGAAATCGAATGGATGGAACCTAACAGATGGTAGTACTGATTATCCGATAAATAGGGGGAGTTCTTGGGAAGGCAAGCCTAGTTGTGTAAACGAGAAAGTAAATGATACAACATCTGGGGGTTGTTTGACAACTGAGGAATGGAAGGAGAACCAGTGGAGAACAAAAGATAGGGTTAATGACTGTTGGGAGAACTCGGGCCAGGGAAACGATGATGGATGGGATAAGTCAGGGCACCAAAACAAGAAAGTAAAAGGTTCTGAAAGTGTCCCAGCCGAAGAGTATAAAAAGATCGACAATCCTTGGGAAGCGCAACCTAGTTGTATAAAAGTGACAGCAAAAGACACCACTTGGGGAGGTTGCTCTGGTAAGGGATGGGAGGATAGAGGTTGGAATAATGATTCTTGGGGTAGTGGTGGATGGGAAAACCGGGATTTAGGAAATCAAGGTGTGGAGATGAAGGAGTGGCGTGGTAAAGGATATAGTCGAGATATTCGGCAGCCTAAGGGTTATAATCCATGGAAAGGTGGCTTTGCACCTGACAATGTAGCTTTCAGAGAATCTGGGGTGAATGCAGGCGGTTGGCAAACATGTAGAGGGCGCGAGACAAAGCAAAGAAATTGGGATGTGAAACAAGCCAGTGATGGTTGGGGTAGGCAAAATGACAATGCAGCTTTGAGAGGATATGGGGCAAATGCAGGCCATTGGCAAACACGTAGAGCGAGTGAGGCAAATCAAAGAAATTGGGACGCAAAACGAACGAGTGATGGTTGGGGTTGGCAAAATAAGGAAAGAGATGACTCATATGGCTACCATTCTAACTACAAAAACTCATGGCCCAGAAGAGATGATTATCAGAACAGGAAGGTCAATTTCTCAGCTAAGTAAACCAAATGATCCATTGTTTTTTGTGATGTGTTTTTTGTGTTTGAAGTCTTAGCTTGTTATGGTCTGTTCAGGCAGTGTAGTTTTAGCTTAGCCATTGACCTTCCATGTTATCTCAAAGAGTCAAAGGCATGGTTTTATGTTTCCACTTCAGAATTAGCATATGTAGAATATATACAAGTAGTCGGAGTACCTTTTTGATGATAATGTTTCATACATACTAAAAGTATTCAAGGTTTTTGCCTTTTGAGGCTGGATTGATAATGATTGTGTTCTTTGTGAAGATGATTTATTCACACTTTGCTTAATTTATTCCAACTTCAAAAAGAAAGGCATATACACACATGAATACATTTATGGTTTGGCTCAATGCATCCCTTAAAAGCTTCCTCATCTCATTTTTATATTCAAAACTGAGATATTTGAGTGTGTTTTTGGAATAAACAAAGTTGGGTATATGCTTCACTTTCAAAGCAATGGGTTGGTCCATTATGATGGGTGCGTCTGATTATTAATAGATTAATTGGACATGGTTAAAGACTTAAAGCATGATGGTGATGGAGAAAGTTGTAAAAACTCTGCTTTGCTAATTGGACGGTGATCAAAGCTCAAAAAGTGGCTGAATTACAATATTTTATCCAACCAAGAAGCTATCATCCTATTGCTACAGTTTCAATACAAAGCAAAGGTATCCCCAAAGCACCAGACTTTACTCTGTTCTGTATCATTAGGACCAAAACAGTTGGTAGACACAAATGTTAACAAAATAAGAATTCAATTCATATATTTCTTGAAAAAATCCCTCATGACTTTACAAAATGAATAACAAATTACAAATATAAACCAAAACGTATATGAAACCATTAAGAAAACACACATCTTTTACTCATCCCTTTTGCATCAACAATGTCTTAAAACTTGATTTCTTCTCTTCTAAGTTGTCATGTTTTGGTACCCACCAAACCCTGAGACTCTTGTCAAGGCCTCCACTGTAAAGCATGAAGCCAGCACCGACATTGTTAGGCGAAGCTTGCAAGCATTTGACCGGACCTTCATGGCCATGTATGACTCCAAATTTACAGAGTATGCCACTTGCTTCTCTCCTCCATAACCCAATGCTCTTATCAGCCGATCCACTACATACCATTTCCCCAACTACACACATACACAGAACTGCCATGTTATGTCCTCTTGTCTCAAACCCTAATCTCCATTCCTCCAAGTCCTCACCTTTCTCTCTCTTCTCCCATCCCATCACAAACCCATCTGATCCTCCTCCGTATACCCAATTCCCGTCACCTGAAACCACCACCGAGTTCACTGAAACCTCTGCACGACCCTCCAATGTAGCCTTCAGAACATGTAAAGAAGAGGAAGAAGTAGACTCAATCTGCTTTCTCTTCTCTTTCCCCCAAATCTTGATCTTTCCGTCTGCGGAAGCAGAGTATACTCTGCCATCTCCGGCGACAAGACCATTGATTGCGTCGTCGTGAGCCTTGATCGATTCAAGACACTTGAGATCCGATAATCTCCAGACTTTGAGAGTCTTATCCCACGATCCAGAGTAGATTATCCCAGCGTGGACTGCAAGGCACGAAATGCTATCGGCATGTTCGATCCAGAGACGCTTATGATTCCTCCTCGTCTGAACGTAATTGCTCTGTTTCATGAACTTCCCCAAATAGTCTTTAGTCGTGGGAAGTGTGTCGACAAGCCTGAAAGCATTCTCAGAGTTTCTCCGAGAAACTTTCCAAACTCTGATTCTACTGTCTTGATGCGCCGTGAACACTTTGCTTCCCACGCTGACCAGAGCCTTCACAGATCCATCACCTTGTCCGAATTTCGCAAAGATCTTGAGATCAGGCTGTTGCCAAACGATGATATCTTTCCCCTGAGACGCACTCAGCAAGAACTCACCACAGAGCGCCAAGGAAGAAACAGAGCCGACGTGAGCAGAGAGGACTGCGAGCGGCTTGTACGCGCCGGTGATTGGCGGACGGAGAGTGTTGAGGACGAAGCTTTTGGTGGAAGCAGATGGGCTGAGGGAATCGTCGGAGTCGTTGTTGTTGCTTGTGGTTGAGGAAGAAGATGAAGACATCAAGACTCCTTCTTGGATTAATCTCACCATCGCATCAATGAGATTCAAGATTTCGTTTCTATTTTGGAACAGAGAAACCAAAATTGGAGCGTTTGAGGAAATGTTAAAAGGGTATTTAAAAAGGAGTTAAAGGAAAGGAGAAGGTACAACGGCTACATTTGACAGGTGGCGTAGCTTATCATTTGCGCATTTTTATTTTATTTTTCTTTAAGCTATTTTTAATTGGTAACATTTTATTTTTAGCTCATGGAATCTTATAATATATGAAACCATTTCAGGAGCCTTGAATTTAACGCGAGCTTATAAAAATTGTATATAGTAACCGATTGTTCTCATGTTTGACCAGTGATGTTAATAGAACCTGATAATGTGGATACTGTAACGTCAAGGATTATGATAATCAAGATAATATATTGTATACGATATACCAAATTAGTTACGACTATATTCTAAATGCGATTAAGTTGGTAGTAAACATAAAATACTTTTTTTTAGTTGTTAGCATCGTTACATTTCATAATTACGAGTCAATTGTCAAATAATAGTCCCAAATGAGCTTATTTTCTTATTGTGTTTATAAATTGGTAGATAGGCCTATGGATCTATTCAAATCGATTTGATGCGTGTTTTTTTCGACTTTCCATCTTTTTCCCCTTATTTGTATATGTATTTATGGTTTCCTAATATTGGTGGGAGAAGACAAAAGATAAGAGAGCTCTGCCATCTAATATGGAAATCAATATATAGGTTTTTAAATCAAAACTTAAACTAAACTAGTGCGATGAAATGGTAAGTTTAGTTAACAACAGTAAAAAATTAGCTGAAAAAGTGACTAACTAAGCCTAGTGGGAGCGTAAGCTCACGTGAGTCCGATTCTGAATTGTATCGTATAATACCAAATCAAACAAATGTTTATGATCTTGATTCTTATTAGGACACGAAATAATAGAAAATCAAGGGTTACATTAGAGAAACCCTTGCATCAATTACATCTTAAAATGCAACTTGTTCTTGGTGCACGACTTTTAATTCTTGACTCCTCAAACCCGAGCATTACTCCACCGGTCCACCCTTTCTTTTCGGAATAATCAAGATCCGAATTTATTTTTCTTTATATATTTCCTAATAACTATGAAAATAAGGAAAAAATAAGCGTTGAAGTCATAAGTTTGAACAAAGACGCGTGACCTGGAAATCGTGCTCCAGAAAAAATATCACAAATAATGAAAACGCAAGGTCATGAGTTTTGACCTTGACCGGGCAAGAGCCTAGAGCCAAGAGGTAATCTGTACTTAAATGAGATAGAAGCTCCCATCTTCTTCTTATCTTCATCACAAACAAATCAAGAGAAGTTGATCATCATATCAAATCAAAGATAGACTTTGACTTTTCTTTGTGATCGAAGATGGCTGATGCTTTCACAGATGAACAGATCCAAGAGTTTTACGAAGCATTCTGTCTCATCGACAAAGATTCCGATGGTCTGCTTTGTTCTTTCTCTTTCTTGTCTGATTTGATACACAAATTTTATTCAGGGTTTGATGATGTTATGATGCGTGTAAAACAGGGTTTATCACGAAAGAGAAGCTAACGAAGGTGATGAAGTCGATGGGGAAGAATCCGAAGGCGGAACAACTCCAACAGATGATGAGTGATGTCGACATCTTTGGCAACGGTGGCATCACTTTTGATGATTTCTTGTATATTATGGCTCAAAACACTTCTCAGGTAAATATATACACTTTAAGAAAAGATTAAATTATTATAGTCAAGATTGGTAAATTTAAGAGAAAAGTTTATAATGAAAAAATTGGTATAGGAATCGGCATCGGATGAGTTAATAGAGGTATTCAGAGTGTTCGACAGAGACGGAGATGGTCTCATATCTCCACTTGAGGTAACAAAATAAAAAATCAACGTTTTTCTTACATTATCTTAAACCAAAAATTACATTTTCCTAACACAGAAACAATAGTATAAAAAGAGTTAGATAATAAGTGATCATGTAGATTTTGATGTAACTAAAGAAGACAAATTACTAAATGCTACCTTTTGGAAGACCTTATTATCTTTATGATCGATTATCATCCACTTGTTACAACACAATTTTTTGTCGCCATAAGAAACTCCATCCACTTGTTATGGTCTTGTTTTTTTCTCAAACCGACACCACAACAATCGAGACACACATACTACTAGAAAAATATGTCGTCTGAAATAAAAAGAACAATTTATCCCCAAAAATAATGCAAAAGATTGGTCATTTAACTTGGTCATCAAATAGTTATTAGCGTACTTTATATATAACCATAGTCTTTTTAGTCATTTCTCCTAATTTCTGTAAACTAAATGCAGTTGGGAGAAGGAATGAAGGACATGGGGATGAAGATAACTGCCGAAGAAGCGGAGCATATGGTCCGAGAAGCCGACCTCGATGGCGATGGTCTTCTTTCATTCCACGAATTCTCTAAAATGATGATCGCTGCCTCTTATTAGCATTGTGAAATGCCATGATATAAGAGTTTGTTTTTGCAGTTACAACTATTTTTCCATATGTTAAAGAAAGATCCTATCCTATGTTACTGTAATTTCCCAACATAATCTATATATAATAGCAATCTAATAAATACCATTTGCACATCTGAACGGTTGCGTCTTTTTATCGCAACTTTTCGTTAATGTTTTTATTAATTAAAATATATATTTTACGGTTGTGTTTCTTTTTTATAAATTGCATTCTGAATGTTTTCTATGGTTGCGTTTTTTATTGTAACTCTTCATAAACAGTTGAAACCGCTTATTCGAATCATTGCAATATTTAGTTTATTTTAGGAACAATTGCAACATTTGGTTTATATATTTAGTTTATTTCACGAACAATTGCAATTTTTGGTTTATTTTATAAATAGCTATAACATTTAATTATCTACCGCCGCGTCTCTCGGTGTAACTTTTCATAAATTATTATTTTAATTCTTAATTTTTAATTACTAAAATGTATGTAAATGAGATTGTAACTATTTAATTGAACTATTTCAACTTTTGGATTATTTGACGAATTATTGCAACTTTTGGTTTTGTGTTACGAATCATTGTTATCTTTAGTATATTTGATGAACTATTGCAACATTTGGTATAATTGACGAACCATTGCAGTTTTTGGAATATTTGATATCTACGGTTGCGTTTGTCGGATAAGTTCGTCATATTTTTAAAAAATATTTAAATACTAAAATATATTTAAATGAATTGTTGTTACCGTTTAATTTAACACAATAGCATTTGGTTTATTTGACGTTGAACGTTTTGGCTTATTTATCAAACCATTGTAATATTTGGTTTATTAGTTTATGCTTTTTGCACTTGGGAATAGTTTTTTAGTTACAAATTATTGTTTTTCTAATATTAATATACTTAATAAATGCTGGTGAGGGTTTTTTTCATCATAATTTTTAGTAAAATATATATTGACTAGATAACAACCCGCACTATGTGCGGAACAAAATGATAATTAAATATATTTTAATGTATTGATGATATTGAAGGCGTTCAATTTCTATATTATTAGACAAACGATAGTGTATTATTAATTATCAAGATTAGTGAAATTTTTATTTATGTATTAATATTTTATGTTTATCATGATTTATGATATATATCTTGTTATATTAATAGATATACAAAATATTTGGTACTCCATTTTGTATTTCTTAATTATATATTTTAATTGTATTTTCGTTTTAATTAATTAAGAAAAATAAAAAAGCATAAATTAATTGGAAAAAATACACATAAGTAAAACTAATGGCAAAATCTGTAAATATCCTAATAAATGTTGGGTCTTTAATTAAATGGATTGAGAAGCTTTGTGAGAACGACACATCAGCATGACATTTTCGTTAATCACACATGAAAGTAAGGTTGTTTTTTAACAATGCTTCTCAATTAATATATAAAGGATTTGTTATTAAAAAAAATCAAAATTATTACAATTCATTATGATTTTTTCGTTTGATATTTTTTTTAATGATTTTTGAAATATATTTCCCCGCGACAGTGTATAATAAAAGTGTCAGGTTCTATTCCTATATTAATGATTTTTTTTGAGTCGACAAACAACTTTTTCCTATCCAAAATCCGAACCAAACCAAAACAAAATTATGTTCTATTTTTAGACATATTTTCTTAAAACCGGAAAATTCAAACCGAACTAAACCGAGAGTAATTATCTGACTGGTGTCCTTGAGTTCCATCTTCAATCGGTGCAAAAAACCCTAATCAAGAAGCAGTGTGAAGAACCAAAGATCAGTGGTTGTTTGATAAGTAAATGGTGAGAAAATCGGTTGAATTGTCGAAGTTGTTCATAACCTATTAGCTTTGCTATAAACTGTTGTTCCAAATTCCTATTCAAGTCCCCATCGTTGAAGGTTAAGTAGCTTTGCTTTTCTTATTTTTTTTTCTGCCGACGGTTGTTGTTGATATTTATGGTGTTCTTGATGCTTGTCACTTTCACTCATATTTAGATATGTCTCAATTCAAGTTCCTATATCACAACGGACACAAAGATATGACCTAGAAGCTGAGATATAGAATCTTTACATTGAGTATAGCAATTTGGTACTTGCAATGTTAGTTTTAGTAGTGTCTAATTAAAAGATATGGCTTTGGTTGAAGGAACTCCATTCTACAACCCTTACGACTGATTGAGCAAGACTCTTTACATTGATTATAGCTTTGTTTTCATGGGCAAGTTTCCACAGTCCAGCCTTGCAGACAAATTGATGACAACATAGCAAGGAGAGTGGAGATTAATAGAATTTCAGATTATAAGAAATTTGGGAATGAATAAGCTCTTGAAGAAAGGATGTGTTTTGTCTAAGAAATATCTTGATTCTTATGAGGGTCAATAGGTGGCACTCTTTTTGAAGAATATATACTTTGGAGTCTTGATCTCGAGTGTTTCCTCTTGTATTCATCTTTTATCTATGATTCCTTTTTAATTTTCATCAATGGTCCAGCGTGCCACTGCTGCTGGAGATGTCACGGATGTGATGGAGAAGGAAGAGTCACGAGTAGCTGTCTAAAGTTTGGGATTACATGGATCCAAAACTAGCTGCTGTAGAAGAAACTTAAGATCAGAAAACAGAACTGCTAAATCACTGCCAAAGAGTTTTCTCTCTTCTTTGTCTATGAGACATTTCTCCATCTTGGATTCTTGATCTTTGTAGCAATCTTCTTGCTCATAGTTGTCTTTGCTCTCATCGTTAAAGTTATTTTCTTGAAGATCAAATTGTTTGTTCCTGTTATAACGAGAGAGTAAACTATCTTGAAATTGATCACAAGGATAAACCCTTCTTTTCTAGGATAAACCTTGCAATAGATGAGTGAGCTCCATGAAACATGATTCCACTGTTACAGTTTAGAATCACGTACATGGATAATTGCTCACTCATGTGGACTTGTCTTGACACTGACCCAAATAAGCCAAAGCTCCTCCAATAGCATTAAATGATGTGAAAAAGAGATATCACATTTGGAAAAAGGGTTTATGTAAAAAAAGTGAAAGCAGACATAGACATCATTCAACATCATCAACAGGTCTTATATAAGAAGAGGCCAGAGAAGAGTTTAGATGGAGTTAATAACAATCATATTTATCACATATATATACATATATGAAAGAATCAACCGTTTTTTTTGTTTACACTACTACTACTATACTACTTGATGAGAAAATTACTGGAAATTAATCAAACAAACAAAAAAAAAAGGTTTTTGCGACAGAAGAAACTGAGATTGAAAGTAAAGAAACTTAAAAACAAAACCAAAAGGATCCATCTAGTTAGAAGTAGAAGCCAAACTCTCATCACTAAGCAACTCTTCCCAAAAACCATCATCCAACTCTCTCTCTACCACCAAATGATGATCTTCTTCTTCCAACATATTCCTCTGTTTTCCACACCCTTGCATCTCCAAAGCCAAAGCCTCCAATTCCGACATCGAAGAAGAACCTCTTTTCCTCTTTGCTGACTCATTATCTTCAAGCTCCTTAATCTTTTTATCTCTCTGTTTCAACAACTGATGCAAAAACGAAGGACTCTGCATTGCTCTAGCCAAAAACGACATCATCTGTCTCTGTTTCTTCTCTGCTCCTTCTATCCTCTGTTCCATAGCTTTGACGTAGCTTTTCGTACTTTGTTGCTGCTGTCTCAGATTTACCAGCTCCATCATTAGCAATTGTTTCTCCCTGCGAAGCTCGTTGCAAGCATCATGGCTTGGTGGAGATGAAGAAGTACTAAAGGTTGCTCTTCTCTTGATGTTCTTCAACAACTGTCTTTGTCCTAACAAGAACCCTTCGTTTGCAAATTCCCATCTCTCTGCTTCTATCTTTCTGAAACCCTGTAATTTTTTTTTAACATAAATATTCAAAATTAAATCTTTTGAAAGTCTACATATTCTCACAAACATCAATAATTGGAGTGAGAGTGCTTTGATTCTTTTTTCTATGTTTTTTTATATTAAAGAATGGCACAAGTGGGTAACCTTAAAGCTGATTAGTGAATAAACAATGGCTATTGGGATAAGATCGCTGACTGTTTCTTTTGATTATTTTAGTAAGCAAGTTGACACGAAACAAGCTTCTGGAAGTTACTAAACCTTCTTCTACTCCACTAGCCATTACGGAATCTACATTTTCGATGTTTCTAGAATCCGAAATTAACAACAGATTCTACAGTAAAAAATTGAATTTTTTCCATTACCAAGTTAATTGTAAGTAATTTTTGTAGTAGTATCCAGAATACTTGACGGTAATTTTCCAGAAACTATGATAAGATCAAGGGAAATGAAGGTAAAAAAAAACAGAGCAATGCTCTGTTTTTTCTTTTGGTCAGAGAATAGAGAAGAAAGAAGAACAGAGAGAAGACTCACATAAGTATTGAGTTGTCTGATGAAACTTGAGAAATTGCTGTGTTTGAAATGTCGAGGGAGAAGAATCGTAGAGAAAGAATGCAAATCCCAAACGACAAAACTAGTGCCTCCTCTGTTCCAAGAAACGATGTGGTCAGTGTTTGGATCATCCACCATCTCAAATGTCTTGGTCAGAAATGGAGGTGGACCAATTTCGTGTAAACCCTCCATTGGTTGTGGTGGTGGTGGTGGTGGTGGTGGATCGCCGCCTTCCGGGAGAAACGGATTCATCATCCTGAGCTATACGGGTTTTTGGAAAACCCAATTGGATTAAAAGACAAGATTCTTGATGATTTCGAGTTAACCAATCTCCGAAGTTGAGTTCATCTTCGGATTTTGAAAACTGACCTGGTTTGGTCGGATTAAGTTCGTTTATGGCAGTTGATGAAGTGAGGAAGGTAATGTCCACGTAAGATAATTTGAGGTGTGGCTTTATATAGGAAGAGTAGAAAGTGAGTGATGATATTTAATTTGATTAAAATAATTGTAAAGTATTATTATAGTACACTCAACTTTGAAATTAGAAAGTTCTGGAACGGTTTTTTGGACCTTTTGGTGCACATTCGAATAGCCGAAACTTCTCGAACTTCGTTGTTGAGGACTGTACGGT